TAACCAAGAGAATTTAGCAAGATGATAACGTAAAGTCCATCAAACATACCGATGGAGAAGGGAAGCGACACATAATTTTACATGCAGGAAAGAAATCGGGTTTTATAAAAGGTGCAAAATTATATTTTCATCTAAATCAAAATCCAGTGACACTCATGAACTGGAGAGATACCCCAGGGCTAACCCATTCGAAGGCGTTTATAAACAACCCTTCCATGAACGCCTCTGCTCAGATCCGAGAATGGAGTAGGAGAGATCTACGCATTTTCACTGGACTGATGACAGGACACTGCCGTCTGGGCAACCACATGAGAAGGATAGGTCTGCAACAAACATCGGACTGTCGATTCTGCAGCGTGGAGGACGAGTCTGCAGAGCACATTCTATGTACCTGCTCCGCTCTGGAAAGAACCAGGTTCCAGATCTTCGGATTTACCCGACTGGAGCCTACCGACTTTAGAGAAGTCTCACCCAATTCAACCATGACCTTCATCAAAAGGTGTGGCTTGTATCGTGAACTATAAGTTAGTTATAAGCCACAATAGACCCATCTGGGTCGCAGCGGGCGATGAGATCATCTCACTCATTTTCAACCCTAACCCTAAATCAAAATCCAGTGACTATCACGATAAAATGAACACAGAAATGTTTGTAAAATGGTTGCATGAAAAAATTCTCCCAGGTTTAAGTGAGCCCAGCGTAATTTATTTAGACAATGTACTGTAATAGAAATGAGTCATCAAGAATTTAAAATTAAAGTTGATCAGTGTAATAAAAATTTGGTGAATAAGAAATTTAAAAATATCACCCTGTACAACAAATTCTTAAAAAAAAAAAAATTGTCAAAGGAGATGTCAAAAATATCCGGGGAGACGAGGATTTTGGAAGGTTGGTTAAAAAAAAATATCCTACGGGAATCAGCTTTCGATAGAGAATTTTTTAAAATTATCTAAAGTTAGAGCCTCGATGCATTTAAACAGTTTTTCTTTTTTGAAAAAGTTGTAATAGTTCAATAACAAAATACTAATATAGACAAGTTGTATCACCTACGTTGTATAGCGAAAGTAAACGGGTGAAATTGTATGTGAATCTGGTAAAAGCAGAATACTGGAACTGGAGACTTAAATTAATAAGAAGGTCTGGATTTGGATATGATATAAGTTCTTGATAGCAGAAAAGACATTTTCCTGTGAGTAATTAGTTTTATAATAGTGTGAAATCATAATAGACAATGTAAATTAATATCACGAATTTAACAAACTATATTTACTTTTGGAAACTGAAGCTAGACCATTGAATAGTAGGATTAATTAAATTATTTAGAATAGTTATTTTTTTTTGAAAATTAAAACGTCAAATTTTTTTTTATTGTCACCTTGAAATTTATAGTTAGATTTCAAATCATAAATATAGAGTTTTAAAGAACTATCTGGTAATAGAAAATATACAGAAAGATTTAAGTTATCTGTTATTTTGTTCATAGCAATTATTAGTAAGGGTGTATGGTGATGAATGTATGGTTAGAGTAATTAAGTTAGTAAGTTAGTAGATAGACAATTTTGTGGATGTTCAGAGATTTGAACTTTGTATAATTTATTGATAATACATTCTGAACTTTTGTACATACAATTTGTCTATTTAATAAAAAATAATTTGTTTTACAGGGTGATACAATTAAAAATAATAACACATAATATTATTAATTAATTATTATATAAATTACAGTTAAGGTAGGTTACTGTTGGAATTGTTGTTGCTACTATTTAATAAATAAACTAAATAAACTAAATAAACTAAATAAACTAAATAAACTAAATAAACTAAATAAACTAAATAAACTAAATAAACTAAATAAACTAAATAAACTAAATAAACTAAATAAACTAAATAAACTAAATAAACTAAATAAACTAAATAAACTAAATAAACTAAATAAACTAAATAAACTAAATAAACTAAATAAACTAAATAAACTAAATAAACTAAATAAACTAAATAAACTAAATAAACTAAATAAACTAAATAAACTAAATAAACTAAATAAACTAAATAAACTAAATAAACTAAATAAACTAAATAAACTAAATAAACTAAATAAACTAAATAAACTAAATAAACTAAATAAACTAAATAAACTAAATAAACTAAATAAACTAAATAAACTAAATAAACTAAATAAACTAAATAAACTAAATAAACTAAATAAACTAAATAAACTAAATAAACTAAATAAACTAAATAAACTAAATAAACTAAATAAACTAAATAAACTAAATAAACTAAATAAACTAAATAAACTAAATAAACTAAATAAACTAAATAAACTAAATAAACTAAATAAACTAAATAAACTAAATAAACTAAATAAACTAAATAAACTAAATAAACTAAATAAACTAAATAAACTAAATAAACTAAATAAACTAAATAAACTAAATAAACTAAATAAACTAAATAAACTAAATAAACTAAATAAACTAAATAAAGTATTAAATAAACTAAACTAAATAAAAGAAATTTAATAAATAAATAATTAAATAAAAAAATTTTAAATTAAGTTTTTAAAGTATTTTATTTCTGGAACCGACACCATTGGGACAAAGAGAATCTGCTCTGTAAAAAAAAATATATTAAAAAACTAGCCAAGGTAAGTCAAGTTAGTGTGTATATTTTATTTTTTTTTAATTGTGAGGTTATGAAATAGATAGTGAATATCATAACAGTACCTTACCATTCTGAAGTATTAAACAAAAGTCCAACGAATTCTTGGACTGTTGATAAAATTATAGAATGGTTGACAAAGGAACATATACCATTTCCTCAATATATATTAAAATCAGAATTATTACACTTGGCAAATATACACCCAAAACCAAAAACCTTTGTTGTGGATCAGATTATTGAAAGTTACGGTTATCAAGTTTTACGTCTGCCACCGTATCATTGCCAGTTTAATCCCATCGAATATATATGGGGAATAACAAAACAATATTATGACAACCATATTGGGCCTAATGGTTATAGTGATGACGCAGTTCGGGAAACTTGGCGAAAAGCACTTTCAATTGCAACTCTAGAAGTGTGGCGGAACTGTATATCCAAGTGCGAGAAACTAATAGAAGATTGGTGGACTCGTAAAAATAAAATAAACGAAATAAGTCCAATCATAATACCAATTAATGGTGATGACAGTGATGATGATGACGATTATGATTATTATTATTATTATTCGGATTTTAGCCATGAGGCCGCACTCCCTCTAGGGGGAACATTAACTCATCCCGGATATCTTAGATATCAAAGGGAATGAGCTCTGTTGGGGCCCTTTCCAGGTTGTCGGGTCCAAAGTCGCCGAGGAATTTTCGTACGATGTTGCAAGTCTTCAGTATCGTTGCCTTTTGTATATGTGTATGTATGTCTGGGAGTAGGTCAAGTTTTTGTAGGTTGTTGTTGAACGAGTGTGGTGTGACTCCTATAGGTGAAATTATAAACGGCAGAGTAGTAACTTTATTTTGTTTCCATGTTTGTTTGATGTCTATCGCCAGTGATGTGTATTTATCTATTTTTTCGTGCTCTTTATTACGAATGTTTGACTCATTTGGTATGGCCATGTCCAGGAAATATGTTGTTTTATTCTTTTTGTATGTTAATGTTATGACGATTATGATTAATATTATTATTATTTTTGTTATTTTTGGCAATCGTTGGCCATTTTTGTCGACAAGACATGGCATTCTCTAATACAGAGTGAGCGACGTTATACTTTTTCATCCCATTGTTAATTTCTCTCTATTAAACTTTCCAAAAAGTAATTAATCATAATATGAAGAGCCCACATTAATAATTCAGACAAGGATTTCATATTTTGTGAATTGTTTGCGTATTTTATGCTAATAAACATTAACTGCAACTTGGCCCACTTGTTGTGGTCACACATTTCGGAGTCTCGTGTCAGAGATCACTTATTATATTATACACACACGTTTCTTTCTCTAATTATTTAATTTTTTTATTGTTAATTTTTGCAATAAATTTTTAAATCGTGACATTACAAGCCACTACTTCCTATTTTCAAATTTCGGGGTTGCAACTGCCACTCAAAGGGGGTTGAAGGTGGGGGTAAAATGTTTACGTTGCAGGATATCATTTTATAATCTAAAAGTAATTGAGGTATTACTGAATTAATTCTATTTGGATATTACACACTGTATTTGAAGATAAATGTATTAAGATTTACTATTTTTATTTACAAAGCATTATAGTTAGGTTTCCCTCCGGGACACCACTGGAATTAATAATTTTACGTGTCCAGTTTAATCAAAATCTTCAAAAAAGCTTTTGAGATTTTAATGAAAAATCGATTTTAAACACTTTTACACTATGTATCTTAAAAACATATCAATTTAGAGCTCAGGTTTATATGAATTTTTTGTCTCAAAATAGGCCAAGCTTCAATATTGGCATGACATTAAAGAACATCCTGTATACTTATATTCAGCTAAACAAGGTGAAATTTTAAGTTTTTTTTTACTATTATTCTGAAATATTTTGTTATTTTACTGCAATATTTGCAGAACTCTATCTTTGAGTTACGTGAAGGACTTCCGATTCTGATGCCGTGGTGTCAACGTCGATCTGTCGGTCTCACAATTGGAAGTCAAGTTTGTATGTTTCCGATAAAATTTTTATCAAAATCGGTCATTGTGAAATGAATATTGTCTGATGTGTTTAGTATTTGTGTGTTAAAATTTTTTGAAATTGTATTTAAAAGATATATAGTGAATATAGCTAGTAAATTAAATTATATGATAGAGAACACGTTCTCAAGTTTATGGTCCAATTAGTAGAATACCAGCTCCTGATGTTTTTAAATTAGTAAACCAATGGAAAAGAGTGGACATGGATTTTTCAATGGGAAGATGGAAAATTCCAGACGTTCTTTAATGAATATTCCCGTAATATAAGCTAAAATACCTGCTCTGGCTAAATACCTTAAGGGTGGAGGCCAAAAAACTAACAGAAGAAGAAGAAGAGTTACGTGAAAATGTTTTACGTTCATTTTATAATAACGATTTTATTATTTGTTCAATACAGTTTTATTTCCTACCATACTCTTTATTATTTTTATTTTTTCCTGACCAAATAATTGTTATTTTTATTAATAAATAACCTGCAGAAAATGAACAAAAAATTAAGTCACCATTTGCAAATACTATACAATTAATACAACAAAAATTAATAATAAAAGAACTGTTATTTGCGCACATTATTTATTTTCATCGAAAATGAACACACAACTTCAAAGTCTAATAATTTATAGTTAACACCATTAATCGAATTCTGATCCAATGGTTATGCTGATTTCCCCAGGCAAGACGACTGTTTGATGATACCAACGATTAGTGTCAACCACAACTGAAAAGAAATGATAAAAATGATGAATGAGATTAATTGGAAACCCGTTAGTTTAATTAATTTACGATACACACCAATTTCACAAGAATTTTGTCAACTACATCCGATAGTTATATGAAATTGTTTAGTCACAAAAAATACATAATTTTTGAATAAGTTGCATCATTAAAATATTTATTCTTCATTCTAATAATAATTTTCGTATTTTTCAGAAAATATAAAGATATTTTTGTAATATAAATAATATCTGGTCTAACTTGTTTTTTTTTTTTTTTTTAATTTTTAATACACTTTCACATAAAATAGAAAAGTCAAAACTTGAAGTTTTCAAAAGTCAAACTTAATATTTAAAAAAATAAAAAATATTAGAACTTACTAATTTCTCCAGTCTCCACTTCTACTTCCATTTTGTGACAGACGTTCCAGCACTCTAAAGGCGGAGCTAACTTCCATAGTTTTCTTCCACTAAGTTGAGCTTGCCACGATGGATAATGAACATTGTCGATCTAACAACAAACATTTTAATAAATTTAATTTATACATGGTGATCGTTAAGTATGTAGCCAAATTTTAGGAAATAATTCATATAAACGTCCTAATAGTGTGTTGAAATATACAAAAAACGAAATTAAAAAATGTTTTTTCTAAATATATAGACGTTGGGATTTATTGGGATTTAATGTAAAAAAATATATGGTACTTCACTGTGTTTTGTCAATCTATTACGATTTTAAGAATCGGCAATTAAAATTGTACAAAAAAATTGTTTGTTGTTTTTCGACAAAAACGAAAAAAAGGAATACTATGCAAAAACGTGTGGAATTTATTTAAAATAAAAGAAAGTAAAAATTAGTAAAATCAACAGATATTTTTTATACAATATAGTAGACAGATATTAGAGAGTTATTGCAAATGTCTATAACGTTAGCCACTAATAGTGACAACGCAATTAGAGGCAAATAAATTCCATGCTAAAATAACAAAATAAGACTTATTGCAAACCTGTAATTTTGACATTATAGAGTCCTTGTCACATACTTTGATTTTCTTTTACTATACGGAGAATGGTCGTACTGCGCAGCTTTCTGAGTGCCTTTTAAAAGGAAATAGAAAACTCCGCCATTTTGATCCCTTATTACGTGTTGCCTACATCTTGGCGCAATATTTTTTATAGGTGCGTTTTAATCATCCGCTTCTGGATAGCTATTCACTAAGTCATGGGAGCGCTCACATGGGAGTGTTCCCATATATTTTATGTACTCTTAGGTGGGTATATCGTGCTTACTCACTTTTAGCCCAGGTACATGCATAGTTAGGTCGAAGTAAGCACGATATACCCACCTAAGAGTAAGAGAGCAAAATATATGGGAACACTCCCATGGGAGCGTTCCCATGACTTAGTGAATAGCTACCCTGATCGGAATTGTCGGTTTTCTTGTTCTGACAGGTTAAAACGACTAAACCGACAATTCCAGAAGCAGAAGTGAATGATTAAAACGCACCTGATATTTTGCTTGCTGCTGTCAGTGTCAGTGAATACTCGAACCAGTTGAAAGTTCCAAAATAACATCCACTCCAGGGATACAAATTCAGGATACGCAGAAGACTGCTGTTTTATTATAGGCGGTTGTCATATATTGTATTATCCGAGTTGCGCAGTGTATAAACTGGAACAATGAGATCAAAAGTGCCGATGCAGAGTGAGCGATCTGATTCTTTAGCTATAAACTGTGGTATAGGAATCAAAATGGCCGTGCCCTATGTTGAAAGTGTCGGACCTCTCTCTTGCACAATCTTTAATAAAGTTAGTTCTAGAACGTAAACTAAGATGTCAAAATAAGAGCGGCGTTAATAGTGGCTGATCTTAAAGGTATGGTCCGTTATCATGATACTATTACTCGAGAAGAAAAACCCACGCGAATACGATCAGCCCATCACTGTCGCACGCCTGACGTCACTGGGAGACATTACCCGACTCAGCAACAGCCAGGGGGGCTATTTTCAAACTCGAGAGAATTCATTTCCATCAAGAGAAATGTCATACGTCAACGTAAAACCGTATTTTTAGGGCTCTTAGGGCCAGTGTGAACTCACTGACTGTTTCTCTCGGTTTATTTAGAGATAATTAAAATTCTCCTAAGAATTTTAATCCTCGATGTCTTTAAATACAGCGTTTCCACATTGACGTATGACATTTCTGATGAGAATCTTGAGAGAAATGAGTGCTCACATACTTTGAAAATAGGTCCCCTGTTCTATACGGCGCAAAGCGGTTTTGCGTGTATTATTGTTTATTTTAATTTTGTTTCGTTGGTTTGTTGTGTTTTAGAAGTAAATGTGCGTAAAGCTTTTCATATGTTATATTTGAAAATGGTTTTACTCTTCGCGTAATGCTTTTTCATGCCCACGAGCTGGATTGTTGTCAACGGAAGACTTCATGCGCAAACGTAGTCGAAATTTGATCGTCAAGTGGGCTTATCTTCTCGAGTAATAGTATCATGGTCCGTTATTATCCGAAATATCGGTTACTTGGTCCAAAACTTACCGCTCTGCTTGACATTCTTGAAAAAATTGGTTAAATTAGGGACGCGGTTCTTGAAAATGGTGACTCGAACGTCAAATTCACTAACCGCTATATTTTTACGGTTACTATAGGCGTGTTCTTTTATTCAGCGCTGTATCCAGCGCTTGCAGCAAACCGTTCGTAAATTAAGTGATGGAAAGACGATTGCATGTGTCAATCGTTATTTTTTCCAGCGGTAAGTTCACCAATGAGCCAACGCATCCATCGGCTTTAAAAGCCGCTGGATATGTGATGGATGAATGGAGGGGATAGTTACTCAATTTTTTTGAACGTGCGAACTCGATTATTTAGGTAAAAGTTAACCAACAATCTAAAAGTGTAAATATAAAACGACTGCAGAAGAGATAAATTACTGTAAATTTAAATTAAAACGGTTCAATTTTTGAAGCGATGTCAAACGTCAAATTTTTCATTTGAGAAATGCTTAGGGTATGGTCCGATATTGACCGACTACTAACCACAAGTAACCAGGATTTTTTGACAGCGGTTCCTGAAAAAACTAATTTTTTGGTTACATTTGAACCACGGCCAATATTTACGTCACTTTTGTGACATATTGACATTCGACTTAATAGTAATCGTAAAAATATAGCGGTTAGTGAATTGATGTTTGATTTCAGGTAACCGCGTCCCTAATTTAACCGATTTTTCAGGAATATCAAGCAGAGCGATTAATTTTGGACCGAGTAACCGATATTTCGGTTAATAACGGACCATACCCTTATTTTCTGCGCAAATACCTTTCACCAGAAATTAATCAGTGACGTCATGACAGCAATCACTGATGGAACAATTTTTGAATAAAAGAACACACCTTATTAGAAGTTCCTTTGATTTGAAACTTGATCGAGCGAGCATCGAGGAGACCGAGAAGTGATGACGTCACCATAGAGCATTAAATCAAATAAAACAAAGTAAAAACATAACCTCGCTTTTTTTGTAATTCTTGTTTCTGGTTTGTGTGTCAATACAGTTAGTAAAAAGTGAAGAAAATGGAAAACTTTTAATAATAATGCTTTGAAATGCAGCATATACCACAAATGCCTTGTTATGATGAGTAATTTTAGCTATAAAAAAGCGGCTAAATAATTTGTTGACTTCTTGTCTGGTCTCGAATTTTGATATTCAAGTTTGCTTATAGATTAATTAAAAAGAGATAGGTAAAGACAAAAGAAACATAGGGCTAGTTCCACCACAAAGATACTCTGAGAAAACTTAACTCTTCACCGTATACCTAGCTCTGTGGTGTACTGTGAATAGATACGTTTTCACAGAGTATCTCTGTGGTGAAACCAGCCCTATGTTTCTTATTCTGTGTCTCGGGATCTCCGATGATCAAATCAAACACATCTTGGGTCGAAAGTTAATCTGTCCCAAAAGTGACGTAAATTTCGGCTATGAATCTCGGTCGTGGTCCAAAAGTAACCAAGAAATTTGTTTTTTCAGGAACCGCTGTCAAAAAATCATGGTTACTTGCAGTTAGTAGTCGGTTAATATCGGACCATACCCTAAGTGAACTTGCAATAACTAGTTACTAAAAATGTCTGCATTATGCAAGCATTCATCGTTTGATTATTGACTGCAGAAATATTTTCGGCACTTGTTTTATTTGATCACATGAAGCCTGCTTTTATGGGCGCCGCCACGCGAGGGCAAGGGCAGCATCCGCTGTCACATTCCATAGGCGTACTTTGTAAAATAAGTTTCTATAATATAATTAAGCTCACAGCATATAAAATGGTATATACCCACCTTGTAGATTAAATGTTGAATGAAAAAAGTTATATTATTTACAAAAAATATAAAGAAACCTAATGCTTCTGACAAAAAAGTCACTGTATTCGTTTATGAATTAATCAGGGACACTCAGTATATTATCTTTGTAATTGGCTTTTTCAACGTTAAGAAGGTTTCACTTAAAGAAGTTTCTGCACTAGATTAAAATAATAAATAAATACAGGAAAATTGTTTTATCTAAAAAAATTGCAATAAATAAAATTTGGAAAACATTTACTCACATGCATCTGTGCCCCGTATCCTGGCCCTCCCATGAATATCCAACTCATGGCAATATTTTCCGAATGGTTCCCGAAGAAGTACGGCTTCGAGTAGTACTGCCTTAAAATTTTGCCGGCATTATCGTTGCAATTGTTCCAACCCACGTACCACGGTTTTTCACCGGGTCTTAAATTAGCTCTGGCCTCGGACATTCTGAACACTTCAGCTAAGCTTTTGAATTCGGTTTGGTACGGGAAGAACTGACAGTTTTTTCCGATATTTTCGTCTAATTTTACGTTTTCGTATAAATTCTTGAAGAAGTTGAAGTTGAAACGTTTGGATGCCGGCCAGTTTTCGGTGGCGTCTGTTACTACTGCTGGTTTGACTAGCTTCGTGTACTGGTCGTAGAATTCGCTCGGTGATATATTCGAAATTTTGTTAACGCTAGTGATGCTTGTACAAAAATCGCAATTTTCTGGCTCTCTGAATATTTTCGTAGCGTCTGATGGCATTTCAATTAGACACTAGAAAAAAGAGAGAATACATTTCGATGTCACCCAACAAACATTTTGGTCTGGAGACTAATAACTGTCTGCCTCTAATTATTATAATGATGGCCTTTTAACTTGTACCTACAAAGGGCCGATAGTTTGGCCACAGTCAGTTTGCCATCATTAACAGTTACATGGGTTTTAACATCCCAGAGTTACTTTGCCATCATAAACGGTTTTTTAAAGATCTTTTTCGTATGTTGTATGTAAAGAATACAATAGAATAGACTTACAAGCTAAACCTACAACTTCTTTAACTTTAAGAAACATTTAAAATGACATTTGTACAATAAAGTATAAGGGTAATTAAAAAATATTGTATTATATCCTACGAATCTGTTATACGGATTGGTTTTTAAAATCTGTTTATTTAAAAAAAAATTATATACATATATGTTAGCAGGTAAACAAATTTTTGTGTGATTACTCATTGTAATATAACGTAAAGAACATTAGCAGTCAGGAGCGGGGGGTGCAAGGAACTGATGATGGTAGTAGCGAACTGTAGTCTGCATTCTTCCAGGCAGAACGAAATGGGTCGCCTTGAGTGCTATAGTGAAATCAAGCTGTTAGTTGATGCTCTTGCATTATTTTATTTATCTTAATTATTAATAATTGCTATTATATACTTATATTTTTTTTATACTTTTTTGTTATTTCTCCGTAATAAAAAGGTTAATGTGCCAATCAGCATTAAGCTGAACTTAACCTTTTCATTTTTCTCCAGTTATATTGTAAGTTGATATATAATAATAGGTTGGAACTTTACCTATAGTAGGTATTAAAAATATATGATTGAATAGAATTTGAAAAGTAAAATTGTTTTGCTAAAATACCTAATTCAAAAGTAATTTAGTTACAAGTCGACATTAGCTGGTCCGCTACCCGTCACTGAGTGTTTAAAATTCGTAAAACTATGCGCATGCATAGCATGCATGCTTTTAATCAAGAAAGTAGATGAGTAATTCGAACATTTTTTTGTAGTTTCAGTTTTTTATTTTCGAGAGATATAAATAGGTAATAAGTATTTAATTATACATGTATTTATTTCTTTTATATAATATGGGGTTATAAATAAAACATGATAATTATTAAAACTTAAAATTTCCACTTTCTTATTTGTTGATTTTTATGCAAGAAGAAGAATTTATTTTACCGACTGGTCCACAAAAAATGTTTCTACAGTGTAGACCAGGGATTCTCAAAGTGGTCTATACCGAAATCGACATAAACGAAAACTGATTTTCGTGGTCGACGAGGTCTGAAAAACGACCCTAATTAATTAACACAAGTTCTTATTTAAAACTTTCAAGTTACTATATAAGTTGTGTTACGTGTACCAATGACTAATATTTTAGTCAACAAGTTGATAAGCGTGCACAAGTTCGTATAAAATGAAAAACTCAGCAAGTCAATAATCGTGGAAGTTCTTGCAAAATAATGAGTTCGAGCGTATAAAGTCTTTCAGGCAGGTTAGCAAGATCAGCATTAAAAGCCCGAAATGATTCCATTACTTTGTCATGACTAAAGGAGTAATAAATTTGCGTATCATATGCGTAGAAGTGGTGGTAGCAAAATTTAAGTGCATGTTGGAAGTTACTAGTATATATAGGGTGTATAACAGTGGCCCGAGTATATTTCCTTGTGGAACTCCTATTGTTAAATCAATTTTTTGAGATTTTTTCACACTTATTTCAACCGCTTGAAATCTATCATTTAAAAAAGATCTAACAAGTTTTGTAGCAGTATCAGAAAAACCTAGATAATGTGTGATTGACAAAAGCATATCAAATGCTTTAGAGTAATCCAGTAAAATTAAGATACTTAATTTATTATTATCTTCAGCATGAATCAAGTCATGAATCAGCAAGAGCAGTCGCGCAACTATGTCCCTTGCGAAAGCCGGACTGTTTCGTTGGCAATAAATTAAATTTAGTTAAATGTTTTCTGATTTGAAACTCCATAATTCTCTCTAGTATTTTTGATAGCACTGGTAATACACTAATAGATCTTAAGTTACCCATTTCAGAGGGCGTTTTGATTTTAAGAATGGATATTACCTGTGCAAATTTCCAGTTTCGAGGAAAGTAAGATGATATAATATACTGATTAATAATATTAATAATGTAAGGAATTATAAAAGGACAAAACAACAGTAATATATCTATATTGAGATCATCAGTACCAAAAACTTTAGATTTAATGTTTAATATTATATTAGAAATAATTTCTTCTGTAATAGTTTCAAACTGAAAGTTATTATTAATCTCATTTTTTGTGTTTTTATTTTGCAAACTAGTAAAGTATTTATTTATATTATCAACGTCATTCAAATGATTAGGTATTTCCTTAGGTTTATTATTTTTTATATTTAATTTATTTATCTCATTCCACATTTGTTTAGAATTAGAATTTAAAGTAGCAAATGTTTGCCTGAGGTAGATCTTTTTCTCATTCATTATCTTATAATTGGTGTAATTCTTTAATTGCTTATAGTAAAACCAGTTCGCACCAGGTTTATTTTTTTTACAATTTTTCTGTGCATTGTCACGTAATTTTTGCAATAATTTTATATTTGGGTTCTGTTGTTGGTTTGCTTTCTTTTAGTTTTTCTGTTTTTTATTTGTATGTCGACTTCTTTTTGAATATTTTGGTTGATACTTCCGTTCTTGTTGTTCTCCGCAATTTGATCAGTTGCAATAGATTGTAATGATGCAGATCTACTATAAATTAAAGAAGTTGGTGGGTCACTAGGGCCTTGTGAAAACTGATGGTTCAAAAACATACCACATATTCCTTAGACCAAAATAAGTCGATTTAAGTAAAATTACCTTAGTACAAAGTTGCTTCGTTTGGGCTCCAGAGGGCCTTGAAGTTACAATTTTTAAATCGTTTTTCCCATATAAATTTAAAACGGCATATGCGATTTTGCTGAAATTTGGTATATTGGTACAGTTTTATGTGACAAAAAAAATGGTATTAAAATTTTGTCCGATAATAATACATAGGCGTACAACTTGATTTTTTAAATAATTACACCTTTAAAAAATCAAGTTCTACGCCTATGTATTATTATCGGATAAAATTTTATATGATGAAAAACTTAAAAATGTACTTTTTTCATATCTTCTTCAACACCTCTAATCGAGACTTTTAACAAAAATACTCGATTCTTGCCATGTACGATTTTTTGAGGAATATTGATTATTTGCCTGCAATACGTATACAAAAACATTTATTGTTGGTTTCCATAGTTTCATCTAAATAAAAATATTGTCAAGTTTTAACACCTAATCTCTTGTTAACGATTGAAAGTGTTCTATCTGACTCAATAATTAAAAAAACAAATGCGTGGTTTATTAATATGGCTGTACAATATACCAATGCAGAATATACCGATATGTTACTGACATTAGGATTTTGTGAAGGAAATGCTCGAGAGAGTGTCAGGGTGTACTCTGAAAGGTTTCCAAATCGTTGTGTACCTAGCCACCCAACTTTTGCTGCTGTTGAGAGACGTCTTCGGGAGACCGGTTCCTTTGCTCCCAACAATGTTAATAATGGAAGAGAACGTTTTGTAAGGATTCCTGAAGTTGAAGAAGACATTTTAGAACGTGTTGAAGAAGATCCAGAATTAAGCACCAGACGAATTGGAAGGGAACTAGGAGTAAGTAAAGATGTCGTTCGTTCATAAAGTGCTTAGAGAACAATTGCTATATACATACCATAATAAGCCAGTACAAGAATTATTAGTCCATGATCCTCAAATTCGTTTGGGTTTTTGTCGATTTGATAATATGCAAAGAGAAAGAGATCCAAACTTTGTCAAGAAGGTTCTCTTTACCGATGAAGCGGGTTTTACAAGAAGAGGTATAACTAATACCCATAATGAACATGTTTATTCCGTTGAAAATCCGCATGCAATAAAGGTAAACCATTTTCAGTACGAATTCAAAATTAATGTGTGGGCTAGAATAATTGGTAATTTCATTGTTGGTCCTGTCATACTTCCACGAAGATTAACTGGAGAAAATTATTTGGATTTTCTACAAAATACGTTGCCAGAATTGTTAGAAGATTTACCTCTCCAACTTCGGAGAGATATGTGGTTTATGCAAGATGGAGCTCTACCACATTTTTCTTTAAACGTTAGAAACCACTTGAATGAACAATATCCACACAAATGGATAGGTAGAGGTAATGACGCTCCTGTAAACTAGCCACCACGTTCCCCAGACCTAACACCGATGGATTACTTTTTATGGGGACATCTGAAATCCACAGTTTACAGGGAACCTGTAGAAAATGAGGAACAACTGTGGCAACGTATTCAAGATGCAATAAACAATCTTAGAGGTGATGAAGAAGTTATGGAAAGGATACATTTTAATTTTCTTCAACGTATAAATCTTTGTATGTGTGAAAATGGTGAACATTTTGAACAATTTTTGTTAAATCTCTATTTTGATTATGTTGTAAATAAATATTTTTGTGAAACCTATACACTCTAAATTATTAAAACAGAAATTTAGCGAAAACCATGAGAGTAATCGAGTCTTATCAGGAGTACCTTTTTTAAAGTAAATGAGTTGCGCAATCTAAATTTCATACTAAAACTCCTTTTCTTCCATTGGCGTAGAATTTTTAAAGGTGCAATTATTTAAAAAATCAAGTTCTACGCCTATATATTATTATCGGACAAAATTTTAATACCATTTTTTTGCCACATAAAACTCTACCAATATACCAAATTTCAGCAAAATCGCATATGCCGTTTTAAATTTATATGGGAAAAACGATTTAAAAATTGTAACTTCAAGGCCCTCTGGAGCCCAAACGAAGCAACAATATGTGGTATGTTTTTGTAAAGACCTTTTACACTTATCACTACTTAAATTTCTTACTTCCTTAAGATGTTTTCTTAATATTTTATTTCTTTCCTGTTGCAACTTAGTTAAATCAGGGGTAATTATAATATTGGTGCCTTTAAGTTTTTTACATTTATTCAAGATTTCAACTTTGGTGAAGCGGGATAAACGTTCTAATTTTATTGGTTCTTTTCCTGTATTGCCTCCCAGTAAAAAATATAGATCATTAATAACACTGCTGTTGAGATTAGTTTCGAGTATTGTATTTTTTATTGCATTTATATTATTCATATTTATAGTATTGCTTATTTTTGCTTATTATTGCTGTATACAGATAAGGAAAGTATAGGAATCATGAAATTTAAATTTTTCAGAATTTTTGAGTTAGATGTACCTATGGGGATTACAGAGGTGCTACAATAGGTTGTACAAAATAACCGAAAAAGCCCGTAATAACTAGATAGGAAAGTCATGTGTTGGACACATCAGATTTTTTATCTTTACTTTGCGATTTTAATGTTTCTTTTTTTTTAATAATTACCTACTTAAGAATTTTTATGTAATTTGTATTAATAATTATTAATTACACTTGATGTTTACTGAATTTTGTCTATTTATTTTGTTACATTTTGATAAGAAATTTACCTACTCACTTAACCAACCGCAAATTGGTGTATTTTTAAAGTAATTTGGCTATGAGGGTCTGAGGTATCAGTCCATTTTGGAAAAATAGTTTGGGAATCCCTGGTCTACAGGATAGACAATCAACGCCAAAAATATTAGCTAGAAGCATAATATTTGTCTCTCTCTCTGTGTTTTCTTGATATCACGCCTTAAAAATATAAATTTTAATGGTATTTTAAACACTGTTTTTTTTTATCAGTATATTTGCGTATTTTGTAAATTTAATTAATCGAACTCTACTGTTTCAGCGCAAGAAATAATGAGTAAGCAGAGACGGAGAGCATGGGACGGAATCGGGGACCTCACTTTTCTCTAAAACTTGCGAACAGCCAGTGTAATATAAAAAAATAATTTTCAGGTATTATATGTATATTGTAAACTTTTTATAATTCAGTGATTATTTGGGTTTATTTCCCAATTATATTGTAATTTTTGTTTTATATTGTTGCTTCCTTTGGAAAAAATGAACATTATTATTATATTATTATTCTCGATTCCAGTTTCTAATGGAATCTGCAGTGTTTTTTTTTTAAATTAACCAGGTAACATTATCACTAGGTAGGTACCTTTATTAATCAAACTACTCATAATACATAATGATTATACTCGTAATTAAAATAATTAACTCACCTGGTTGTTGTAGAACGCGTCTGCATTCCTATACAAAATGTAACAAAAAATTAACGAATAAAAACATATCTTAATTTCCTTTTTGTATGTAAAAACGAAACCATTTATGAATAAATGTTTCGCAACACTTCCCGCTCGCATTAGAAGTGAAACGTCGATTTTTCTCAAAGTTTTAAACATATTTTTATTTGTTATCAAGATATTCGTGTTAAAACCGCGCTTAAAAATAACGTGAAGGGACTGAATGGAAAATGAATTCTGCGTGCCTTGAAAGCGGTTATCAGGAACTTAGAACACCAGCTGGATGAAGGAAATGAAGCAAGAAGAAAATTAAGTGGGTTTTCCGGACACATGTGTCTTTTCCGCGATTTATTATACAGTGGTGACATAAAATTTGACGCCTTTAAACTTTTGAAATGTTTCAAAATTATTTTACAAAAGTGTATTGATATTTCGTACAATTTTTGGTATGCTTGAATCTATCTATATCTATAAAATAAAGAGTCACAGGTGTAAGTAGGAAGGTGAAATTTGGGACGTTTTTTAAAGTCGGTTGCTAGGGAACAATTTGTAACAAAGTAAAAAAAGAGGTGGTGAATTTTATAATTATTAGAACCACTTGCAAGTAGAACTGTGGAAATTCCTGGTTACTTGGTTCAATCCCAAAAGCAAAATCTGTTACAGACGTATTTTTATAAAATTTAATACAAGTACAGTACATTTTTTGGAAACAATCATTTTCAATAACAGAAACCCCGTCTTTTTGTTTTACATCATGTGAAGGTATATTCGAAATTATCTATTTTCATGACAGCAGCGTCCCTAATTTATGAACTAACGGACGATATTTGCGTATACTGATTGTATACAATTTTTAATAGAAATCGTAATAGTTTGTTCAACAAGAGTGGATATAATGGCCATATCACACGAAGACGAAGTTTGAGCATAACGCCGTAGTTGATATGGGCACTCCACTCGAGTTGTACAGTATATTTTTTCTACGATCCACTAACGAAAATCTACAAATTAAGACAAAATAAATAATTTTAAAATAATTTATAACTTTATATAAAATAAATATGAAAAAAGATTTAATATAACTAGTCCCCTGCCCAGATTCGAACCCGGCGTTTCACGTGGAAGACAGATATATTCTCATCTCCATCTCCACATTTAGGATTTTTGTTTTAATACTCATAATTAAATTAGTTTCATGTAGTTTGATTCGAATTTAAGATTTTTTTTTTTTTCAAAATGTGGATCAAATAAAAATAAAACTGCTATTATTTATCGATTATAGACAAAAATAACTCATTTTATTGGATATATAATCTCAATAACTAAAAAATATACTGACAATTAGTTTTCCAGAATTGTCATTTATTTAAAATTTCAAAAATAATAGTAGCTGGGTGTCCAAAATATGAACTGTGATTGGTGGATTTCATTTTTTGCAGTATTTTCATTGCTTAGACTGGATATAAAATATATTCGTTCAGTTGAACGTAATAGCATACTTTTTCGTTTTGTAGTTTGTGCGTAGATAAGCCAATAGTGGGTGTAGAAAAAATATATATTATGTTGATTTTTAATAAAAGTATGTGGATTTGTAAAACAAGTGAAAAAATTAATTTATTATTATATATTTGTATTGCTTCAGCCAAAAAAAAAAATAAGTATAATCCCCATGCCATTTAAATTTTTCGAAAGGGTTGCTCCCCTCCAGTAAGGGATGAAATTAAGGGTAAACTATTCATACAAAAATGTACATTGTAGAAGTCAAAAATCGACGTATCTCGGCAGTTTTCCTAACAAGACTCCAGTATCGATTTAGATAGGGGGGGGGGTAAGACTTATGATGCTCACTGTATATAATAATAAATGAATCTTATCACTTGTTTTATAAATCAATATAATTTTATTAATTAGGAATTCTATTAAAAATGATACTTTTAATACATAAAAAATCCTCCTTTAGTACATATTATTCATTATACATATTAGCATTAGATGTCTTTGAACTAATATTATCCTTTACATAGAGATGTTGAAATAAACTCAGATTCTTGAATTTTACTGGAGTTTTTTCCTGGTGAAAAGAAAAACGGTATTTCTTAGGAAAATTCAGTAAGAAGCTTACAATTTACATTCCTTTGAAGTTAATGCTCTCTGATTATTTGAGGATAAAAGAGAGGCTTCAACCAATAATTAATTTACACTTCTTATAAAATGTTTATTCATTTTTATTCATAGGTCAGAAAGACAATTAAAGAGCTGTTACCTTCTGTCAAACTGCCTTTGTTGACGAAGAAGTCTTCGTCCCATTGAATCCCACAAATGTTCAATGGGATTAAGGTCTGGTGACTGCGCAGGCCATGGCAAAACATTGAGATGCTCAGTTTCTAGAAATTCACGCACGAGCCGTGCTGTTTGTGGACGGGCATTGTCGTGCATTAGCTGGAAATTCGGACCAAATCCTGCAGTATATGGAAACACAACAAGTTCCAAAATACTGTCACGATAACTGGTAGCCCCAGATAGCACAAGGTCGTCTTAAAAACGTCTTTAAGACGTCTAGCATAAGACATTCGAGACGTCTTCAAGACGTCCGGTATTTCCTGAAAGACGTCTTTAAGACGTCTTAGAAGACGTCTGATGTTACAAAAAGCGACGTCTTTAAGACGTCTTAATAATGGCTTATATTGGTCTGTAGAGCTTAAAATAAGCCATAAATAAGACGACTTTAAGACGACTTATTAATAGCTTATAATGGTCTTGTAAAGCCTTAAATAAGCCATATATAAGATGTCTTTAAGACGTCTTATTAATGGCTTATAATGGTCTTGTGAAGCTTTAAATAAGCCATAAATAAGACGTCTTTAAGACGACTTATTAATAGCTTATAATGGTCTTGTGAAGCCTTAAATAAGACGTCTTTAAGACTTATTAATGGTTTATAATGGTCTTGTGAAGCTTTAAATAAGCCATAAATAAGACGACTTATAAATATCTTATAATGGTCTTGTGAAGCCATAAATAAGACGTCTTTACGATGTCTTATGAACGTAGGACGTCGGATATCTTGGTTATTAAAAAGTAAAACAACCTTGCAGATTATAAAATAATGCAAAAAATAGAATTAAAATATTTATTGATAAAACATCTATTAATCACAGGTCACTAAGAGTTATTTTCTTTGTAGCGCATTCGATTACTCTTCTTTAGCCATAACTGGATTGATTTTTCTCTTTGATTTGTAGTTGCCTTTGTATAGCTCCTAAAAAGAAATTTAGTTAAGAGCATCTAGTCACAGAAAATTATACTTTGCAAAAGTTAGTAAAAACCGACAGAACAGTTATCTATAAAGCAAAACAAAAAATTAATTTCTTAGAATTTTAAATCAAAGAATTTTTATAATCATTTAATGCAATATGAGCTATTATGCTTAATCGCCTACTTTAACAATTTTACTTTAACTTCACTCAAAATGGCTATCTAATAGGGAATTTTTGATATTATTAGTTCTTAAAATCTCCATAAAAACAAACAAAAATGATACTTGACGAATATCTGAATTAAATCTTATATTAAGATGTTTACTTTTAAATTAATTTAATTATTCTTAGAAGAAACAGGATATTAATGTTCTATGTATATAAACAAATATTCATTTATTACCTGTATTCCAGGAACGTGCTACATCGATAACACAAACTATTCTTCCCTCTCTGGTTTTTGTTTCATATTATTTAAGTAGAAAGAGACACAAATGCTCAAAATAGCCCAAAGTCGCTTTTGGTGGCTATAATCGTGTACGCAATAAAATAATCAATAATCCACAATGAGCTTGGGCCATACAAATTTTTGGCTTGGGCTTGAATGTATTTCTTCTTTTCTTCGTTTTATATGGGCTCAATCTTTTCACTTTTCCACTGCACTTGATCAGGCCCGAGGGGGGTAGCCGGGACTAATTCCCGGAGCCCGGACTCAAATGGGGGCCCGACAATAGGGTTTTCTGCTTTTTTTTTTTTTTAGAAGAAGAAGTAATTGAGGTAGGGAGAAAATTTATTTTCTTTTTTTTTTAAGAAGAAGAAGTAATTGAGGTATGGAAAAAAATTATTTTCTTCGAGACGAGGACCTTTTTTTTTTAGAAAACGAAAAGTTTTTGTCCCAGGACCCGATGTAGAGAATTGTACCGGGATCCGACCTGGCTCTCGGCGGCCCTGCACTTGATATTTGATTTCAATTATCTTCTCCAAATATTACACTGAATATTTTGTTTAATTTTGTATACTTTTTAAATTCGGATGGTCACTTTTATACTAGATATTTTGTGATTTTTATGGGATTGCTTGGCTCCCGATTCGGAGAACGCCATTTCAATATTGCCACGATGGTGTCCGAATCGGAAGTCCGGCTTGTATATAATGTTAAATCAAACGTCAAACTTCACTTCAATTTCAATTCAATTTCAAAAGTCTTTTATTTACAATATGTACAATTTTTATTATAATAACATACTATTTATTATATTAGAAGGATTTCTTCTCAAAAGGTCTTCTTGTGAAGTGTTCTCTTCTTGAATGGCCCACTATGTGACCATGACCGATGTTGTGGTCGTATAGATAGCGGTTATTATTTAATATTTTAATGTGATGACTTCTCCTTATTGAATTTACAACATTATAAGTCAATTATGGCTAGCTTGCAAAGGCGATAATGGAATAGTTGTAGGTTTTTGTATGATTTTAATTTTGTCTGTATTTCCCTGAAAAACCGATCGTAAAAAACAGGGTTGTCCTTGTTTGTGTGTGTGTCTTGTGGTAGTTTATGTGCATGAATAACTCATATCACTGGTCCACACAGGGGCCCCACCGTCAAGCACGAAAATCGTAGTGAGCCACGAATTTTCGCATCTGACGATGACGTCACCGTGCAGTCCTCCGTCCGACCAAAGTTGCTAACTAGTCGGCGTTGTGATTTGAGTATTCAGTGGGGTTTACGCTGCTATGGAGGATGTATGTCTATTGTTTTGAATTTAATTTTGATCCCGTGTGTATATTGATAGTGCCTTATGCAGGCATCCGTGGATTCTGTGAATGCCATCACCTTGATGTATAGAATTTATATGGTTTTTTAACTCTGGTGGTAGACATTTATCATAAAAACCCTCAGATATTCTGATGACATGGTCTTTGACAGTTTCCAAGGATGCTTGCACATGCATATCGTGTATTCTAGCGTAGCGGTCATACCCCAAAAACTTCATTTGATTCTTCTTGTTAAATTTGAATTATGTAAACCGTGCAAGTTTCCGTCCGACTGAAAGACGTTTGTAAGACGTCTTAAAGACGTCTTTGAGCTTTCACATTAATATATGGATTTGGCAAGACGTCTTAAGAACGTCTTTGAGCTCTCACATTAATACGTCTGAATTATGGCTTTTGAAAGACGTCTTATAAGACGTTTTAATAACGTCCTAGGACATTGAGACCAAACCAAGACACAAAAAAGACTTCTTTCAGACGTCGTGTGCTATCTGGGGCATTCAAAAAGTCGTCTAATAAAACGAGGTCAGTCCTTCCTCCGACACGCATACCCCCCATACCATTATTATACCACCCTGGTAGCTGCTCAAACTTCCTAGGCTGCGGCAAGACATTCCAGATTTCCAGGTCGTCTCCCACACACGAAGTCGACGTGAATCCGGATGAAAACCGAATCGGGATTCGTCTGTAAAAAGTACCGTAGACCATTCTTGATGTCCCCAGTGTTGACGTTCTTGTGCCCATTGTAGTCTTTGTGCGCGATTACCTCTTGTTAACGGGGGAACACGGAGCGGTCTGCGAGCATAAAGGTTGAACGGTGCAACCTGTTTCTCACAGTATGGCTGCTCACAGCAATATGGTGTGTGTGGTATAACTGATTTGCTAACTGACCTGCTATGACAGTTCGATCTCGTAGTGCCCGTAATCGAATAAAACGATCACGTCAGTTGCTCACGTATGACCAGTATGTCGTTCTCTAACATCCCCAGTCTCACGGCATCTTGTCATCAATCGATAAATCACACTAGCGCTGATGTCATAAGGACCTGCGCGACTGCTCTATAATTTTGGCTTCCTTCAGCCATCCCTACTGCTCGCAATTGTTCGTCGCGGTTTAAATGTCTTTCAATCATGAACAATTAAACACTAATTCGAATATCAAAAATCTCGTTTTGTCCTTCGTAGAAGCAAAAACCAAAAGAAATTTTCAATATAATACCTGGTGACTCAAAAAAGTTATAACAATTTTATTCCTTGTTCCCTAGATTTTTTTGATGTGTGTATTATATACAGGGTGGCTCACGCTCAACGGGACGGAGCTTTATGGGAAAACGACCAAAGATATAAAAAATTCGTTTGGGAGGAATACGTAGGTTACAGACGGCTACAATTTAAAATTTGTTAGATGTATACAGGATGTCCCACATAAGATAAAATATACAAAGTTATATTATTTTTAATGGAACACCCTGTTTTTTATTTTAGAATTAAAAACTACATCAAAAATAATGTCAGTTAACTAAAGGTTCCCTATTACTATTATTATTAGTTTTCGATTTATTTGAATTTTTAAGGAAAAAAAGTCTCCCAGAAATTAATTGTTTACTCTTGTTTGAATAATTTTTAATGAACTAATTTTTTTTTCTTATGTGGGACATCCTGTATACATCTAACAAATTTTAAATTGTAGCCGTCTGTAACCTACGTATTCCTCCCAAACGAATTTTTTATATCTTTGGTCGTTTTCCCATAAAGCTCCGTCCCGTTGAGCGTGAGCCACCCTGTATAATTAGACTTACCCCTTAGGTGGGTATATCGTGAGACTTCTTTCCTTAAACTAATTATTAGTCATATTGTATAGAGACTATCTCCCTAGACCAACCTAGACCTCCAACTAAAGCTCTTGGGCTCTAATCAGATTATTAATGCCAAAAATTGTCTCATCAAATTGATATTAAAATATTCTCGAGATTTAGATTCAACAAAAATACTCGACTATTATTAAGGTCTTGGTATATTACCCTTGAATATTATATCCTATCTTTTCAGTGCAATATTATTTAGGCATATTTTGTCACTGTTAATTATTCTTTCCTCCGTGTTTTGTTAGTAGTTTCACAAGTTTTGAATGTTAAGTTTTTATACTATTTTTTTTTTAATTTTTTATAATGGGGGTTTTCTGGAAAAATAAAACAATGCAATAGTTTATCATTATCAACTTCTATTAACATTTGGATGTTTTCCATTGGAAAATTTTCTATTCTTATTAATACAAATCTATTTATACTTAATTTTGAACTTTATCAAACCTACTCCTAATCTAAATCAACAGAAAAATTATTTTTTTTTAAATAAATGTACAAATTAAAACCTGTAGTTCATAAACGAACGTCAATAATAATTATGTCGAAAAATTCTCATTGGAACAAAATATTAAAACGTACTACATTTTTATTGCTTAAATTAACGAATTAAAATTTATTAATAAAACTGTACACATTAAAAATATACAATACTAAAGAATATAAATTATTTTGTTTTTTTTTTCAATTTTCTAGTCGGCCGCTTACCTTTCCTGAAAAACAAAATTGACTTAATTTAGTGCACAATGGATACACAACGAATAATAATAATAATAATAATAATAATAATAATAATAATAATAATAATAATAATAATGTATCATCATTCAGCATACATAGGAATCTATTCTGTAGTGATTCACTTATAATTTAACAATAATAGGTATTGATAGTCTTAAAAATATTTTCTATTCACTAACTTTCTTTATATTAATTAATAACATTAATAACATTAATAACATTAATAACATTAATAACATTAATAACATTAATAACATTAATAACATTAATAACATTAATAACATTAATAACATTAATAACATTAATAACATTAATAACATTAATAACATTAATAACATTAATAACATTAATAACATTAATAACATTAATAACATTAATAACATTAATAACATTAATAACATTAATAACATTAATAACATTAATAACATTAATAACATTAATAACATTAATAACATTAATAACATTAATAACATTAATAACATTAATAACATTAATAACATTAATAACATTAATAACATTAATAACATTAATAACATTAATAACATTAATAACATTAATAACATTAATAACATTAATAACATTAATAACATTAATAACATTAATAACATTAATAACATTAATAACATTAATAACATTAATAACATTAATAACATTAATAACATTAATAACATTAATAACATTAATAACATTAATAACATTAATAACATTAATAACATTAATAACATTAATAACATTAATAACATTAATAACATTAATAACATTAATAACATTAATAACATTAATAACATTAATAACATTAATAACATTAATAACATTAATAACATTAATAACATTAATAACATTAATAACATTAATAACATTAATAACATTAATAACATTAATAACATTAATAACATTAATAACATTAATAACATTAATAACATTAATAACATTAATAACATTAATAACATTAATAACATTAATAACATTAATAACATTAATAACATTAATAACATTAATAACATTAATAACATTAATAACATTAATAACATTAATAACATTAATAACATTAATAACATTAATAACATTAATAACATTAATAACATTAATAACATTAATAACATTAATAACATTAATAACATTAATAACATTAATAACATTAATAACATTAATAACATTAATAACATTAATAACATTAATAACATTAATAACATTAATAACATTAATAACATTAATAACATTAATAACATTAATAACATTAATAACATTAATAACATTAATAACATTAATAACATTAATAACATTAATAACATTAATAACATTAATAACATTAATAACATTAATAACATTAATAACATTAATAACATTAATAACATTAATAACATTAATTACATTAATAACATTAATAACATTAATAACATTAATTACATTAATAACATTAATAACATTAATAACATTAATAACATTAATAACATTAATAACATTAATAACATTAATAACATTAATAACATTAATAACATTAATAACATTAATAACATTAATAACATTAATAACATTAATAACATTAATAACATTAATAACATTAATAACATTAATAACATTAATAACATTAATAACATTAATAACATTAATAACATTAATAACATTAATAACATTAATAACATTAATAACATTAATAACATTAATAACATTAATAACATTAATAACATTAATAACATTAATAACATTAATAACATTAATAACATTAATAACAGAGACTAAAAAAAAAGTTTAGCAGCGAAACGAAAAGGAACAAGAGGAAATAGAAGCTGTACACTTAGTATAGAAGAAAAACAGAACCTAAAACAAGGACATCCATAACGCACGAAAGGAAATAAAGAACGCAATTAACAAGGCTAAATAACAGTCATGGACGAGCTTTGTGCTGATATCGACAACAATATATGGGAAGATGGGTATAAATTACCAGAAGAGAGGAACAGCTAAATATTGCCAGAAATCTATTTCCGCAAGATAATAAACACAACTGGGAGGAACTGAGAGTAAGAGAAGATATATCTCTATTCACGGTGTCAGAAATGAAAGAAGCCAATGCCAAACTCAAGTGTAAGAAATCTCCTGGCCCAAATGGAATACCTACGAAAATGATAAAGGCAGTATTTTGCGCATATCCAGAATATATGCTGAACCTATTTGATGAGCTGCTCAAAGCAGGAAAATATCTGGAAATATGGAAAAGAGCTACACTAGTTCTTTTAGAAAAACCTAGGAAGCCAGTAGACAGAAACAAAATATAGACCAATATGTCTGCTGGACACATTGGGAAAGTTATTGGAGTACCTTATAGCAGAAAGAATTAACATGGATATCAAGGACAGGGCAGACATAGCAGAGAACCAATTTGGTTTTAGAAAAAAACATTCAACATTAAGACGAAAATAGAAACGATTAAACAAAGTACTTATGCAAACAGCAAATTCTGTATCCTTATAACCCTAGATATTGCAAACGCATTTAATACACCAAGATGACATTATATTATGGAAGAAATGAAAAGAAGAAAAATAAGCCCGTATCTAAGAAAGATAAATATGTAGATAATAGAAAATTATTAATAGGAAGAAAAAGATGTTACGATGGGAGTACCACAGGAGTCCATACTGGGTTCTCTTCTATGGAACCTATTCTATGATGAGGTCATAAGAACAAAATTGCCTAATCCTAATGGAGTTGAAGTGATAGGTTATCTTGACGATACTGCTATATTGATAGAAGATAAAACAAAATAGCCCTAATAGTAAAAGCAAATGCAGCATTAGCATGTATATCAAGGGAGATAGAAAGATGAGGAATAAGATTAGCTACCAAAAAAACTGAAGCTGTCATTTTGGAAGGGAGAAATAACCTTAAGCACATTACAATCGAAATGAAGGAGGTAGAAATACAAAGTAGGGAATGCATCAAGTATCTAGGTGTCACTTTCGATAGAAATAGCACAATGAAAAATCATATTATAAACACATGTAAAAAAGCTGCTCTCAGTAGACTGATGCCGAATGTAGGAGGACCAAAGTCGGGTAGACGGAAAGTACTAGCGTCAATTGTTCACTGTACTGTATTGTATGCTGGCACCAGTATGGGAAACAGTAATTCAGAAAAAATACATTAGAAACATAGTAGAAAGACTACAAAGACGTTTAATAATAATGATATGTAATGCTTATCGAACTATATCAACAAATTCACTATTGACGATCGCAGGTGTAACACCTATTGATTGAATGGTACAAGGATGATCAAAAATATATAAAGACCCGGAGGAAAGGGAAAATATAAAAGAAAGTATCATTAGAAAATGGTTATGTCCATGGAATACTCAGAATGGATGTTTAAGGCAATACCTGCATAGGTTTAAGGTAAGGGAAAGCTCCCAAAATATCTACTGTGGAGAACTGGATTCCATTGAAAACACTGTTTTTAGATTTAGTAGGTGGCAAGAGATCAAAATCAAATTTTAATGTTGAAATAAATTTAAAACCTACTTGATGAAACAAAATTTGATTTTTCTCGAAAACGGTCGACTTTAGAGCGTATGACCAAGAGTACCTTTTTTGTATAGAAAACATTGGCGGTTCAAATTGGCGTCTCAAAACCGTACTTTTTCCAGTGGCGTAGACATTTTTTTTTCAATTTCAACACCCTGTATCTCGAAAATGGTGCATTTTAGAGGGTAAGTTAATAGAAACGTTTCTTCATATTTTTGGACGAGCTATCACGTCCTGAAGTCCTGTGCAAATATTATGAAACACCCTGTATAGTTCAGAGTAACTTTAAATTAATTATATTGTTATATTTTACATTTCGTTCTTGCACATACAAGTGTTAAGTCACTTAGGTGCATTTATTAGTACAAGCCTAAGTTTTTGTTTAATATTATGTTGTCATATCATGTATATTGTATTTGAATAAATTGAAAATTGAAATTGAAGAAGCAGTCGAAATAATATAAATGCATGGAAAATATGTGAAGTAACCCTTATCTGAATTAATGCTAATGGCAGTCCCAGATAAGATGTTAAGAAAACCTGGAGGTGTTTTAGTGAGTATGCAGTGCCTGCACCTACCGCACTGGAGTCTCACACTACCTTGCCGCAATAGATCTAAGCGCTTGGTATCCATAAGGGATTTCACCTCTACCGAAAAAAAAAAACAAATAACATTAATAGCATTAATAACATAAATAACATTAATAATATTAATAAATCTATTGACACGTGCTTGGAAGACACATTATATTATTTTTCAAAAATTTAAGGGCACCTGAAAGTTAAATTTTTAAGGGATGTTTTACAGAATAGATTCCACAGCGAATCATTTATATGACAGACTTACTCAGTTTTAAAGGAGCTGCTTAAGGTGTTTGATTTGATTTTGGCTATAGGTGTAGTTTGACTCCGCGTTCTCAAACTTCCTGACATCATACTGTTACTTGAATTATTGAAAACATCATCTTCACTAACCTACAATATTATTATAATATATAGAATGGATCCAAGATTTTACCAGCTGATAGTTTATCGAAAAATAAAAGTACTTTGATAAAACTATTATTGAATTTTTCTTTTTTTGATGTACAGGATTCAGATATTCAAAGAAGTGCCAACTTGTTGATTTAAAGGTATAAAAAAAAAAAAAAAAAGTTGTATGTTTAAAAAAATTATATTTTGTGTCAAAAACTAATCAAAGTGCCTAATGGGAATATGAGATCAACTGTAGCATGTTCAAAAGCCACCTCATAAAGTTGTCAACAAAGTGTGAAAATTTCATTTAAATCAAAGCCTTTCTCAGATATGAATAAACAACTGTTTTAAAAAAATTTTAACACCCTATACATCAAAAAGGAAACGAAATTGGACAATATTTTGTCAGACAAACTACCTTTATTCTTCAATATACTATTGTCTGGTAAAATCCTGAATGATATAAACTGGACCACCCTGTAGACAATCTTGAAAACAGAAAAAAATTTAAATCGACTCTTAACTTCTTATTTTTATTTATTATTTCAAATTACGAACCTGTGGGAGTTCATATGACGAATCAGTCGATTTTCTTAATTTCAATTTTCTCCCTCGAAGATTTTTTCTTATCTTCCCCTCTAAAATTGAAAAAATAATAAATACAAAATTAAAATAGTTATAAAAAATAACGATTGATCCAAAAAAAAAATATTTATAAAGTCGGCCATGACTGACAAGTACCCAAACACGAGTCAACCCGTGAAAACTACAAAATTAAAGAAATTGGATAATTGTACAGTCAAACATATGAGATTTTATTATGTCCTACTTTAATAATAAATTAGGAAGTATATTAATCATTTAATTCCACATACTTCGATTTTCTCTTACTATACGGAGAATAGTGCCTTTTAAAAGAAGATAGAAAACTCCGCTATTATGAACACTTATTACGTGCTGCCTACATCTTGACGCAATAATTTTAGTGGTTATGTTATAATATTTACCCAAAGTCAGTCCACAAAGACATTATTTACAAACGTACACTTTACAAAATCATTAACAAATAATGAATATCTTGAAAACCTTGCTTTACTTGGTGATTTTATGTTAAATCTTTTCATTTGTAAGTAACAGTAACTACTTTATTTATGTTCCTATTGTTGTATTCTAAAGCTTTTTATTTTTTAGGTCTCCTACGAATCTCAAGCACTTAACATGAACAGTGGTTACAAACCATTAATCAAATTGTTTAGAAATTATTTTTAACTAAACTCTGTTGTCTGTTCTCAGCATTTTGAGGAAAATGCTTATTGCTCTTATGTAAAAAGAAACAAACATTTTATTTTTGTAATCTTTGAGGCTAAACAATCTAATATTATATTTTGCATTTTTTCAGCTTGGTACGAAACTATAAAACAAAAACAAAGAAATGTGAGATTAAAGAAACTCTAACTAAAAGATATTACCAGAGGAATATACTCTTGCAGGTAAGCTGTAAAAGATAGTTAGTTTTTATCTTATAATTTATCTGAGACAGGCACGTTGAATTTGTATAAGTTATTTTTTTTTTAATTAATTATATCCCATACAGGCGAAAAATATCATTATATTAAGGTAAAATCATATGCAGTTTTAGAAATAATTTAAAACCACTCACCTCTATTTCAAGATAATAATAAAACGTCTTTATTCAAATTTTTGAAAATTACACAAATACAATGTAAGGGCGTGATTTAGCCTACATCTATTCTTCCATCTAACCCTTTTAGTAACAGGATCGATAAATATTATTAAAAACAAAAAACTATAATATACTATAATAAAAATAAAAAAAAACACTTAACTAAACTGTTAATGCAAATAAATAATAATTGAATTATTATTAAATTAAATTACACAATTTGTATACACAATTTAATTTGATCATCGTTGTTGATACAGCAGGATATTTTTGAGCTTACGCTTGAAACCAGTATATGAATGGGTATTCTTTAAATCATTGTCTAGCTCATTGTAATATTTAACAGCACAGTATGAGAAACTGCGTTCAAAAATAGCATGTGTGTGGCGGGGCATTGTTAACGTGGATTGCTCGTGTACATTAATATTATGCATTTGATTTCTGTTAACCTACGAGAGAGATATATATTGGACTTTGAGTGTGTATTATTTTGTGCACCAATGATAGCAAATGATACTTATACAGAGTACTAATATTTAGCCACCGAAGTTCTTTAAAGCTTTGGGAAATATGATATTTGCGTAAACCAAATATATATCGACATGTATTCTGAATTTTTTGAAGCCTTATAGATGTTATTTAATCTAGACAAGGATACAAAATTATATCACAATAAGAAATTTAGCTAAGGATTAGAGTTTCACATAAGTATTTTTTCATATTCATTGAGAGCAAATCTTTATTAGCATATTCGCAAGGTGCAAAGTATATGGTGGGGACAGTCGAATCGACAGCAGCGTTCGCAGTGGACAAAGTAGGCATTAAATCTGGATTTTGTTGTGAATAAATTAATAAAAGAATTTAAATATCTCATGAACGGTTGGATTTACGAAAATTTTTAGTTCCTGCTAATTTGTAGAGAACAGTTTTCTCCGTCGAATGGTGAATAATTAATTTTCCTAAGGTTATTAGTTTTTGAGTTTTAACAAAAATTTAAATTGAATTACATTTAATTTTTAATTATTACGCCATTATATCAAAAACTATTGAGTTTTGAAAAATTTTGAACGAATACAAATTTGTTAATCATTGTTTTTTCTTGCCAACAAAGCAATTCCTATACTTTAATCTTTAACCATTCAGAAGTAATAGGGATAAATCTTCACGGCATACGATAGCCTGAATATGACAAAATCGCTAAGCAAAAACCGCTTTGTTTTTCTCGGTCTTTTGACATTTTGACAGTTAACCGTACTTATTGTATACGAAAAATGGGGCATTCTACTTGTTGCATTGTGAATTGCAAAAATACAGGCAAAAATAGTTGCAAATTTTATACATTTTCAACTGCCAGTAGAAAATTAGAAAAAAGAGCGAAATTGATAGAAGCAGTTAAAACAAAAAAGTAAGTAATGTACAACCTAACTTTACCTTTTCTTATAATTAAAATAATATTTTTATAGTCTTGATGAATCACTGTGGATTCCAAAACCAAATGATTGCATTTGTAGCAATCATTTTATTGGAGGTAAAAAATCAGAAGAGGGAGGCAAGTCCGCGCATTTTCTAAATTCTTTCACTTCTCTGACATGATTTGCCCTTACCAGTTGTTTTCCCTTGTACAAAGTTTTAGGTTGAAACAATATCTCATGAGATATTGCCTCAAATCCTGTTTGAATAATGATGTTCATTGGCAGAGAATTTATTAAAACATTAATAGTTTAAATTTTTAAATTAACCTTTTTTTGACAGTTAACCTAATACTATTCTTATGTTCTTCTTTATTTTTGGCCTTTATCTATTCAGCATTATTTTATTTAAAATAAAATGCATTTTATACTCATTAAAATTACTTATACTTACTTTTTATCGCGATATGTAATATTTACTATTTCTTTAATATTTATCACGTATTACACTTATATTTCACAGCGATTTTCTCTTTATTTTGTATTTATAAAAATTTTACATGTAATTCATCATTGATAGGGCCAGATTTAATGCGGTCACAAGATGTCGCTTCCTTCGCGCACCCGGCGAATAGAAGTTTGAGAATTAGATAACATTGAGTGGACAAACTGTTGATATGTTCAATAAATCGAAGATTCTCATCCAGTAGTAAGCCCAGACTTCTGGCTACATGTACCATAGGAATTGTCTCATCCTCAAGTTTTATGGAAAAATTATTTTTAATAAAAGATCGAGATTGGGCATTAGAAAATATGATTGATTTGGATTTAGATAGATTTAAATGCAGATTATGATCCAATGAAAATGTTTTTATTCTACCTAGGTCCTTATTAACCGCTTTACTTGCTACCTCTGCATTAATGGAATGAAATGAATGGTGTAGTTGGGTATCGTCAGCAAAAAACTGGATTTTACATGCCAGAGTTTGTTCACACAAGTCTGACGTATACAGAAGAAAGAGTAAAGGACCTAGGACGGAGCTCAAAATGTACTCGCAATTATAACTTTACTTCAGAGAAGTTTCTTGTATATTATTTAAAATAAATAAACGTTTCTTCTACATTTGTTGCCTTCATTTAACGTCTCAAAATACCAAGATGTAGGCTACCACTTTAAATGTGTTGCCTAACCTAGTACTAATTGCATCAAAATGACCGCGCCCTATGTTGGGCGAGTCGGACGTCTCTCTTGCACCGTATAGTAATCAAAGTATGTGTTTAATTCTGATAAGGACACAAGGTAAGGCAATTTAAATTATAGGCATGATTTTTTATAGGGGATAATTTGACAACTGTTCAAATGATAAAAATGAAAGAATTTCCATAGATAGGTAAATAAAAACTGATCAACATAATTATATTCTGATTCTGAACTAAATAAATATTGTTGTTACCTATTTCAATCCATTCATTTGACGTTGAATTGTTTCGTGAATTCAACTTTTCCTTCAAACGATTTTTATCGGCATTTTCAATAGTTTTTCTTCTAACAACGGAAATATTTTTATCTTCATCATTGTTACGATTGGATTCTGAACTGCTTTGCGAATTTGACTTTGAAACATTTTTTTTCCAACCATTTTTATCGGTCTTTTCAATAGTTTTTCTTCTGCGTTCATTAGATGACACTAAGGAAATATCTTTATCTTCGTCATCATTACGGTTGGATCCTGAACTGCTTTCTGAATTTGACATTGTAGCTTTTACTTTCAAACGATTTTTATCGGCATTTTCAATAGTTTTTCTTCTAACGCGTTCATTGGACGACACCGCAGCAATATCTTTATCTTTGTTACGATTCGATGCTGAACTGTTTCGTGTATTTGGCTTTGTAGCATTGTTTTTCAAACCATTTTTATTGACGTTATCTATAGTTTTTTTTCCAAGACGTTCACTGGACGATACTACGGCAATATCTTTATCCTCGTCATCACTTCGGTTGGATTCTGAACTGCTTTGTGAATTTGACTTTGTAGTATTTGGTTTCAAACCATTTTTAACGGGAGTTTCAATATTTTTTCTACCAACGCGTTCATTGGTCAATATTATAGAAATATCTTTTACTTTGTCAGCGTTTTCCTTCAAACTATTTTTAATCGCAATTTTAATTCGATCATCTGACATTTCGTTAATGGAGCATCTTTTCGTCCGTTTGGGTTTTATGTTGCCACTATCGGTGTCTGAAGTTGCTTCGCCGAGTGATTTGGTTTTGTTCTGTTTGGGATTTCTCTTTCGTTTACCGAAGTTACTAAAGATACTTATGAATTCTTGGCTATTCGAACTGGCACTTATTACGTCAACGTCGCTGCTCGATTTGCATAATTCGCTTTCTACAACTTAAAAACAAAATTAAAATAGTTCATGTTATAAGGACGAAAACATGATTTTTAGGCGTAAGAGTCAATCTTTTATGAATTATTATTAAATATAGAAAATTATATATAAAATATTTCAAATTTTTTTTATAACTGAGATGGCTATAATCTACAAAAAGGTAAGAAACACGCTTAGGTCTTTTTGGCCTTGCTACTGCGCAGGATTTTTCTATTCAATGTTAATCTATACAATGTTCTCTACAAAGTACCGTTTTTTCCGTTCGAATTCGACCAATAATAGTCGAGATACACGCTTAGGTCCTTTTGGTATTACTACTGCGCATGATTTCCCTCTTCAATGATAATCTATATACGTTCACGTAAACGATGCTTCTTGGATCGCTTAGCCGAGTCGACTCTTGGAACTGTGGGCCAATACGAACATAACCTATCTACTACCACGAGTTCTCCAAATTTTATCGACAATTTTTTTTAGTTTCCACAAAAACATCCTTATTTGGAAAAACCACGAATTCAAACCGATTGATATAATCGCGATTCTATCTTAAAAAGATTTGTTTGAGTGGTTTTGTTTGAACTAAAGGCGTTTGAGAATGGAAACTCAAAATTTAAAAGGACGAGAAGTATTTGAAAATATGCCAGGCATACGCAAAACCGCAGCGTCAAGAAAATTACCTTCAACTGTTTAGGTATTCAAAAAATGTTTATTCGACAAAAGTTTAAGATGCTTTAAATTTCAAAATATCATAATGAATATACGTGAATCCCTCAATAGCACCATTTGAAATATAATACCCAATTATAAGCTCTTAATGCCTTTTAATAATTTTTTTAAAATTGGCCAAAAAATATCCTATGGACAAGGATGTCTCGAAAAGTATTTTAGTTAAAAAATTCAAATTTTAAGAAAATAAATTGGGTAATATTCTCTAGCAACGCTTGTATTTTTCAATTTCAATTCCTTCAAGTGTCCAAGAAAAAAACAAGGAGCTTTAAATTTTAAAGCATCAACGAAAATATGTGAATCCCTTAATATAATTCCCACATTTGAGTTCTTAATGTCTTTCAACAGGTTTTTAAAATTGACCAAAGAGCACCTTACTGTGATTACAGCACTCCTTATAATTTTCGGACTAGGATATCTCGAAAATTATATTTGTTAAAAAATTCAAATTTTGTGACAATAAATTAGTCAATATTATCTAGGGATGTTTGTATTTTAAAATTTCAATTCCTTCTAGTTTCCGAGAAAAAAATCAGAAAACTTTAAATTTTAAAATATCATAATGAAAATACGTGAATCGCTTAACAGCACAATTTTAAATATATTGACCAAATTTCTTTCAATGGGTTTTTTAAACTTGACCAACGAACACTCCTTATAATTTACGGACTAGGAAATCTCTAAAATTATATTTTTTTAAAAAATTCAAATTATGTGAAAATAAATTAGGCAATATTATGTAGGGATACTTGTATTTTTTAAAATGGCCAAAGAGCATCTTACGGTGATTAGAGTACCCTCTTAAAATTTTCAGACGAGGATATCTCAAAGAGAACTTGTGTTAAAAAAAATTAATTTTGTAATAATAAATTAGATAATACTGTCTAGGGTTGCTTGTATTTTTAAATTTCAATTCCTTCTCGTTTCAGAGAACAAAAAATCAAGGAGCTTTAAATTTCAAAGTATTATAATGAATATACGTGAATCCTTCAACAACACCATTTTAAATATAATGCCTAAATTAAAGCACTTAATGTAATTTCATCAATTTTTTTAAATTGACCAAAATGCACCTTTCAGTAATTACAGCACCCCTTATAATTTTCGGACAAGGATAACTTTAAAAGTATTTAAGTAAAAAAATTCAAATTTTGGGGAAATAAATAAGGCAATATTGTCTAGCGATGCTTGTATTTATAAATTTAAATCCCATCTAATTTTGGAGAAAACAAGTTAAGGAGCTTTAAATTTCAAAATATAATAAAAATACGTGAATCCCTTAATAGCATTATTTTAAATATAATACCCAAATTTGAGCACTAAATGTCTTTTCAATTATTTTTTAAAACTGGCTAATTTCCCACATCTACAATTATCTTATAGCTGAATGATAATTTAAAACTTACCGTTTCCATTCTTTTTTAATTGTTCCGCCTGAACTGGTATCTTTTTTCCAACGTCTTCAACCTTTGTATCATCGTCGATTTTCGCCCCACTTGAAGCTTCCTTGACGATGTCGATTCGATGTACGATCACTTTCACTCTCTTAATAACCTGTTGGTTGTCTTCATCTGGAGACGTTGAAGATTGTTCAGTAGAATATTTTCTTCTGTTACGAGTCTCCTTCAGCTTAGACAGTTTTTTGCCGGGCGAGGAATCGACACTGCGATTCGAATTACTTTTATTACCGTCACTGTTCGTTTTGATTGAACTATTAGAGGTAGTGTTAATTTTATTTTGGCTCTTATTTGAACTAACGGTACTGTTTTGATTTGTACTTTCAGCGACAGTTTTCCTTATTTTGGCGCGCTTTTTCTTCGGCTTGGACGTTTTTTTGACAGGAGTGGAATCGCTGCTTTCGATTTGTTGCGCTTGGCTGTCACTACCTTTCGAATTACTATCGTTATTGTCACTGCTCGTTTTAATCGAATTGTCAGTGTTAGTGATACTTTTATTTTGACTGTCAGTGTGACTTTTCTTTTGACTATCACTGCTACTTTTATTTGGAGTTTCAGCGATAGTTTTCTTTTTTTTGACACGCTTCTTCAGCTCGGACGGGTCTTTGACAGAAGTGGAACTGCTGCTTTCGATTTGTTGCGCTTGGCTGTCGCTGCCTTTCGAATTATTATCGTTATCGTCACTGTCCGTTTCAATTGAACTGTCAGTGTTACTTTTATTTTTACTGTCAATGCTACTTTTATTGTTAAGTTTACGTTTTTTGACACGCCTTTTCTTCAGTTCAAACGGTTTTTTGACAGGATCAGAACCACTGCTTTCGGTTTGTTGTGCTTGGCTGTCGCTGCGTTTTGAATTACTATCGTTGCCGTCTGTGCTACTTGTATTTGGACTTTCAGTTTTCTTCTTCTGTTCAGATTGTTTTTTAACAGGAATGGAACTGCTGTTTTCGCTTCGTTGTGCTGGGTTGTCACTGTGTTTTGAATTACTATCGCTATCGTCAATAGTAGTTTTATTTTGGCTGTTTGCGTCACTTTTATTTAGGCAGTTAGTATTACTTTCATTTTGACTATTAGTGTTATTTTTATTTGGATTTTCAGTGTCAATTTTACTTCTTTTAGCATCACTGGTAATTGCATTTGTTATTTCTTCGTTATTATCGTCTTCTTCGACTATCGACGATAAGTTACCGATAGTTTTTTCATTATTAGGAATTTTCCGTTTACTTTTGTTCAAATTGCTGATAGTGACTTCGTTTTCTTTATTTTCTTCATTAACGCTACCTTCTGTCACTTCCAAATTGGAGTCTTTCGTTTTATTCAGATTATCCAGGCGCGTCGCAAGAGTTTCCTTGAATTTACACAAGTTCTTTTTCGGATTTTTTTCCAGTGGAGTCTATGATAAATGTCATTTTTAATTTATTAAGATCGAAAAATTGGTACACTTCGCGTCGTATAAAACTGGTACACTTATTTTTCCCAATGTAAAATTCATTTTTAAAAATGACAGATTCGTCAAAGCACATTGTTACAATGCCAGGTTAAATGACCTGGAAATTTTTAATTTTTCCATTGTGTTTTATTGCTTTACAAAATTTATTTGTATCATTACATCTACTAATATTATTCTGTTGTGTTGGCAACGTTGTCCTAGAAATTATAACCTATAAAGTAGTTTAAAATGCCAATTTACACAACTTGAAAAACACGATTGTCTGTTATAAGAGTTGTGCCAGTTTTATATGACACGAAGTGTACAACTATAACTAAGTTGATATACAGGGAGTTAAAGTTGAAAATTAGTAATTTTTTAATAAAATACTTTGTCAGATATTTCCAATGATAATGCTGATATAACAAAGAATATTTTCAGTATAATCTATGACAAATTATATTGAAGCTCGACTATATCTCGCCTGGCAAACTTCTCCTAAGTCCTACAAAAAACTCAACTTTTCGTCCTTATAACATAAACTACTACATTGAAAAATACCTGTAAAATTACCAATTTGTAACTTCGAAGACCTGTATATCAAAAACTAGTCATAGTTTAGCCAATGGATATTATTTAGACAATAAAAAAATTTAGGAGGTTTCATTGAAGTACATTTCTTCATAAACCGTAAAATAATTATTATAAATAAAAATGGTTGAAAAACTTACGCGTTCCAAAATTGTATTGACTTGAGCGATCAACTCTTTCAAGACCGCAACGTTTTCAGATTGTATATCTAGATGAACAAGCATTTTGCACAAGTAGACGGCCATTAAAGGGTTTTTAGTCTTTAATATCTCGTTGGTACACATATGAGCCATGTTGACATGTGTACCTAAATCCTATATAGGAAAAAAAACTAAATAGGTTACAATGTTTAAAAAAAGTTGTAACATTACATAGTGGAGCACCTGGGGCGTTAAAAACATGAAAACCTCGAATTTGAGCTGCAGTGAATGAAATTTAAAAATTCAAAATGGAATATTTTGCTACTAATATGCATAAAAAAGTAAACTTGGCATCAATGTTCAATCAGATTACTTGTGTTTCTGCCGCGGACGCCAACATTGAGGCTTCAGAAATTTTGTAAATAATCCTGTTTTGGTTATATATCTATGATAAAATGATTCACTGTATCTTGAGGCTTGCCGTGGAATTTTTAAATTAAGCATGTGTAATAGACATTCGCAGTTTATTTGATTGATTATGACCTTATACAGCATAACTACAGACAAAAGTATTTTCGCCTTATATCGAGACTTGAAAATCCTTGTGTATTTATTAAAGCGTCATATGAGGTGCCAATGAGCGGATAAACTAAATCATGTCTAAAATTTAAGTATTTTAGGTATCATCTCTGAATTTCTTCCAATCACTTGATACAGTAGACTCCGTAACCAAGCTTGGATCGGACAAAAGCATAATACAGACATTTTATGGTATCTACTTTCTTAAAATCACGACTGTTTCTGTTTATGTATCCATATGTACGATTAGATGAAGATGCACTATTATCGACATGGTCAGTAAAATCAAATAGGACTCCTAAATATGCAAAGTTTTTTGGCCTATAAAGTTTTTAAACTTTTTTCTTCATTTTTTTATATTTTGTGAATGGAGAACCGTTCAAAATTATTAGTCTAAGAGCCAGTGGACGGCTACCTGTATGTATTTGACCAGACCTGAGTTTTTGTACACTGACGCCCCTATACCTACCATACTTGAGATAGGGAGTCACTAAGCTTAAAGTGGTGGACGAGGCGGACGCTCAGGTAAGACAGGTATCAATTTTTGGCAAATTTTATGTCTGCCGTTTTGAAATTTGAAAATATATTATTATTAGAAAACAACAATGGCAGACCATTATCGCGTGTTTAACATTGTGGCAGACAGTTTTGAAAGTGCTAAAAATGATAAAATTTTGAAAGTAATTGACTAGATCTGCCATTGATATATTTTATTTATTAGGGTCTTAAAAACTTATATTCATCCCGGCAGACGTCTTCATTGAGTGCACACGTCATCAGCAGACAACAAAATCTTAGCTACTATCCGGCCAGGTGTATGCATAGACTATCTATAGCTATATTTCTTTTTGCCCTATGGATTACTATTGTACTCATTCTAGCCTATAGCATTGTCTTTTATTGTTACTAGTATTCAAATAATTCAGATTTTATACCTGAGAGGGCCCAGATATCTCCCCACCATAACGGTTAGTGCCAGATGTTTTCAGTATATTTGTGAACCTTCATACAGATACCTCGTGTTTTGTGAAATTAATAAAATACATAGTGTGCTTTCTTTTATTTTGTTGATAAGTCTTTTATTTAATATATATGACATTATGTCGAGTGAAAAAAAAGAACTGAAGTGTGTTTTTTGTGACACGGTAAATACTGATAAATTACTGATATTTTCAGAAGAGATTATGTCAAAATGTCAAAAGATTTTGAGGTTATGAAAATGTCATAAATTGAAATATAAAGATATCATTTTTTTTTTCACTTCCGATTCTGACACCGTGGTGTCAAGATTGAAATGGCGGTCTCAGAATCGGGAGTCATGTGTGTATGTGTTTCTATAAAAATCTTGAATAAGAATGGCCATCGATTAGTGAATCTTGCCTTAATGGGATTATACATCCTGTGAAGAAGTTTCAAATACATATTTTAATTATATTACTTGAGGGCATCCAATTGCCGAGAGCAAGACAACGATACTCTCCCGTTTTGATAGCTGGGTAAATTGTCTTGTAGGATATAGCCCAAAAAAAAAGGAAGAAGAAGAAGATATCATTTTACCGGACGAAATTTATGATTCTGCATATCATAATAGATGTTACAAGATATTTACAGCATTGAAAAGACATTTTTATGTCGACAGATGTTAAAAAAAAGTTCCATCACAGCTCAGTACGTCTTCGTCTGCACTTGAACAACCATCAGCTGATAGCTCAATAATTGATGATACAATTGTACATGATTCCTTTGTAAAAGATGTGAATCTTCCTGAGACAGAAGAAGTAGAAAAAAATTAACGCTGAAGCTGAACAGCCGTTGGAGGCAGGATTTTCTGAAGATTTAGCAGAATCATCGATTGTTCATACTTCTGATAATGTAGCTTCAGCAAACTTAAATGTGTATTTTATGCAACAAAAAAAAGAAACAATATCGCTCTAAGAATCAGCCATTACGCACTTCAGGGAAGGATCAATTTGAAAAGAGTATTTTATTAAAATTTAAGCCAGATACTGAAATTTACAGTAAAACTTTGACCAAAATACTAAGTGTTCTCTCTTGCGAAGTCTATTATCATGATATTTGCTGGCAAAATTTCAGGAATCAGAAAAGATCACTAATGAAAAGTCCTCGTCTGTACTTCATGTACATCTCCCGAGAAGTACATGAAACTGTTTATAAAGAAATATGTTGTTTAATTGAAGAGAATGTCATAAATCAAGGACGTTGTTATTTTCTGAGTTATTTACATAAAGAGTATCTTGAAATGTTTATAGAATTAAGTGAAGGCTCTGACGCAACATCAATATTTACCACACACTATTTGGAAGAAAAGATTCACAAGAAGTTTAATGACAGATTTCCTATTTTTATATCGAACAAAAAAAAGTTGTTGCCCCCAAAAGGTATTTTATCTATTGGTGACTCATTATTTGCACACTTGAAGACGTCTGCCGTGATGAATATAAGTTTTTAAGACCATAATAAAAAAAATATATCCATGAATCTGGTCAATTACTTTCAAAATTTTATTATTTTCAGCACTTTCAAAACTGGTCTGCCATTGTAATTTTGTGATGATAATAATAATATAATTTCAAATTTCAAAACGGCAGACGTGGTCAAATGCATTTAAAGTTTGTCAAAAATCGATACTTGTCTTACCTGAACGCCCGCCGCGTCCACCACTTTGGACTCCCCATCTCAGGTATGGTAGGTATAGGGACCTCAGTGTACAAAAACTCAGGGCTGGTCAAATATATACAGGTAGCCGTCCACTGGCTCTTAGACTATATTGTGTGAAAATGTGAGATGAATCGGAGCAAAACTAACGAAGATACAGCGGTTTGAGTAACCACGTCTCATACATGACTCAGCGCATCAGAAAACACCTACTCAGCCCAAGCACGCTATTGTTACCTATATAATTCTTAACCTTACCTCATACCTTACTTTATAGAAATTTCAACACAAGTACAAACGTGTTTGTACCTGTACTGTATATAATTTAGTGTAGCATTGGCCTGGCAGGTTCTTTTGCTTTACCAACCTCCATGCAAGACATGGGAATCAGTAGTGCATTCATGAATGAGGATTCGTCGTAGACAGGAGCAAAAAGATGCTTTAGCCATCATGGATGATAGCAACATCCTTTATGTACCTGGCATCGACAATTCAGCGTGAAGTAAGCCGATAAAACTCGCTTATATGAACGTTTTAATCCAAATTTTTTAGTGTTCAAAACTTTAAAGCGTTTTTCCCACAACTCACGTTTCCAAAGTCGGTGCCAACTTCAAAACTATTACACCTATCCTTTTGAAATTTTGAACACTATTTCTGTACATAATTTACGAGGTAACGCTGGAGTTTTTTTCAAATTTATTAATATTTTATTTTATAATAACAAATTAGCCTATTTTTTCGCAAGAATCGCGTTTTTTTTTACTTCAAAGTGTTCCCAAAAGGTGAAAAATTGAAATTTCGAAAAACCCTCCCAGCGTTACCTGGGAAAAACGATTATAATAATAATAATAATAATAATAATAATAATAATAATAATAATAATAATAATAATAATAATAATAATAATAATAATAATAATAATAATAAATGCTTTTATTGACATTATGCATACATAGATGACTTATGTCAATTGGCAGGGTTCAGTGTTCCTCAAAGGTAGATGAACTGCTTTTAAGTAACTCTGCTCTTCCACCCAACCATGTACATTTAATTTTTGTACAAGAATTATCTACTTAAGTAACTAAACTTCTAAAAACAAAAATCAGAGAACAACAAAATATATAATATTATATTAAAAATCTGGTGGTAATGAAAGAACTTTGATTTTTTTTATTTCTGATGATCCAGCACCAAGTTAGTTAAGAGGGGCACCGAAATTCTACTTTTTTCCGAGACGCTTCCGAATAATTGCTGACATTTCCGTATTTTTTAATATTTCTTCATGAAAATTTGACACAATATTCTTCGAATGTTATACTTTAATGTACCATTAGTTTAAATAAACAGATATTAACTGAGTTGTCAAAAAAAAATTCACAAAAATATGTCTCTTTTGCACGAATTAACGTTACCCCCCCCCTTAAGGGAATTTCGTCAACAATATACTGGTATAAATAACAGATATGACTAAGACTTGACCATGGAATTTTAGTAAAGAAAAATGTCTGCTTTTGGACTCTCAGATAGTCTTATCGACTTCTAAAATCATATATGTCTGTTAAACAATGTTTACTAATAAATTTAATTTTTATTAGTATTCTTCCCTCTTTGTTTAATCATTGTCATCCATTGGTACTATTTTCTACAATGTCAGTATGTCAGGCAAAGGTTCTTATATGTCGTATACAAGTACATAGGTGCATTAGAAAAAAAATAACATTTTTGAAAAAGATATTTAAATTAACTAAATAGGACCCAATAGCTAAATGTATGAGTGATCACTTGTTTTTTGGATTTTTTTTTTACGTTCTTATAAGCAAATTATTTTTATTTTAGTAAAATTACATCCTTATAATGTCCACTTCTTACTAAAAACATCATAAGCACAAAAAAAATTTGGTGAACTTTGCAAAGTATAGTATAAAAAACAAAATTCCACTTCAACCATATAAATTTATTCTCTGCAGCAGAAGTCCGAGGTCAAATCCCCCCAAGCGCTTCACTAACAATGATAAATTTTCATTTAACTTTCTAGTTTTTAAGTACTTAGAAATAAACACATGCCCAAATTAATTGACAGTTTGATCTGTGGACAGAGCTGTCACGAATCATAAAAAAAACCGATTTAAATAAAAAATACAAGACATTTTTAAAAAATATTTAAATTGAGTCTTTTAAGACTTTTTAAAAAAAAATAATCATTAGTGGGAAAAATGTTTAAAATGAAAAAGATTTAAATAAAAAAAGAATTTAACAGCTCTGTCTATAAATAGACTTGATTAGTAAAATAAAACTTAATAAATAAATGGTTAATAAGCGATGAGAAACTTACGCTTACCCGTTTGCCGTTAGTAATAGTAGCCAAAAAGAGAATCAAATTGTCTACGTCAACGTCGGCCAATGGACTGGTCCTAGGCGCGCTAGCGATACTATTAAGTATAGGTTTGACTGCCTTCGCTATGACCTCTTTGGCGTCATCACTCTTTTTCGCGTAACTGTCTATCACCATGCCGATGATCTGTTGCAACTTGTCGGAAGATCTTGCTAAAATCGGGAGTATAATTAGCTAATTTACAGACGTGTCCTGGAATATGTGGGCAATCTCCAGGATTCAGGTACAACACATAAAAATAACTTTACAAGTTCCTGTAAAAAATAGTTCCTACTCTCATCTCTCTACGGAGATATAAGCTCTTAACGAAAGCCACTGAAAATATTTTTTTATATATAATGTATTATGGAGAGTCCAATAATCTTCAATTCTTAAAGCTAGGGAATATCATAATTAATAAAGTCATTTATGTTAAGTCTAATCTAAAGAGATGGTCACTGAACTCCTGTGGTCATGAAAATGCCTGTACAAACTCATATTTACTGTAGAAAGTCCGACACCTGGATAGGACAATTTTTTCAATAGGAATTGTAGAAAATAAAGAAGAATGAACCCAGAAAGAACTTACCTGTTAAGGGGTTATACCATTTCAATATAAGTCGAGTTATTAAAGGCGACGATACAGGGAAGTTATCCAAAATCAACTTAGCCATTGCTTCCAGGGCAGTATCCCTTACTTCAGATATCTAAAAAAAATATATATACATATAATAATCTAAGGAAATAAATTACAATTCTAAAATGACCAATTTAAAACATAAAAGTTTGATCTATAGAGAATAATATCAGAAGTAACTTTTATTTGAAGAATTTTCTTCTCCAAACGTAAATAACAAATATATTCCATAAATTATAAAAATTACCCCCCCAAATGTTCCGACTCTGTCCAAAATCTAATCGGTTCACCGCAGGCCGGTATATGGCTCAAGAAACTTACTTCGTCGTCTAAAATATCGAGAATAATTTCAATTATGGTCTCCAAATGGAACGTGTTGGCTGGCATGACACTTTCATCGGAATCTTCCGATCGATACAGCCTTCTTTTCGTCGAAGACGTATTATTCAAAGATTGGTTCGACATTAGAGCTTCTTCCATTATTCCGAAAATATTTGGGCCGTACAATCTAAAACGGGAAAAGGCAATCAGAATATTAAGAGAAACAAAGTTAATGAGTATTTGTATAGGATAGCCCACCGGTAACGTCTATGTCTGTAGAGTCAAAACTAATTGCTTTTTTAAATCATTTCAAACATACAGGGTTCTTCAGGAAAATGATACATATCAAAGTTAGGTTTCCAGTTAGGCACAAGCTCTTGTATGAATCGGTCGCGTATAGGTAAATATCGTAGCTGAGAAGTCGAGAAATTTATGGATAATGATTAAGTGTTAAACTAACTGGCGACTTTAATGCCTACAGCCTCGCATAGGGATGCGACTTTAGCGATATCTCCGGAACACATTATCCCAAGCTATTAATGTAATCTCATATTCTTAAATGATGGTTCCCCAACCCTTGTGACTCTGGTCAGTAAAGTCGCGATTAATTTATCAATACGCACCCAAAATATTACACGATATTTCTCATGGATCAAATAAACTACCCATCATTATGAATTTCACCACAACAAATTCCTACAAAGGCTCGATAAATATAAACCATAACATGTGGTCACTAAAAAAAGTTGACTGGAATAAATATCACTCAACACTGGAATCCAGAACAGTTGCAAATAATTACAATGTACTAAATGACAACATAAATACAGCGGCACAAAATGCAATTCCAAGGAAAAGAACAAGCATTAACATCCATCGAAATCAACTTCCAAAACCCTGGTGGAACGAAACGTGTAACACTAATTATTGTTAATTATTGTTAATTATTGTTAATTATTGTTAATTATTGTTAATTATTGTTAATTATTGTTAATTATTGTTAATTATTGCTAATACTAATTATTCATTACTATTCATTGCTGTTCATTAATGTTCATTACTGTTCATTACTATTTATTAATTACTATTAATTACTATTTATTAATTACTATTAATTACTATTAATTACTATTTATTATTATTTATTACTATTTATTATTATTTATTATTATTTATTACTATTTATTACTATTTATTACTATTTATTACTATTTATTACTATTTATTACTATTTATTACTATTTATTACTATTTATTACTATTTATTACTATTTATTACTATTTATTACTATTTATTACTATTTATTACTATTTATTACTATTTATTACTATTTATTACTATTTATTACTATTTATTACTATTTATTACTATTTATTACTATTTATTACTATTTATTACTATTTATTACTATTTATTACTATTTATTACTATTTATTACTATTTATTACTATTTATTACTATTTATTACTATTTATTACTATTTATTACTATTTATTACTATTTATTACTATTTATTACTATTTATTACTATTTATTACTATTTATTACTATTTATTACTATTTATTACTATTTATTACTATCTATTACTATCTATTACTATTTATTACTATTTATTACTATCTATTACTATTTATTACTATTTATTACTATTTATTACTATTTATTACTATTTATTACTATTTATTACTATTTATTACTATTTATTACTATTTATTACTATTTATTACTATTTATTACTATTTATTACTATTTATTACTATTTATTACTATTTATTACTATTTATTACTATTTATTACTATTTATTACTATTTATTACTATTTATTACTATTTATTACTATTTATTACTATTTATTACTATTTATTACTATTTATTACTATTTATTACTATTTATTACTATTTATTACTATTTATTACTATTTATTACTATTTATTACTATTTATTACTATTTATTACTATTTATTACTATTTATTACTATTTATTACTATTTATTACTACTTATTACTATTTATTAATTACTATTTATTACTATTTATTACTATTTATTACTATTTATTACTATTTATTACTATTTATTACTATTTATTACTATTTATTACTATTTATTACTATTTATTACTATTTATTACTATTTATTACTATTTATTACTATTTATTACTATTTATTACTATGTATTACTATTTATTACTATTTATTACTATTTATTACTATTTATTACTATTTATTACTATTTATTACTATTTATTACTATTTATTACTATTTATTACTATTTATTACTATTTATTTATTACTATTTATTACTATTTATTACTATTTATTACTATTTATTACTATTTATTACTATTTATTACTATTTATTACTATTTATTACTATTTATTACTATTTATTACTGTTTATTACTATTTATTACGATTTTTTACTATTTATTACTATTTAGTGGTAATTTAAAAAAAGTGGAGATTTGATTTATCCTATAGATTTGTTGCAAATTGAAAAAATAGTTCGTCACAAATTGTTTTATATAAAACTGGTTATACAGTGTGAAATACCCTGTGTAATCCCATATTACGTATTTGATATTATTATAATGAAAAAAAGATTGGGAAATTCAAATATAAAAATATAAAATATAGAAAAAATTTAGATATGAATCACTTTCCTGGAAAATCCTGTATAAATAAAATTAATTTGAAATTGTTGTCTTATATGATATTATACATCTCACTATACAGACCGAAGCGCTACTGGTGACACACCCTGTACGCTTGTCGAAAAATATACTATTATAAATTTGATAGTAATAATTACCTGTAAAGATCGGATACTGCCCTTACAGAAATCATCAAAGCATTCCTATTATAATTCGGGATTGTCCGATAGGTGATAATCTAGATAATGTAAAAAAGAAGATATTTTAAACAAGAGGAATTTTAATTTAAACATTCGCCAACCTTTTCATTTTTGCCAGATTTAATACTTTACTTCCAAGTTAAGAGTTTATTTTAAGCCGAAACCTTTATCACATTAGGAAGTTATACCTGGAAATATGCTGATTGATAAAATAAATTTTAGCTATTTACCAGTAAACTTTGCGACTACAAAATTATAAATATGTTTCGAACCACTTTCAAATGGTACATACTTCACTTATTTAAATATAAAATGAATCAAAGAAGGTGTATTTTACAGGTTAACCATGTTTAATCAAAATAACAGATGAGGGTAAAAAAAACTTGCTTTATTGCTATTATTAATTAAAGATATCAGATAACTTACCGGTATACAAATAAATTTAATGTACTCCTCGGCCAAAGCCTGATCGAGAATACAAAACAATGCGAGACATTGAAGCACCCTCCAATTAATTTCAACGACGTTGCTGCTCAACAGCGGAATCACAAACTCTTCTTTGATAGCCACCAGCGAAGGTGTCATACTAGAAATTTTCGGCAGCTGCAAAAGCGATATCAGAATATCTAAACAGTCGCATAGCGTCTTAGTATCGTCTTTGGTAACCTTCACCTATAAAATTAATTAATTTAGGATGTATTTTATAATAATTAAATAATAACTAACCATTTCGACCGCGGGTTTTACAATAGACAATTCATTTATTTTCTCTTTCAGCTGGTTAATATCGGTCTTCAAAGAATTCGCTTTCAAAAATTCTTGATTGTCCAAAGCATCTTCTAATTCAGCTTCATATCGAATTATTTTCACCTTTAGCGTAGCTTTTTCGCATTCCTAGAACAAGACAAGCATTTCTAATAGCCCCTTTTATCGATAATTAAATTTTATTTGGTACTAACTTTGTTCCTTTCTTCATCGGATGATATTTCCACCGATTTTTCAATGATAGGTTCTTGGATGTCCGAGATAATGTGGCAAATGATGCTGGTAAATTCGTCCGTCTTTTGTGACGATTTATATGCCAATTGCAGAACACGTTTCCTCAGCTTCAGTTGCAAATTTTCCGTTCTTAGGAAATTTAGAGTTATTTGGTGCAAAGTTTTTCGGCCGACCTAAAATAATTATTTTAGAAAAAAGTTTTAAGCCTAGAAACTGAGGTTTGGCATGAATTACAAGTTTTCCTTGCTGATCTTAACAACTTTCAAAAATAAAGGCACATTAACTCTCGAACAACAACCATAGTTTAAGAGTAAGAAGGTTATCCGTGTCTCAACTGTAAACAAAGGGAAAATTCTCCGGGCCCTAAGGTGACCAGATTCGGTCAATGACCATCATCACTTTCGGTTAATATAATCTAATTCCTTGTATATGTTTTACAAATATGAAAATTTAAGTAGGCCTTTTGGGATATATCTTTCATTATTGACAGATTCGGTGAAAACACATCAGAAAAGAATCATGTCTATTCCGAGGTGTCACAAGGTTCAAACCTGGGTCCTCTATTGTTTACACTTATTATAAATGATTTAGCATTCGAAAACCTTACAATGTAAATTATTGTCAAAAGAATACAATTAAAGAACAAATCAGAACTAGTAAACCCAAGTTAAGGCCAATCACCAAAATAAGCATAAATTACATTTTTTTATACAGGGTGTTTTCAAAGTTGAGTCATTTATTTTAAGAGCTTGTAGAACTCGTCAAAAGAAATCGATATACCAAAAATCATCTAAATAAAAGTTGCATAATAAGGGAGTTATAGGTTTTTTTTTTTTAATTAAAGTCATTCATTATCGGTAAAATGTATTCCATTTTTACAAAAATTATTCAAAATTGTCACCATTTGTCCGATTATTGCATAGTCTTAAGGTACCATTTCGGTAGGCGAGACAGTCGACCGCCGACGCGACATACGACCGCCGACGCGACCGAGAAGTGTCGCTTCACATCTAAAATACATACAATTATATGAAACACATTTCGCACGGCGAGACACTTCCTGGAGACACTTCTGAATCTGACTCGGGGCAAAGGTTTGCTGCCTGTCGCACTCGAGGTCACTGTCCTCGAGCATCGCTTCATCGCTTGGAAGTGAATAGGTTGAAAATTTCTTTCGATCTAGGCAGTGTTGCCAGATTTTGGAACAGTATGGGTGAAAAAAAAAACCGTAGATCTGAACAGTAGATTTTAATACAGGGGGAAATAATTGAAATTTGCAGTGTAGTAAATAAAAAAACAAGTATATAAGAAACGAAAAATAAACTTTTTTCGACCCAAATTAGAAGGTAAACAAAGAATAAACACAAATAATAACATTTATAATATATACTTAACGTAGGGAAACAAAAAAAAAACAATGAAAAATAATAGGTACCTACTTCTTTTAGATCAGTCTGAATCAGATAATTCAAAATTGTAGTGTGCATGTTCTTTTTATGATGCCCTATTAATTCTTTGTTTCATTTTAAATAAAAACAATGATTATCTTGATGTTTTTTTTTATGGGGCCAACCTAGAGTAGTGGATGCTTATTACGCTGCTTTTACTGCAGAAAATTTATTAGAGAAAATATTCTTTAACCATTTGCTGAAGAATGAGGCAAATTTAATAAATTAAGAACAAAATTTGCTAGACAAAAACAGTGGATCTACGTGAAAACAGTAGGTCTGGCAACGCTGATCGTTCCCTCGAATGGTTATCCTGTAAGTGTCGCGCGACACTTCTCAAGCTTGCGAAATGTACCAAGCGTAACATTTATGCATCTGTCGTCCTACTCGACCTTGGGGTCGCATCAATGGTCGCTTGTCTCTTGACGCGCCTACCCAAATGGTACCTCTACTCGGCGTACGCACGACTCCTGACAGGCCTCAAAAATAAAATCCAGATGTCTGCGAATTACATCACAAGCATTTAGAATGCAGTCTTAAAGTTCTTTCACAGTATTTACTTCTCCATCATGTTACACCTACTGTTTTAAATAACCCCACAGAAAAAAGTCACAATGCGTTAGGTCTGGGGAGCGTGCAGGCCAAGAAACGGGTCCATTCCTCCCTATCCATCTATTTGGAAACTGTTCATTCAAATATTCACGAACTCCTCTTCTGAAATGCGGTGGAGCTCCGTCATGTAGAAACCACATATCCTGCGTAAAATTCAGTGGAACATCTTCTAATAATTCTGGCAGATGGTGTCGATGAAAATCTAAATAAAAGTCACTGGTTAGCCGAGGTGAAAAAAAGTATGGTCCAATAAGCATGCCATTTACTACACCAGCCCAAACGTTTAATGAAAATCTATGTTGGAAATTAGATCTTCCTACGGCATACTGATTTTCTATTGCCCAAACATGATTGTTGTGAAAATTGAATATCCCATTTCGTGCAAATGTGGATTCGTCTGTAGCTAAAATTATTTTCGTAAAATCTTCATTTCTGTTCAACTGTTGTAAAAACCACTGGCAAAATTCAACTCTTCTAGGATGATCTTCAGGTTGTAATGCTTGTACCCGTTGATAATGATAAGGATAATATTGTTCCTGTCGTATTGTTTTCCACACTTTACTATGGGTAACATCTGCTTGAGTTGCTATGGCTCTGGAGTTATTGTTGGGTCATCTTCCACCATTTCCAAAATATTTTCCTCAATTTCTACCATTTCAGGTGGAGCAGATCTTCCAGCGTGACCCCCTTGTTGTTCTTTCAAGTATCCTGTCTCATGAAGTCGAATAACTGATTTTACAAACATCCGTAGTAGGATGATTTAATAATGGAAACCTTCCTCGTAAAGGTGACATGCTGCAGCTGCATTTTGTTGGCACTCTCCGTATGTTAGTATTATGTCCACTAGTTCATTGTTTCCATAAAGGTGGGCCATTTTCCCGTACAAAATATCAAAAAAATTTAAGTGATACGAACTAAACGCTTGATACCAATAACTAACCGAAAATCATTCTCAAAACCGTAAAACAAAAAAAATAGACATACCTAGATAAGTAAAATTGTCGTAGTAAACAAACAACGATAAGTTTTTACTTGGCAGTAGTCAGGAATATTAAAATATGCGGATAAATAGTTTGTATTTGTTCTAGTTTTATAATTTTGAAATTCCTTTTTATTTCTTTTAATATGCAACTTTTATTTAGGTGATTTTTGGTATATCGACTTCTTTTGACGAGTTCTACAAGCTGTTAAAATAAATGACTTAACTTTGAAAACACCCTGTATAGATAATTTGTTGATTAGATTATTTTCAAAATGAATGCGGTTTACTACAGTCGAATCAGTGATAGCACTAATCAACTATGATTAGTGCATTAAAGTTTCCACCGGTTGCCGAAGTAGCAGAGGATTTAATGGCTCGAGGTAACCTTGTATGTAGAGAAATTAGGTCGACGAAGTAATGCTGTCATTACATTTGAATTACTTCGATGACGTAACTTTAATTCGTGGGAAACCAATGTTATACTTTATTTCAAAAAGGATATAAAGGACAAATTTGTTTTTCACAAGTTTATGACAAAAAAAAGAGACAAATTATCCACATAAAAAAGATGTAATTTATGCTCATTTCTGTGAACCGGAGGTAGTTTTTAAAAGGGGATGAGAGTCGACATCTATTTATTTTCAGGCCTACATTTTATTTTGTAAATATCTCTTTGTACTAGCATGATTTATTTTCTTTAATGAAATGGACCTTACCAAACACCTTTAATAAGTAGTTGAAGAACCTCTTCTTTTTAATACATAACAATACAATAACTTTTGAGGTTTTTGTTTTCATGTATTTTTTATTTGTATTTGTAAAGCACTAAATATCACTAAAACTAATTTTAATCTCTATTAGTTCAACAAATAATTATGATATAAAAATTATCAATTTGAATGTCCAGAGGCTTTTCAGAAAATGATTCCTTTGATAATATTTCTAGTTCTGTATAGCAAATATGTCTCAGAAATAAATAAAACAACTTAATTATAATATACAATAAGTACTCACCTCATCGGCCAAATCGTAACCTTCTGCTATACCAAATAGATTGTTTAAGTTGTACTGATAATCCAAGAATTCCCATTCTTCCATTTTATTTTTGCCTTGTTCTGTGATAATACTGAAAAATTTATATTTTTTCTAATTTTGACATATAAAGTAACATTTTTGTAGTCGTAACAAGTGTGAAAATGATCTACTTGACGCAACCAATTGCAAAATGTTGAACATTATGAAACCTATATAGGTACATCATTATTATATACTTGTGGCACTCGGGGACTGCCGCGGTAAAGCTATTGCATAGCATTTTTTATTAACTTATGCAATTATAATTATTTATTTATTTTATTTATGCGTTGTTTTTGTTTTCTTTGATATTAATTCAAGTTTTTTCTTTGATATTAATTCAAGTTACACTTTTTGAGAAGAATTTTTTTTTTCGATATTTTTTCGATTTTTTTATTTATTTTTTTTTTTTTTTCGATTTTTTTCGATTTTTCGACTTTTCGACTTCGTTTTTTTTTTTATTTTTCTTCGATTTTTCGATTTTTTTTTCAATTTTTTTTTTCGATTTTTTTTTCATTTTTTTTTTTTGATTTTTTTTCATGTTTTTTTTTTCGATTTTATTTCGATTTTTTTTTTTATTTCGATTTTTTCGATTTTTTTTAGATTTTTTTTTTCGATTTTTTTTTTCGATTTTTTTTTAAATTTTTTTTTCGATTTTATTTTTCGATTTTTTTCTATTTATTTTTCGATTTTTTTTCGATTTTTCGATTTCTCCATTTCTCCATTTTTCCATTTTTTTTATTTTTCCATTTTTCCACTTTTCCATTGTCTTTTACTGAATAAACGAGAAGTTAATATTGTTTAACGCCGCACCGCTGTGCCGGTCGGAGTGGGGGGTGTTAGGTTTTTTTTTTCGTTACGGTCGTTACGGAATTTCTTGATTCGGTCGCCGCACTCAAAGCCCGCGATAAAAGCTATGCAATAGCTTAAAAACTTTAAAGCGGCCGCCAAAATGGGTTTGAACTATCCCGCAATCGCCACCAAGTGTGGCTCGAATTTAGTTATATAGTCATAAGAATTTTGTTAAAAAGAGATAAATAGATAAAATGATCTAGGCAAGTTGTATTAAACAATAAGTCAAATATAAAGGAATACCGCAAATGCAAAAAAGGTAGGCCACTGCTTGAAGTACTCGAAAAAAAAACGAATTGTTAGTAGTCAACTAGCTAAAAACATCAACAAATCGACCTCTTTGATTTGCCGCCCATAGACGGAGATATATTGTTTTACTTAAAATGTTATTCATATATTATTCATCATTGAGTCAAAAAAATACTTGATTTCAATTCTTTTTTCCGCATTGAATAATGATTTTTTATTTCACTTATTAATTAATATAATTAATCTTAGAAATTGAAATGTTTGTTGAATATATTTTTTTTTGCAATGAGCCTATCCGACATTTATTCTTAATAAGTATTTAATAAAAATTTTCTTCTAATTTGTCTTACAAAGTAACATTTTTTTGTAATCTAAAGTGTCCAAATAATTCATACCTTCTTTAAGTAACTAGTTACATAAATTAAACTGGTTGTCATAATTATGTTCACTATTAAAAAAGAAAATAAATTTAAAAAAAAAACATGTTTGGTATTTAAATTAATATATGTATAGGTACCTCTATTGCTTTTGAAAGTATATATAGGAAGAACGAAGATTGGTTATATAAAAATACATTTGGACAATGTGCTAAGGTACAATAAGTAATAATGCTGGTTCATTCGCTATTTTAAAAAGTCATCCTTAACCTGATCAAAATAATCGAAACACTGTTTCACTCAATACACGAGAAAAAATTTAATTATAAATTAAAATATCCCTATGTACTATGCAAAATAACCCATTTTCTTGATAAGAAAAAAGAAAACTGTTTGTGATGATAAATATTTAAATATTTTAAAAGTATCAGATTGTTGTGAAGTTGACAATTATTTCCAAATATTCATTTTCTAATAACTTTGATTGGAAGTACACAAAATTATCGACTAGTCATTTTTTTTCCAAACAATTCTATAAATAGAAAAAATTTAAACAAACTAACCAATATTTAAATAATAAACACACATCACGACGCCACTGGCTCTTCCTAATTTCTTCTGCTTCTACATGTTGTAAGCGACCAGCTCGTCTATACCGGTTAATCTTAGCAAAGTAGAGAAAGATAATGAATAATTGGAATGTTGTATATTTTGTACAGAGTTAGACAATGTTACATTTAAATATTATTTTCGTGGTATAGTAATATCAAAAAGCATCGTATAATCAATACGCCCGGTACTTACTCCTTTTTAAAAATATATTGAGATATAAAAAATATAGGAATTTTTTTTGGAGCATCTTCAAAATATCCTATTAATATTATCATGTAAAACCTAATGCTTGTCGTAATTAAAAAATACACCAGTCCTTTACATTGGCCTGACATATAGTGCTAAAGTTAAGCCACAGTCCCCTTCCATTTCTAAATTCCGTTATTTTTAAAACAAAGATGCATTTTAATAAAATATTTTTATGCCAATACTATTTCTATTCCTACAAAAAAAAATAAGACATATCGGGATTTATAATATGTATCGGCATCACTGCAATATATCCGTCGTGTCAACAAAAAGCGTTCATCTGCGAGTCAGTAGCAGAAGCTTCCGTTCAAATTAGGGAAAATAGTTTTGAGAACGTTTTTAGTTTATCGCTGTTATGACGGGTTCGAATATGAGATATATAACGGTTCCCGATCGCCGTATTAAACTGCCGCCTTAATAAATGCTTAAATGCAAATGCATATGTTTTTCTTAAATTTTAAATGATTATGTTCGAATTTTGACCCTGAGTAAACACTTTATGTACTACATTTTGCTTTCTTTTTATTTTGATATTGTATCCCTTACTTATTTTATGAACTGAGATAAAGAATAGTTTTCAGTCAATCTACTCCTTCCCAAGAAAAATACCTCTATACATTTGCTAACTGCTATTATTATTGTTTAAAGAACATTTTACCAACAGAAATAGCAACAGTTTTTAAAATAGTTCATTTCTTTAGTTTTTTTTTTAACAAGTTTTTTATTATAGTTTCTTTTTCAACCAAAGATAACTGACCTAAATCCAATTGTTTAGGTCTTTCTGAAAGCGAAATATTTACAAAACTGGTCTTGGCATAGCAATATTTATTTTAATGTAAAAAATACGAAAGGCAATACACAAGTGCCTAAGTAGAGTATTCAAATGTCAAATTAAGGGTCGGTCTTTTCACCTTCAGATAAAGTTCCAGTTAACTAACCAAAGGATATATTATCCGAGAGTTACTGTCTGACAGATAATTAGGTTTCCGTCTTTTCAAAAGAAATAATCTGTAGGGTAGTTATCTGATACTTTTTAACATTTTATGATCATGTACCTACCTTCATATCAATGTATTTATACAGGCAATATGTCATTCTCACTGTCACTTGTCATTATTTTGTTCTGTCTCTTATATTAACGGTTTTTGCATTTTTCTGATAATATTTATTAAGCAAGAGGATGCTTGAAACACAAAGCAGTACTGCAAAATAAAAAACTGATTCTTAAGGACAGCGTCTCCTAGGAATTTCTGAACAAAATTATGTCAATTTAGATTCAATCAAGGAGGTGCTGTTACCTACCGACTAGAGATTGAATTAGTGCAAATTATTACAGAAATCTTTAAGTAACTATAAATATCGACCGACTAGCTATTAGGGGATATTGTATTATATTGTATTATAAACCGGTTTTTAGTAGAAGGATCATAATAATAGTCCTGAACATAAAATCTATTTTTCAATAATTGCCGGGATTTTACCAAATAAAAAAAATTATTTCGTGATTGTGAAAACGGTCCAATCGTTTTATATGCCATTTATAATATTATAAAAATGTTAACTCTAGGACTCATTTTGGAGTATGAGCATACTTTATTTCAATACTTTTATTGTACTGTTTCATAAAGTATTACCTACCTATTACATTTTATTTTTATCGAAAATTGACTTTGTTTCCTGGACCAAAGTAAAGAATGTAGATGCAGATGGTAACAACAAAAACGATATCTTGCCTCACATTAAATATAAATATTTCCTAAAACAAATAATTTGGTTTATATACGGGTAGTAATACGAGGGATGTTTATAATTTCAAGTCACGAATATAGAGTCGTTTCAAAATATATTGCCACAATAATTGCGTCACATTGAGTCGGAGTGGACGCTTGACGTGTCGCAATTCGCAATATATTTTAAAACTATTCTACCTAATTAATAAATTGTGATTTTGAAGTATCGAATGAAAACTATATTCTCATTGGTTAAAGATGGAAGTATTTGGTCATTTGAATGTTCAAGAATATTAATTGTGATTAATTGGTTAAATACCGAAGTTATCTGTTATCTGATGTTGGTACTAACCTAATGTTTTTGGGTAATTTTGACTGTCATTTCCTGGAATTTCCAGGCCCGCATAAATATTTATCCTATTAAAGTACAAAAACCCTACAATAGATATTATGAGTAGGTATTTAACATTCATTTATCTTATCTTATCTTAGGTAGTTATTTCCTAGAAACATGTCCCTGATTGTCAATAACACATTACCGTATATCTGTACCAATATGACGTCACGACTTTTAATATACTTAATGAAGGCTGGGGGAAGGAGTTAAGAGTCTATAAATTTACAAACAAGCTTACGCGTATTTAGTTTTCAAAATTACATCACACGTTTCTGAAGTGTTTTATTGTGCTGTTTGTTTTTAATAAGTGTTATTTTCTTTAATAGAAAATTGATTTATTTGTGCCAAGTGTCCTAGTGAGTTTCATTGTACATTTTAATCAGTTTTATTTTTGGATAAATTGACATCGACTTCCTGCATTAAAGGTAGGTAGTATTTTTTTTCTATCACTCTCGAGTTCGTCATTGAATAAAAAAATTAAAAACGCTATAATTTTAACATTCAAATATTTGCAATTAAAAAATAATATTACGTATTAAATTTGACAATAAAAAAACTTGTTATTTAATAATAATGTTTCATTATTCTGAATATATTTTTTCTACGATCAATATCCAAAGTAGGTAGGCTTTTGCACATTAAAATCTAAATAAAAAGTTGACGTTTTCTGCGAATTGTCATAATTTGACATTATTGGCGCACATTACCTAATATTCAAACCCATTTCCATGCTTAAAAATAGAAGATGGTGACATTCATTTAAAAGAAAACCATAACTACTTTTACCAGGTGAAAACTTTCAATATGTTAAAATAATTCATGATTTTTAAGAAATGTGCTAGAAATGATACTACAATATTAATATTCTTTTTATGTTTGATTTTCTAATAATGATTTTATATACTTTTAGATTCAAGGACAGCTAGGTATAGCTCAAAGAAAATTGTGCTACTTTGTAGTATATACTGGAGAAAAATTAATATTCAACCCATTTTTTTTTTAAATATGTTTGAAAAATTAGAAAAAATTTACTCGGAATATATGGCACCTGAGATAATTTTAAATAGAAGAGGACGAGGATTAAAATGTCTGGATACCCCATATAATGAAACAAAGTGCAAAGATTAGCAAATTTATAAAAATAATAATTTAATGGACTTTAATGATACAAGTACTTGAAATAATGTTTTTTTTGCGCAGAAGCATGTTCATACGTAATTTGCAATTGGTAGTCACTAATCACAGATGGAAAAGTATATACGTCAACGATATGTTATTATTATTTTTGATTTATTTTAACAGGTATAATATATGGTATGTTACTTATAGTATAGATTTTTTTATTTCTCGACCTAATTTATTTGTTACGTCTTCAGCAATTGTCGCTTTCAGTTGACATAAACGAAATTGATAAAAAGTGTTTTTCGCATTTTATTTTGACTGTTTCTCTTACTTTCGAATAGAAACTGAGCTTTGTAAACATAAAATGACGGATATGTCAAACTAAAACTGACGGTAAAATGAAACATTGAGTATCGTTAAATGCAACTTTTGAACTAGTTTCAAAAATAGCATTAAAATGATATTATCATTCACAATGTACTAATTTCCTATACTTTTAGTTGATAAATAACCGATAATCATACATCATATAGGCGCGTATCAAAAGGTCACCGGCGAAAAAAGAGTGCCGATGAAAAAAGGTCGTTTCCAATTGTATCATATAAACAGTATCAGAGGCAGTATTATCATCTCGTATATCCCTCGTAAACACTCATAATATAAACGGAAATAACCAAATACTAGTCAAAATATTATCGATCGGAGCACCATCTTTATTACATTACATGAAGTAATTATTGATTTTTCGGGGTTGATTTAGAGTTAAATTAGACGCCATTTTTGGTCCAAATTCGTTTTGACATGTTTTTTCAAAGAAAGTGACTTATAAATTTCAAATCTACACGTTTTGAAAAATATACAATATTTAAATATTCTGAGTGTACCAAATTCCAAGAAAAGGTTGGACTTAGGTCGTATTACATTTTTTTTTATTATTTGTTTGACATCGAGGTTAAAATAATTCTACACGGCACCTTTGAGATGAAATAAAAGGGGGTTATTTTACATGATTGGTTTTTATTGAAAATAATAAATTTATTAATTTTCAATAGTAAGGTGACCTAAGTTAGACCTTTATTTTTAATTTGGCCAAAAATTAGATTTTTAAACACTACATATTCGGAAAACTGTCGATTTAACTTTTGGTCTACACATACACTTTTAGTACACAGGGATACCCCGTCCTTAAGTCTATTGTATTGTAATTAACAAAGATTGTTCCTTTGATTAAATTGAATATTTCAAAGTTGTAGTTTTTTATTGTGTATATGTGTATTATTGGTGCGAAGGGCATTAGTTTACACTATTTGCAATAAACTATTTTATATATGTAAAGGCTGTTTTTCTATTATATCGCTTAGTTGTCCAAGTATTTTTTCTAGAATAAATATAAAATTACCTATACGAAACACTATTTACAAAAACAACATCTTCAACAACGTCCATAAAAGCAAATAAAATAATTTGTTGACTCGTATCACATATTATTATATCATATACCTATTTATCTATCAGTTAACTACTTTATCAGGAAATTCAGAGGTAAGACAAGTTATCTTTCAGATTAGACCAATTTATCTGCCGGTTAGTTTTATCCAAAAGTGAAAAGATTATTTTTTAAGTTATCTGGGAGATAATAACTAGCTGACACTTTATCTGAAGGTGAAAAGACCGACCCTAAATGAATATTTTTATCTTTTATTCTCTACTTTTTCTTTCACAGATACTTACCTGTTTATGTAATTCGAAAATGGAGTAAGATCAGGAATAATCTGCTCAAGATAATCCTCATTTATGTCGGTTCCTCTGAGATAGCAAACAATCAAGTTCCACAAAGCTGCTGCTTCACTTGTCAATTTATCTGGAGGGATCACTTTTTCTTCAGTCAGAGGTAAAATAGAAATTATATCCTTAATTGGTGTGATACTAAAAAAAAAACTATTATCAATTATCTTAAGAATTTAATGAAACTTACTACTTACTTAAGTAGAAGGTTTATAACATCCTTGGTAATATTTTCTGTATTAGTAATGTCACTTTCGCAGGCATCCATCTTTAAACCTTTCAAGAAATTTATGTAATCATTCTCATAGACCTGTAACCATTTTGGTAATAAATTTTCAATAAAGACATTTTTTACTTTTGGATTGCTTTCTGCCAAACCACATTCCAAAATATGCTGTCTTTCAATAATTTTGATACTCTTTGGACCAATGTCAGCACACCTCCTAAATGCAGACATTCTAACAAAATGATCTGTATCTCTTATACGCTTTATAATTTGGGGAACTGTGATGCTGTTAGGAGCAATTATTTTTACTACTTCATTTCTAATGTGTGCGTTCGGATCAACTATTAATGATAAATAAGCTCTGATGACAGGGCAATCAGCATTTATAGGGTCTTGCAGTCTAATCAGAGCCGATACTGATTGTAACCTAACTGCTGATTTTGGGTCCTAAAACACAACAAATAAAATAACACAAAAACTAAAATTACAACCAAAACTTACCAAAGTACATTCTAACATAGCTTCTTGGATCATATCACACACCTCATTGTCCAAATTCTTGTCTCTGCCGATATTTTGAAGTATGAGTTTTACAAATAAGCACGAATTATACCGAAAAGATTCGTTTATCAATTGGTGGTACTAAAAGAAAAGGTTAAATACACTGAATTTTCACTAACATTATCTATTTTAAAAATAGTTTAATAAATTAAATCTACAATTGTACATTTATTTTACAAAAAAGGTACCTTCGACCTGAAAATATGTCAAAAAATTTGTATTCAAAGATATTAACCACAGTGTGCTTATATGTATATCTTGGCATCGGTTATATTTTTTGAACAAACAACCTGTTTGAGATCAATGAAATAGAATATATTTATAAAACAAGAGTGATATGTAATGGACATCCCAAAATATGTAGAATAATAATAATAATTTATTTGTCCTTTAGGATCATGTTACATGATATAGGATAAGTAATAATATATATGAATAAAAAATATTAAAATACAAATAAATATAGGTACAGTATACAAAAAATATATATATATATCTAAGACATGCACATTAAAATATACAATTAAAAAAACATTTACCTTAAAATATGGTGGTATTCAGATAAATTATAAAAACATGAATTTATTAAATAGTTTTTAGGTTTTTTTTTTAAAGGTTCATATTTCTTTCAGATTTAATGAAATCAGGGAGTTGATTAAAAAATTTAATTCCAACAAATTCAGGCGATTTCTCAAATAATGCTGTTGAATGTCTTAGTGTTCTGAATAAATTTGCATTCCTAGTTGAGTATTCATGGTAATTTGAATTTTGTAAAAATTGGTGTGTGTTGCGTTTAGCATATAGCAACTTTTTATAAATGTAAATACAGGGAAATATTAATATTGTAATTTTTTTTTTACAAGTTTGCATTAATTCTAGATTAAAAATAAGCCGGATTATTCTCTTCTGTAAGATAAATACTTTAGATGCATTGACTGCATCACCCCAAAGAATAATGTTGTATGATATATGAGAATATGCTAAAGCATAGTAGACATTAAGCAGTTGCTCTTGGGTAAATATTGATTTTAATTTTAGTATTGCATAGTATGGGCTGTTTAATTTTTTACAAACATTAGATATTTGGCTATCCCAACCCATATTGCTATCAATATGTATGCCCAAAAATTTTGTAACATCTGAGAGCATAATTTCTGCATTATTGACATTTATTTTACAATTCTGGGTAATTTGATTTCTGGAGTAGAACTGAAGGCAAACGGTTTTGTTTGAATTAACAATTAAAGAATTTCTATAACACCATGATGTAAACTCATTAGATAAAACATTTAATTTACTAATTAATTCATCTACTGATTGTGCATTGGTGGCAATTGTTGTGTCATCTGCATATAAAATTATGTTTTGAGTTAATATGATTAGGCATATCATTTATGTAGCATAGAAAAATTAGAGGTCCTAAAATTGATCCCTGAGGCACACCCATATCAACACTTTCTAGTTCAGACTTACAATTTTCGACTTTGACATAGAACTGTCTGTTATTTATATAAGATGACAACCAAGACAAAAAGTTACCTCTAAAATCAAGCCCTTCCAATTTTTAAATAGCGACATCTAAGTTGATTGAATCAAACGCCTTTGATAAATCAAAGAAAAGCGCACCCACAAACATCGATCGATAGAAGTATGTATGAAATTAAAAAGATCTATTGCTGCACCAACGCAAGTTAAAACACTCTTTTAAAAAATCAATATTGAAATCTCCACAAATTAGGATACAGTTGAAATGACTATAACAATAATTAAGAAGCATATACATCTTATTAAAAAACGTATCAAGATTACCTGTTGAGGCCCGATAAATAGTTAACAAACAATACCAAAGTCCATTTAAACTAAATGTAATTGAACAACATTCAAAATTTAACTCTTCATTTTTGTCACTAATAAATCGCGGTATATCATACAACAAAGATTTTTTTACAAGTATTAAGACACCACCATGATTCTTATCAGTCCTATTAAAGAATGCGGCCTGATGGTATCCATTAAAATAAAATATATTAATATTATCATCATGACACCAGGTCTCTGAGAGGCATAAGATATCTGGCGATTTTTGATTTATAATTAATTCAATCCGGTTAGTTTTATTTGTTAATGACTGTGCATTTACATTTATTATCCTAAACTTAACATCCACATCATGATCGTTCACAATTTTACCATTTATGTTTTTAGTTGGACATCTGTGCTGAGAAAAAAAATATTGAATATAATATTCAAAAGAATTAGAATAAGGTATCTTAACACCTTAGAATTCGGACCACTAAAATCAAAACTGAGGTAATTTATGTGTGATAAAGCATATTACAACTTAAAAAAATTCTTCTGTGATCCAGTAATTATACAAAATATTGGTTAAAAACAAAATGGATATTATGAAAAAAATATTGCTAAATAATTGTTATCAAGAATGTTTATGTTTATGTCTCCAACAAAAATATTTATGCTGTTTTTGGTACATTAAAAGTTCTTTCAAATCAGCTAGAAATACATTATCAGATATCTACGAGTATAGTATGGCAAGATACTAATGGTAGGGCTGCCAGATTTTCAGAAATGAAAAGCGGGAGGTTTTAATTTTTGAAGAAAAAACTTTTATTTTAATAGTTAATATTCAAATACCTACTAAATATACAAATATATTATTGTAGCATAAAAAAAAAAACAAAAACAAATTTCAACGCCCGATTAATAAAACATTTTCAACAAGTCAACATCAAATGTACCTATTCTTAATTTTGGTATCATTTTTGGCAATCTTCATGTCACGACTGTACATTTGTATAAACGAACACTTAAAAAATTAACAATAGGAGGGTTAACACTTGAACTAAAACATAATTCCAGCTCTGTGGTTTTTTTTCTGTAAGTACAAAGAATACTGAAAAATAAATTATTGCTTGGCTTCTATTTGTGTTTACAGTCACTCCACCTGGTATTCTGTAATATTGACTGCAAACTTTGAATGTCTGTTATATAAATCAAATATAAATATATAAAAAATATACATAATTCAACAAAAAATGCTTACATTAATAAAACATTTTCAACAAGTCAACACCAAATGTACCTATTCTTAATTTTGGTATCATTTTTGGCAATCTTCATGTTAGGACTGTACATTTGTATAAACAAACACTTAAAAAATTAACAATAGGAGGGTTAACACTTGAACTAAAACATAATTCCAGCTCTGTGGTTTTTTTTCTGTAAGTACAAAGAATACTGAAAAATAAATTATTGCTTGGCTTCTATTTGTGTTTACAGTCACTCCACCTGGTATTCTGTAATATTGACTGCAAACTTTGAATGTCTGTTATATAAATCAAATATAAATATATAAAAAATATACATAATTCAACAAAAAATGCTTACATTAATAAAACATTTTCAACAAGTCAACACCAAATGTACCTATTCTTAATTTTGGTATCATTTTTGGCAATCTTCATGTTAGGACTGTACATTTGTATAAACAAACACTTAAAAAATTAACAATAGGAGGGTTAACACTTGAACTAAAACATAATTCCAGCTCTGTGGTTTTTTTCTGTAAGTACAAAGAATACTGAAAAATAAATTATTGCTTCGCTTTTGTTTGTGTTTACAGTCACTCCACCTGGTATTCTGTAATATTGACTGCAAACTTTGAATGTCTGTTATATAAATCAAATATAAATATATAAAAAATATACATAATTCAACAAAAAATGCTTACATTAATAAAACATTTTCAACAAGTCAACACCAAATGTACCTATTCTTAATTTTGGTATCATTTTTGGCAATCTTCATGTTAGGACTGTACATTTGTATAAACAAACACTTAAAAAATTAACAATAGGAGGGTTAACACTTGAACTAAAACATAATTCCAGCTCTGTGGTTTTTTTTCTGTAAGTACAAAGAATACTGAAAAATAAATTATTGCTTGGCTTCTATTTGTGTTTACAGTCACTCCACCTGGTATTCTGTAATATTGACTGCAAACTTTGAATGTCTGTTATATAAATCAAATATAAATACATAAAAAATATACATAATTCAACAAAAAATGCTTACATTAATAAAACATTTTCAATAAGTCAACACCAAATGTACCTATTCTTAATTTTAGTATCATTTTTGGCAATCTTCATGTCACGACTGTACATTTGTATAAACAAACACTTAAAAAATTAACAATAGGAGGGTTAACACTTGAACTAAAACATAATTCCAGCTCTGTGGTTTTTTCTGTAAGTACAAAGAATACTGAAAAATAAATTATTGCTTCGCTTCTGTTTGTGTTTACAGAGTCACTCCACCTGTAATATTGACTGCAAACTTTGGATGTCTTGTTATATAAATCAAATATAAATATATAAAAAATATACATAAGTCAACAAAAAATGCTTACATTAAAATAGTTAAACTTCTCAAAAAAATGTCAAATTCCAATTGTAACCAATTAATTATTCTAAAATTACAAATATTTTGAACTGTTTCCTACTCTACCAAGAAGACTTTTTTCTTCCTTTTGAAAACTTTCTGCAAATTCTTGGCAAGTTTCAGTATAATTAAATTTAATCTTTGGTTTAGATTCTGTTTCTATAGAAAGAGAATTTCTTTCTTTCCTCCAGGCTACAAACACTAGACTAAAAATGCTCTCACTCATCGCGTTTGAATGAGGAAGAAAAAAAAAAGCATTTTGAAAAAATTTGGAAATCTATGACTCTTAAAATAATAAACCCATTGCTGGTCAATGTTAATGTCTTTAAAATTTAATGGTGGATTTTCCAGATATGATGACAGCTTTAAAAATTCTTCCAAAAGTAGGTCAATATCTACACCAATGGCAAACTAATCAGAAATTTTTAAGGAATCGTTTAATTTAGGGTTTGTTTTCAAATTTATCGGCCCCAAACTTATAAAATATGGCGCTTGTAGAGATTACTACGTTTGTAGATATGGGCGAAATAACGGATAATTTGATAGTATCATTAGCATATCAATAATTTTTTAATATCTATTCAATGTAAATTAGGAGATTTCTGAAAAATCGGGAGGTAAGCAGTTTAAAAAGCAGGAGGGAGTGTGAGAAATCGGGAGGTATGGCAGCCCTAACTAAAGGTGGTACTAAAATAGAATGTTAAGTGGATTGCAATTGCATTGACTATTAAAAATAAGTAACAAGTCTATAGTATACCTTTAGAGTCTCTTTAATAACCATTGTCAAAAAAGGATGTGGAGCTACATCAAACAATTCTTCTTCACTATCGTCCACAGGGGTAACTTCAGCCACAAACTGTGCCAGAAATTCTAACACCCTCTCTACATACACATTTTTATTCGATATCGTATTCTTCGATAATATAAGCGTTAACATATCTTTCATGCTTTCGAAAAATTCTTCAGGGGACACCTAAAAAATCAAACTGTTAATTTGTTTAGTGAAACAATATCTTCAACGTACCTCGTTAAAATATTTTATCAATACTTTAATTTTTTGTTGGTGGCATGATTTATTAATTTGCGCTGCATGCAGTACAGCTTTTATTCTATCTTTAAGAGACATTTTAATAAAATATAAATAAAATGGTAAACCGTTAAAATTTTTTTTTTTTAAATTTGATGCTACACAGATTTGACATTATGTCAAACTTCGTCACAGCTTCAGTGCTGCCAACGCCCAAGATTTATCACTATTACCAGGAGAGCCTAATTTCTCAAATCTAGTGCGCTGTCAACTAGTGACGTCGGCGCAGAACCTCGCACTTCAATGAATTATATGGCTTTATGAAAGTGTTTCTATTGATATTAAATAAGAATAAATGCCGCGTTTGAGAATCCACATCGGATGCATCTGAGATGTGGTGAATTTTTTATCACGTGGGAACGATTTATACATTTCTTTAGAATGCTAAAATATACTATATATCGTTATGCACAATGGGCCTAGTGAGGCCTAAGTGCCCCAGGATAAGGTGTGTTCTTTTATTCAACAATTGTTCCATCAGTAATTGATGTCATGACGTCACAGATTAATTTCTGGGGGTCGATTCTCGACTCGTAGGAATTTTTTCCTATAGGAATTTTTGACATTTTTATACACATCGAAAATTTATGACATTTTCCTACATATAGGAAAGTGTCACAAATTCCTATAGGAAAAGGTTCCTAAAAGTCGAGAATCGACCCCCTGGTGGAAGGTATTTGCACTGAATATAGGAACGAACGACATTTCTCAAATGAAAAATTTGACGTTTGACATTGCTTTAAAAATTAAACCCGTTTTAATTTAAATTAACAGTAATTTATCTCTTCTGTAGCCGATTTATTTTAAATATTGTAGGTTAACTTTTATCTAAATAATCGTGTTCACACGTCCAAACAAATTGATTAGCTATCCCCTCCCTTCATCCATCACATGTCCATCGACTTTTAAAGCCGATGGATGAGTTTGCTCATTGGTGAACTAACCGCTGGAAAAATGAACGATTGACACATACAAGTGTCTTTCCATCGCTTAATTTAGGAACGGTTTGCTGCAAGCGCTGGATACAGCGCTGAATAAAAGAACACGCCTATTGCCGCGTTTGATAATCCACATCGGATGCATCTGAGATGTAGTAAATCTTAAACGTGTTTAGGATCTACCGTGACGTCAAAATATATGGTAGATGGAAGTAATCTATCCCATTATAGTATATACTCCTTGGCAAACGTCAAAGTGGAATATTCTTCTTCTAATTCCTTTTAATATTGGTCTCGTACCCAATAGGTCAGTAATAATTAAAGTTAAAAACGCAGAATTCTGAGAAAATATTCCATTGCGTCGACAAAATAGATATTTTGTCAACATTCCGGATTATTCGTGCTTTAAACGTCCATGGCCATGGGCGCCCCCAGAGTAGGGAACAGGAGACCGCCTCCCTCATGGAAATTTTTAATAAAACAACAGTCAATTTTCCAAAACATAGGATTTATTTTAATAACAATTAGTACATTGTGTACTGAATTTATTTATCTTCCTCCGTCACAAATTATTGACTCTTTGGTAAGCACAATCAAACCTACTGCTAAGCATACATTTTGATCAGCTAGTCATTTCCATCGCGAAAATTTAAAAATGTCGCTTATTCGTCTACGAATTCATTCGATATTTTAAAAGACTGTAAGTAAAAAAAAATATTTTTTTTTAATTTTATTTTATAGAAATGCAAACCTCCCAACGTGTATTTGAAGTTTTGAGAAGGAAAAAACGTGATGATTTAAGTGGCTAGATCTTGAAAGAAGTAAAAACTATAAATTCGATTTAAATTCCCTAAATCTGGCTTCATGCCACTCTCACCGATCCTGCGGTATTCGGAGGCCTCGTAGAATTTTGCTTTGCTGAAAAATAATATCCTGCATTAGAAATAATCAAGTCGTAACTGAAAATAATTATAGCACCACGTTGGGCGCCAAATGTTGTAACTGATAATTACCTGAAATTGTTGTTCGCTTTCATTCATTCCCACTACAGCTACTATTTGATATTGTCTAGCTTTCATAGACGCCTCATTTTTTCGCAACAATCTCAGTGCAGACGCGCTATTCGTATCGCCCAATTGGGCCATTTGTTGCGGAGAGTGACTGGGATCGAGTACTAATAATGTTAAACTCCCATCTCTATTAACTTCGATACCCATTATTGTACGACTGTGACCTGAAAAAATACTATTAACGATATTCCCTAATTAGTTTTTTTCGTACGAACCTTGATGTTGCAAGTAAAGAGGTGGCGTAAATTCACCTCCAACGGAACTGTCGAAATATCGGTGAACCCAGGCGAATAATTCCGGATGTGTCCCTGAAGATCCGGTGGGTTTATGGAAATCTACCAACTGACATTTTATCCGAAGAAACGATAACAGCGTTACCACTTCCGTGGCACCAATCCATTTTCTAGTATTAACTAATCGGGACCCTAATTGCTCCGCGCCCTGTTTGAAATGAAAAATTGCGTTATATTTTTTTGAATTTAATATTTAAATAACGATATATTCGAAAATATATCGATTTTCAGAACAAAAATACTGTTAAATATGTAATTTTGGCCATAAGAACGTCAGAAGCTAGATATAACAAAAAATCAAAGGGGGTTAAATATAATGTAATGAAAAATAAATGGACCTGCGATTTTTTTACGGTGCTCGATTCAACGTGTCATCGGAATAATATAAGTCATTCTAGTTAAGGATAATTATCGCAATATTTTTTCAAATAGAAATATCGATATATTAAATAATTTTGCCATACAAAAACTAACCTGAATATCAAACCCCTGAGACCAAGCTTGTTCGATGATACCCTGAATCCGAGATATACTGGGCACCGAACTTCTAGGAGGTTTCTGCTCCTTCCAAATGGCGTACAGTTTCTCGTTATACCCTGTATGTGTCAGTAGACTAGAGATAAGCATTTGAGTATTTCGATAGCCGCATCCCCAACCTCGGTCGCCGTAGGATGAAGCGTAATGATCGACGCAGGTACATAGAAGAGTTCGCACCACGTTCGTGGCGTTATTGCTAATGGCTCTCACTCTAGGAACCTACAAATCAATTATTATCATCCGGACTTGTATTAAACCCATGTTTAAAATTATACTCACAATACTTCTGGTAACTGAGCTTCCGTCATCGATGCCGCAACTTTCGGCTGCCCTGAGATCCAACGTCCTTTCATAGTAGTCCGACACGCTCATTTCTCCCGCGTACACCGCCCTCTGCATGTTGGTGACCGATTGCTCTTTGAAGTTTCCCTGATTGTCCATGCCGTATTGGGCGCGTAACATTTCGAATTCCCTTTGTTCTCTCTCCCGCAACGCCGCTCTGTCGGCGGGTTGCGGGGAAGTGGCGGGAAAGTGGGATTCGACGTGTCGGGCAGCTTTTTCGCTCTACAAATATATGGAGGATTCGTTAGGGGTTTCCTTAAAGAAGGTTTACTAGAAAGCAGTACTTGTTACATAGTGGCAGTGCAGTCTAAATGGTTTCCAAGAGAGGTTGATGCATACCGTAACTTAAAATAGAGATGAACAATGGCCGTTTTACGAATTAAGTTGATAAGAAGCTTACGAGGAGATGATACTAGTAACTATAATGAAAATAATAAAAAGTACCGAGTCTAATGAACAAAAAAAAAACCATATTAATGGGAAATCCATTTCATACAAATGTATCAAACTACAGTAGCAAGTTTATTCATAGAGAAACAATTAAAAAAATAGTACACAAACAAATCTTTTATCTATGTAATATTCTTTTAAACATTCTAAATAAATTTAAAAATATATCATTTGGACACGGAAGATTAATCAATTCACGAGATAAACGTGTTATAGATTATGTCAACCATAATTTGTTAAATACTTATTTTTATGTAACAATGGTCTATTTCTAATTCTTGATCCAACATTAAAGTGAAATAAAGTCAGCAGTCCCGGCAATTTATTACACCATTTACAACTTATGTAATCTTCACTTTTTAAGAGAGTGAAAAGATTGGTTATTTCAAAAATTTGACGATAGTAAGCCAGTTAATTCCTGGCTTGTATACATGTTTGAATAATCTCTTCTGCACTCTTTTACTCAATTCCACATTACACATGTATAACGTAAACCAAAGAATTCAATCATATTCTAAAATTTACCTGACGAAAGATAAATGATATTATTATACGAGGTTGACATCTAAAAATGTATACTACGTATAAAGTAGGAGTAAGCGATGAAGAGAGATAAAAATACCGTCAGAGGTTAGAGAAAAAATACGGCTACAAATAGAATATACATCAATTTAAGAAATATAAAACAAAAAAGTCAAAGGGGGTTAAATATAATGTAGTTAAAAATAAATTGACCACCGTTTGTTACGGTGCTATATGAAATTAACAAAAAAGTCAAAGGGAGTTAAATATAATTTAGTTAAAAATAAATCGGCCAACGTTTTTTTAAGGTGTCGCTGAGCCATATATTATTTAAATATGACATAAACGGCCTTATGTGAATTGTAAAGCTTATAAAAAAATGTATAAAAACGTATAAAGTAGGAGTTAGCGATGAAGACAGATAAAAAGAATGTCAGAGGTTAGAGAAAAAAATACGAGTACAAATAGAATGTACATCAATTTAAGAAATATAGAACAAAAAAGTCAAAAAGGATTAAATATAATGTAGTTAAAAATAAATTGACCAACGTTTTTTACGGTGTTATATGAAGTTAACAAAAAAGTCAAAGGGGGTTAAATATAATGTAGTTAAAAATAAATCGTCCGTTTTTTTAAGGTGTCGCTGAGCCATATATTATTTAAATATGACATAAACGGCCTTATGTGAATTGTTAAGTTTATATTTTTTTAAGGTTTTTCATTTTTTAGGTAAAATTACTATTTTAAACTCTATGCTTGTTTTTTGTTGTGAAGAAAATGAGGCATCCTACATCGTAAGACTTTGATTTACTTATTATGTATTAAAACATATTATACCGCTATGTGGCGGTACCGATTTCTAGGAAACTAAAGCTTAACTTAAAACTTTCGATCATTGCCTCATTTTAAGTTACATTACTGATACTACACTGACATAATTTAGAAGTTTCTTTAAATTGTATGCATTTAGTGTTTAAAATGTTATGATAATAAGCCATTTGTCGGATTAACTAAAGCGAATTTTAGCGCCAAAGTGTTTGAATTAAAACAGAGACAGCTCGGATTAGCTCCTTTATTGTAAGACGGATCACCTGCAATGTGTAGAATTTCATAGAACTGATAAAATGCATATATTATAACACTTAAAAAACAACTATTATATTTTATAATGTATTATTTATAGATTTATTTCAATGTGTTATTTCACGTTCTATTTCTGGGTATCCTTTACACTTTCATCCATTTTTCCCCAGATCTGGGGAAATTTATAGAGTAGATTTGGCAACACCGCATCGCATGAATCAAAGTAAGTACATTGGATAATTCCCCCAGAAACTCGCCAATACAGAGCATGGATAGATAAATTTCTTGCGACTGATAAGAGAGGAATAGTTACAACTTTACTACCTTCTCATGAAAATGCGAAAACTATGCTACTTACATTGATATCCCCGTCCAATAAAATACCGCACACGGGACAGTTTTGCGTGGATGGACTGGCAGGTGAAAGGATATCGCGATGTTCGATATTGACGTGGAGTTCAAGATCGGCGGCCGAATCGGATTTTTTCGTGCAAAGGGGACACACGTACATTTCCGACGTGGTGGTCGTCGTAGTCGTCGTTATACTATCTCCTACCGATGGGGATATCAAATCGAAATGACTCCTGAAAAAAAAATTGTTTTAAGCAACCCGCCTATGGCACTTTCATCAGAAAGGAACAGTGATGCTTGTTTTGAAGAGCTAAACGAATCATTATTCATTTTTACGTACGTTTACATTGAATGCTATTTGTACAGTTTGAATCGGGCCAATAATAACGGACATATTAGCTTTTTTTCGTTAGGTTTCAAATCTAAATGAAATTTCACACTGAATGCCGTTTGTCCCGTCTGAATAGAACCAGTAATAACGGTGCTCTTATTGTGTGACATTTCATACTGAATGCCGTTTGTCTCATTCAAATCGACCAAGTAATAAGGAGGATAATATTAGCAAAGCTACTGCTCATGTTATTAAGACATATATGTCTCCTTTTTGTCGAGTTCTTTATCTTGAAAGAACTTAATGGTTCGACATCACTTTTTTAGCTCCTCTTCGTCTTTGATTTACCAGAGACTTCTTCAACGTCTCCCCTGGTTCTACATCACTTCTTCAGCTACTTTTTATTCTTTTTGTTTCTCTTATTTTTAGGCATCAACATTTATCACCATTCTTCTCGCATTTTAAATTAATGTTTCAAATCAGTTTTTTAAACCAGCGTATTTTACTTTCCATTCCAGAAAAAGAATAAATATGATTCCTTCATAATAATACCATCCCTATAACATATTTAATATCTTTTGAGTTACCTGTTGACGTGTTCCTCCAAGACGTTTGGATTTAAACTAGTATAAGTGCACATCGGACACTGGAATGTTGATTGGGAATTTTTCAATTTGAGTTCCAAATTAGTACGCAAAGGCGAACCTTGACTATGACTAGAAATGCTAGGGCTCAATTCCCCGCCGCCGTTTACCTAGAAGGTAAAGACTATGAAAAAGGCAGTAGAAACAAATACTCTACCTATTATAAATCTAATTATAGTTTATATATATTGGAACAACTTTTAGTTTCGAGGCCTTATTTTTACTAAAAAATATGTGGTATAGATTTTGTATATTGTTTTTCATTTATAAAAATAGCCACATTTTTTCAGCAGTCAAATACTCTACACATTTTAAATTAATTGTATGTTTTTACCTTAGAATTTGGATTTATATTTATGTTGCTTTTGATTATGGATCCGGAATATGATGAAGCATTTCTTGATGAGTAAGAATCAGTTTTCCAATGATTTTCAACATGAATTCCATTAAATTCACTGAAATACAATAAATAATGAAATTTATTTTGTATAAAACTTTCTGACGGATTAAAATTGGAGTATCAACTAAAATATACAATTGTTTTGCATGAGATAAAACATTTTTTTTTATTGAATTACAGGGGAAATCCCCATAACATATATTAATTTGCAACTTTACATCATTTTAATAACAAACATCAACACTTAAGTCAGTTAATTTACAAGTAGTAGGTAATATAAGCAATAAATCATTTTTAAAATTATAAAAAAAAACATTGGTAATAATAAAAATATTCAAAATATCAATAAAGTCTTATTTCTTCCAGCTTTTCTAAAGCTATTGAATGGGGTACCCAAAATACCCAAATGTAATGAATTTGCACTTCTTTGAATAAATTATTTTGACTGTTTTTAAGATTTGGGCCACTAGGTCTGTTGTGCTTCATATGAAAAAACATATAGTGTGTCATAAAAAATCTGCACCATATAGAAACCTTTTTATTGTTAATTTCTAAGAAAATCTTATTACTGATAAAAGTTTATATGTGATCCTTTTGATACACCCTGTAATATAATTTTATATTTTTTAAATACATACACATACTTCCCCTTGCGCATATAAATTGTAAATCTACAAAAAAACTTACAAAAATTCATCCATGATTATAACTTCTTAAATTTAATAGCAAAGCACTTTTATTAACACCTCTACAGACAAAGATTGATATGAAATAAATAAATTTTACCAAATATTTTAATAACAAACCAAAATCAATATGACCTAAATAAATAAATCACTTTTACTTGATTTTATGAAGGTTTTAAATACCTACACACTTTTTCAAGGCTCAGTAGTAAAATCAATTTAATTCTGTCATAGATGAATGTATTCCATTTATAAAATATAATGAAATATTAAATATAAACACAAGCATTAAAAATTAAAATAAAATTTCACACCCATGTAAGTGAAATAAATTTATTTGGGGTAATTATAATTTCCCTTTTGACTTTAGGATTCTTTATTTTGCATTTTAAATATCACATGGATCAAACAATCTTAGTGATAATCTCAATGTCACATAATAGTTCTAAAACTCTACAAAACTGAAGTTTGCTTAAAGACATTAAGATGCTAGAAAGGGTTGAAAAATAGTCACTAAAATCCCTTAAACTTTGCAGAACATTGACTACAACTAACTACTCTCTAAGAGAAAGAATTTTAAGTGGACTACTGGTTATTATTCATGTGAAAAAATCTTTAAACCAAGCACCTCCAGACATCTGAAGGGCCACACAAAGGAACTATAGAAAGAAATGTCCAGCAGGTTACAAAGAAAATACTTCTTAACAAATAGAGTGGTGTACATATGGAACGATTTACAAGAGCTGCTAATGTTAACCTCGTTTATGACAAAACATGTAATATTAAATTAAATATCCTGTGATAGATTGTGATAGGTGATATAAATAGCTTAAGTTCAGCTTCATTGGCTTAGGCTACTTGTCCTGAACTGTTTAAAAATAACAAAAAGCGTAAAAGACACTTATTAACTATTGTTGAAGAAAAAACATACTGTACCTTAATTTTTATTGGATATGAAACACTAATAGAAATTAAATTAGCAGAAAATTAGGATACATTATGACTGGACAATATTTTAATCAATTTTGGCACAAACTAGGTTAATCTAAAACGATTAAATTTGCGTTTCGGAGCCAGACAAACTAATTTATTTATAAATGTCAAAAAACATATTTTAAAGGGTTTCTTTATTATAAATTTATATTTAAAGCTTGTAAAGAAATGGCAAGTATTAAATCATTACTAACCTAGGACTAGGATCATCGATAAAGCTAATATTCGGCTCTGATTCTGGAGTTAAAAAATCCAAATGTGCTTGATTAACATGTAAAATAAGTTCCGCGGAAGAGGCTGCTGATAATCCACAAAAGGGGCAAATGCCACTGCCCTCAATGTGTGCGGTATGCGTATGAATCCTGAATTCTTCTTCGGTAAGACCCTCTAAACCGCATATTTCACAACAATGACTAAAGTCTGCTTCGTTAAAACTTGCCATTTCCGATATTATTTCTAAAAAAAAATAAAAATATGAAGGAATTTTAAAATTTGGATGTCGTACTTTAATTTACCTGAAAACTTTGTATTTTAGACTTTAATTTCGTTAAAGAATTCTGGGCAATCTGAACACTAAAAAAATCGGAGACTGGTAGACTAGCATTTGAAAAAATATATCATTTTATGAATGACCTAATTTCGGTTATGGCAACTGGCAACCCTCATAACAAGGTTGCATAAAAAATTGCCTACTTCCCGTTTTTTGTGCATAATTCAATGATATATATGTATATAGATTGCTCACCCATATGATAATAAGACGATTCCAAGTGTCACCGAACAGAACCGTTCTAGCCCAAGCGTGTTTTAAATTCAAATTTCAGCATTTAAAAATTTCGAAAAAAAGAATTTACTCCAAGATACAAGATCGTGTTAGGTATTTTGAAATCATATTTTTTTGTGTTGTACAGTTGAGTTTCCATATAATCAAATAATATTAACAAATAGATGTAATAGCTATTTATGAAACTAGTTACGAAATGCTTTATTTTATGTAACGAATGAATATTTGTGGTACGAAATTCCGTAACAAGAATATTTTTTTTTAAATTCTGACTAGATTATTTATAAAATTGTGATTTGGTAAAGAATTACTGATATCTATATATTATCTAAACTGCACCTTTTTGTACAATTTAATAATAAAAACGATTTATTAATATTACTACTGTCTTATATTGTTAGTTGCATATCATTAATAACTTCATTCTTTTATTGACAAATAGAAAACATATTCATTTATTCTCAGCGACTTATTGTGATGTGTTTATAATGCTTGGTAAAGTTATTTATATTTCAAGAAAGTGGGTTATTTTGTCGTGTATTGCGTTTTAATTATTTTGTACGGATTTAGAATGGAAAATAAGGATCAAAACAACATTATTATTACTAGGTTGTAGGTTTAATCAAATTTTATTTTTATAAATCAACCTTCTTTTATATAAACTTTCAATAATAATGTGTATTATTGCTTTTTAAACCAAGAAAAGGTATAGTTTTATTAGTTTTCTTTTCGCAACTGATGACAATGAATTTTTCGAAACTACTTTTATAATATTCAACATTATGCAACTGGTTAAGTAAAGTAGATCATTTTGACCCTTGCTGCGATTACAAAATAATGTCACTTTATAAGTTCTTCCGTTTGTCCCACTAGTGTAGGAATGAACTACACCTTCTTGCCGGCGATGTGGATATTTTCTCCTCAAGCTATTTAACAGCAGTGAATTACACTCGACATGTGTATAAGGAGGAAGTAGAATAGGTCAATAAGGTGGTGTACCTTACATGTCAAAATTAGAAAAACAATTTAAGACCACTATCGTTTATGTAATACAACTTTGAAAAAGTATGTAAACAACTTTAATATGAGATACAAACAACTTTGGTAGAAAAAAAAAACAAAAGATGTAACCACAATATATAGGATACTTATCTTATTCTGAGTAATATATTTTAAAGTTTGTAACAATTTTTTTTGACAATAATGGCATTGTTTTAATTAATGGTATATTTCGACGATTAATGAGAATTAGTTGGCTAATTAAAATTAAAGTGAGAACACAAAACAGAGATTTCCCAGACAGATTAATATTCCGTTTGTTATAATCTGTCCAGACAGCACACCAAATCCTCTGGATATCTACTGGACATCCCAATATCCACTGAATGTCCAGTCCATGGTGGATATCTATTTTATATCCATGAGATGTAATTTATAGACATGCAAATGCCCATAAATAATAGTAATTATATAGCAAATTATTAAAAAATTACGCCATTGTGGCTAATAGTACACCATTCAGATATTTAAAATTAAATTTTTTTAAGGTGTATTCAATATCCCATGGACATCCACTAAATATATCAAAGTCTAGGCGCGAACTTAAACCATGGTGGATATCCACTGGATGCAATGTTTGATTTTGCCCACTAAGAAGAAAGTCATTCTTGGACAGGTTTCGTCCTTATTAGGACTAGAATTATTTCCTTTTTTAAGAATAGCCCGCCTGGCTTTTATTCCACCTAGTCTCAGAACTAGGTACACCAGCGACCTTTTATTTTGCTTACTAAGTATAGATGGCGATACCACTTTCGCTCATTGAATATCTACTCATGCTCAAATCGCCGTAATTGAGTTCGATCGAAATTGGTATTGCAATCAGACTCCATTAGAGACTGGAGTCGAGAATTTCTATTTATTGCAGAAGGACGAAAACGGTCCAAGAATGACTTTCTCCTTAGTGGGCAAAATCTTTGAGTACCTATATTATTTGATGTATTTTACATCTCAGTCACATTTGAGTTTGGAATTATTTCCTTTTTTATCTATAGGATATATCCATTGGTTGCTTATGAACCTCTACTAAAGATACCCATAAAATATTTTGCTGAATATCCATAGAATATCTTCTATATCCTGGATGTAGACGGACATTTGGATATCCATATTAGATCCACTGGATATCTATAATATCTTGTGGATATATTGGATATCCACAAAATATATTCTGTGGATATTTCTGGGATTTCTTGTATTGTATTAGATATTTTGCTAGATATCCATAGGATATTTCTGATATCCTGTGGATATATTGGATTTTCACAAAAGACATTCTGTGGATATCTCTGGGATTTGGTGTGTTATTGTCTGGGTGCCTTTAATAAAACTTAAAATATATCCAAGAATAATTAAGAGGAAATGTTTAATAGTTGCTTAAAATTGCTACAAGATGTTTTAATACCACATTGTGTAAATTTTAATTTTACCTAGTGGATATAAGTGAAGATAAAATAAGTGCGATTTTTCGCAGTGATCAAAAAGTTGCCTTATTAACATCAGGGCCATGATATTTTTTTATCAAATTGGAGATTTTAATATTATAGTAACATCCTACAATATATTTAATTAACAAATATTAAACTATGTACATTTAAATCAAAACAATATGAATTCTAATTTCCAAGCCGGTTCTGTACATGATTTGTTTATGATCTGCGAGACAACTACTGTCACTGGCTACTCAAAATTGAGACAAAATATACAAATTTCGTGTATTAAATAAAGAACAACCTCGCCCCGTCAAATTATCTTTTCTTCGTCTGATTTACATATGGATGAGAGGAATCTATATAACTAAATTTCATTGGATGAAAATGATATGCCAAAAAATGTCAAACACAGCTGACTTGCAACTTCACGATCTATAATTTGTAAAAGCTAACAGTTACGGTTAATCTATGATTTTTAAATAATTATCTATTTAACAATAATCCGTTCAAACATTTATTTTCTTGTTTTACACTACAATCAAAAATATTCAAGTTCAGGGGCATATTAATATTATTATATGTCGATAGTCGCTACACACAATCACGATTGGCCATGAATTGTCAATGGTAAAGGTGACAGATTAATTTTTTTTAAATATTTAGGTTGTGAAAATTACGTATATTTTCATTAAAATTAGATTTTGAAATATTTTTTGACCTCTGTCACCTCTAAGTTATAAGTGATAGGCTTAGTTTTTCTATATTTTGCGGAAATATATTACTACTAGTAATTATAAATATGTCTGGTGAACAGGGTATTCCAAACTATCTAAAATTCGTATTTGGGGCAAGTGCGGGGTAAGTAATATTATTTTTATGTACTTTGGTAGTAAAGAATTGTATCACGAACTTTTGTCATAATTATTTTGATGCCACTAGAACAGGATTTTAAGTTGTAGTGATAAATATCTAGTAGTTAGGAAAGTTGGTATATATATTTAAAACCATTTTCTGTGAATATATAATTATGGAGATACAATTATTTACTTCTAAAGGCACTTATTTATATTTATGAAACTGTTTTTAGTATGGGGGGCACTTGCTTCGTTCAACCATTAGATTTACTAAAGAATCGTATGCAGTTAAGTGGTGCTGGGGGCAAAGCCAGCGAGTACAAAAGTACTTTTCATGCATTTCGTTCTATAGTTGCAAAGGAGGGAATATTGGCATTATACAATGGTTTATCTGCCGGTCTTTTGAGACAACTGACGTATACAGGCACAAGGCTAGGAGTCTACACATATCTTTTTGAAATATTCAAGAGACCAGATGGAACTCCACCTGATTTTGCTACCAAAGTGGCAATTGGTATGGGTGCTGGAATTTGCGGTGCATTTGTAGGTAATTACTATCCACAGCTTTTACATACCTATGTCTATTTTTAAAATTGTTGGGAATTAATACATTAAATTTAATCCTGCTGTCTTGATGTTATCCTTGAAGTAGGATTATTTATTAATTTTTTTTTATTCGTTTAATAACATTTAATTTTTAAATAATGGCTTTTGTCAGATAAGAACATGTCTACTAAACTGTAATTTTAAGGGTTTACAAAATGGATTGTTTGGGAATTTTTTTTTTGTCAATGTTATATCAATATTTATATAAATCATTATCATAAATAAATAGTTCTAATTATAATATTGAATAAACAAAACATCACTAAAATTTGATATCAGAAGCACTTAGATTATAACCTTCTACAGTTTATTAGTACAATATAAACACTTTTAATGAGACATTGTGATAAACTATACTAGATATTCCTATTTAGGATGTCTCAATATCTAAATTATTATCTCTCTAGTTGATTTTTATTTTACTAATATTTTTTTAAAAACACAGCTGGTATTTGTCTTAAAAAAACTTCTTCTGTGTCCAAAATCAATTTTTTTCTCAAACATGTTTTGGAAATATACTGCCTAATAGGCAAGTCATTTAAGAAAATCAATTTGCATTAATTACAAAAGTTTTCAAACTTTGTTGAAATCTTTTATAAAGAATACATGATTTATTAAAAAAAAAAAACATCAAAAAATGTATAAGTATAGTCCAAATAAGTTTTTGGACAATTGGGTATTAGAGGGGATGAAAGTGTTACTTGTCCGTGTTTTACACCACTGGTAAAGTTTATTTAACTGATTGTTTTGGTAATAGGTGTATCTTATGACACCAACAATGTTTATCAAATTTAATAGTACAAAATTATAGCCATTAATAAGTTTTTAATTTTCAACTTTAACACCCTGTATTTTGGAAACCAGTTATATTTCGTTTAATCATCTTATTTTTAATCATAGAATCTTCAATTGTTCTGTGTCCCATTTTTAGTGTGAAATGTAATTCCTTCTTCTATTTTTTTTTCACTTCAGCTTTACAGTCATAAGGTGAACACACTATAGTCGGACAAAATATTGAAGAAGGTGATTCCTCCCTGTTCACGTACAACAATAATACTATACCAGAGCATAATGAATGGAATCACGTGCTTAAAACTGCAGAAGTTATCGGTATCACGTGCCAACTAGTCATAAATGCATGTTTATTGTCAAAATGTATTACGCCAGTGGCGTATAAAAACTATTGGCAAATTAAATGCGGTAATAGTAAATAATATTAGATGAAAGTAGGTTGGTTATCTATTTTTGTAGTAATTATCATTTATGTTTATAATTTTGTTTTGTTAATTGTTAAAATATGTAAATATTATGCCAGTGGCGTAGAAACACTATTGGAAAATTAAATGGGGTATTATACTAGAACAAAATATTGAAGAAGGTGCGCCTTAAAACTGCAAAAGGTATCGTTATCATATCAAAATGCACTCTTCCAGTGTCACAGAAATACTATATTGGCAAATTAAATGGGTATTTGTGAATATTACTAGATGAAAGTAGGTTGGTTATCTATCTTTGTTATAATAATTTATCTATGTTTATAATTGTATTTTGTTTATTATAAAAATATGTAAATTAAGCTTGGTATCACTTACTTGAATTTTAAATCTATGAAGTTTCGTAATCCATTGATTCTGCAGAACTATCATTGGAATCGTCTTTATCGTCGGAACTTAAAGTTATGACTAAAGGTCCAACTACCGTTTCGATCATACCGTCCAAGCGCCACATATTATTTTCTTCCTTAATTACATGGTAGTCTCCTGTTTTTTTCGATATAGACACAAGAGTGCTATTTTCCAAAAATCCACTGTCACTTCCGATATGGGTAACAATTAGGCGCTGTCCTTTACCTGATGATGCTTTCAAACCTGTAGATAATCCCTCTATAAAATCTTGGCGATGACTAGTTACAGAAGTATCTTGCCATATCTTAGATATCATGTGTCCAGCATTCACCCACGTTTCATCGAGATATATCTTTTTTTTAGCGGCTCTAAACTCTTTAATATTTCGTAAATAACGCCGTCGCCAGGACACTATATCTGACCTCTCAATTAAAATTGATTTCCTACACCGTTTGACAGAACGAAATTTTAGGCCCCATAAAATTTCTTGTAAAGTTTCACGGCTCAATGGAATTTCTTCTGTTTCTCTTAATTTCGTAAGAACAACTTTAAGTGTTGGGGCTTTGTTTTCGAAAAAAAAAAAAGAAGAATGTACAGTTCTTCGAATGATTTGTTTTTGGTTATCGTCCAATTTCAACAATTTTCGACCACGGGTATGCGTTTTAGGGGCTTCTAAAGAGCCTTTTTTTGTCTTTTCGCGTACAATACGTTCGATTGTTGAAACAGATACTTAGTTAAAAAAGAACTGCGGTTTATAGCTTAATTTGTAGGAAGTGTCTGTTTCAGCCCATCATACACTTTCCATATAATGTTCTTTTCATCCTTTGATAAGGGCTTTCGCCGACGTAATTAGGTTTCACTTGGACCCGCCTCTGAATCCATTACTATTGTAACAATATAATTCTACTATTAAATTGTTTTTATTAAATTTATAAAGACATCAATATTTTACCATTTAATAAACTTTTAAAGTACCTACCTAATATTCTACACAATAAATATAACTCCTCGAATATGCACTACCACTACCAAATTGTAAGGCACAAACATGAACACCTACTCGTATATCAGAAAAGAGCACTTATACAAAAAAGTGTTTATAAAATATAAAATAATTATCGTAAATAGTTAAAGCGATACAAATCTAACTTCGTCGAAAGTTAGTTTTCAACTCTCTTTGTGCCTGTGCTGACAATATTTAATCTGGAACCCGTCTGTCGTTTATTTACTTGAAACACATTCATTTGTCACCGCCTCCAAATATTAGGGTATCATCTTACAAAATTTTACTCTCTATTGCCGAGTTAAAACTGATTTCAACTTATTTAGCGGTTTTGACTCTTTACCTGATCCACACATGGACGGACTTTTTTGTCTGTCTAACTAAATGAATGTAACGATCAATGAAATTGCCAAGAACGGAGATGACACGTTTTTAAAAGCCATGTTTTTAAAACCATTAAACACAGATAACGAAGTCATTAGGTAATAAATATATTCATTTCTTGAAAAATATCAAAAACGTATACTTAACGCATCATCTTTGTTTAAATAAAGATGTTAACAAACAAATTTAATAAAGTTTACTAACAAATACCTAATAAATAATAAATAATTATTTGGTATTTGATACGCCGCCTATGCTGACTCTGTTACTTTCCGTCGGAATTTTCATTCGTAGACAACAGTGTTGATCATGCATATGACTCGCCTTCTCCAATATTTTGTTCTAGTATACCATTGTAATTATTGTAAATACACAAATGTCGCCACAGTTTCTCTGGCGACAAAAAAATGGCGGCCAATCTGCGTCGGTCTCCCTCTCTTTCCTAGTCTTACGTTTTATGGATTATTAATATTGTCAAAAATAATGTCATTACGATTCGAGTTCTACATAAAACTCTTTCATCTTGTCAGGAACCCCCGCCGAAGTGTCCTTAATCCGGATGACGGCCGACGGTCGTCTTCCGCCTCAGGAGAGACGAAACTACAAGAACGTGTTCGACGCCCTGCTGAGAATCATTCGAGAAGAGGGCGTTCTGACTCTATGGAGAGGAGCGATGCCGACCATTGGACGAGCGATAGCCGTGAACGGCGCCCAATTGGGTACCTACTCCCAAGCGAAAGAAATCATCGGTAAGAATCTGCACATGCGCGACGGTATACCGCTTCACTTTTGCGCATCGATGACGTCCGGACTGATTACGACTATAGTATCTATGCCGTTTGATATCGCCAAAACGAGGTAAGTACATTCATAAGGAAAATTAGGTGTACAAGACTAGGGAATAGCGTTTTTGTTTTTCGTTTTCAGAATACAAAATATGAGAATAGTAGACGGAGTTGCCGAATACAAAGGACCAACTGACGTATTGGTCAAAGTGGTCAAAACGGAAGGGTTGTTCGCCCTATGGAAAGGATTCGTTCCATACTTCTTGCGACTCGGTCCTCACACCGTCCTCACGTTCATTTTCCTGGAACAGTTAAATTCGGCGTATTTCCACTACGTTTTGGGCAAAAAGAAATCTGGAGGTTTATAAAACTAAAACATGATACCTCATCAGTACAAAAAAATGTACAAAGGATTCAAATTTAGTTATGGAGATGGTTGGTTAATCTTGCATTTTAAGTTAATATAGCAATATAGATAGATGCCTGTGTCGAAAAAAGTGTGTAAGTTTTTGTTATGTTTTATGTAAATAAACTAGGCCAAAGTTATATATTTTTATCTATTTTTATTACCGTATTTTTATACAATAATTATTCCAGTAATAATTTTTATTTTGTAATTGATTTAAAGGAGAATTTTACATATAATGAACTCTGTAGTGATTGTATCCATTGTGAGTCAACCTTTTAAATTTTTGAAGGATAAAAAGATTGCTATTATCAAGTTTTTTATATATTCTAAATTTGACATTTGATATGAATTCATTTAATTGAAATTATCGTTTGAATGTCTGCAAAATTTTAAAAGGTCGTTATGAAAACATTTATTTATTTTTATCAAAAAATTATTATATAATGGCGTATATATTCTGTTAAAAGTTGGTACCATGATCAAATATACAGTAATAGTTTATTTAAAATGTTAAAATATGATAAACATATTACTGCCATGTGTGGAACATATTTACTATATAAAATTTGTTAATACTGTGATATTAAACCAGTCATGCATAACTGTTGAAAATTGTTTTATTTATTATAATGGGAACCTTATTTTTAATTACTACCTAATAGGCAGCAGACATTTAAATAAATATAAAATGAAGCATATAGTTTTAAATGGGTATAAGGTAAATAGTTCAGGCTACTTTTTAGATTTTCCCCTAGATCTGGGGAAATTTGAATAGATCCGGCAACATCGCAACGCATGATTCGATAATTTACCAGAAAGTTGACAAAAAAAGGCAAAACCGCTTCTCCAGTAGACCATCCAAATCGATAGACAATTCAATGAAATATAACACTAATTTTGAGTAAAAAGTGAGCTATTTGAGCTTACTTTTACGATTTTCCCTAGTTCTGTGGAAATTTGTATAGATCCGGCAACACCGCAACGTACGATTGAATACGTGCGGCCAATAATTGACCAGAAACTTGACAAAAGGCAACACCGCTTCTCCAGTAGACCGTCTAAATCGATATATCTCTTTAGACAGATAATGTCCAGTGCAAGATAAGTTATCTAGTAACACTATTTTTGAGTAAAAAGAGCCATTTGAGAATACTTTTTGATTTTCTCTAGATCTGGGAAAATTTGTATAGATCCGGCAACACTGCAATGCATGATTCGATGAAAAGTGCGGCCGATAACCAGAAACTTGACAAAAAAGGTAACACCTCTTCTCCAGTAGACCATCCAAATCGATAGATCCCTTTAAGACAATGTTCAGTGCAAGGAAAGTTATAACACTAATTTTTAGTAAAAAGTGAGCCACTCAAGCCTACTTTTTCGATTTCCCTTAGATTGTGGAAATTTGTATAGATCTGGCAACACCGCAACGCACGATTCGAGATGATAAGTGAAGCCAGTAATTGACCAGAAACTTGACAAAAAGGCAACACCGCTTCTCTAGATCTGGGAAAATTTGTATAGATCCGGCAACGCATGATTCGATGGTAAGTGCGGCAGATAATCAGAAACTTGACAAAAAAAGGCAACACCACTTCTCCAGTAGACCGTCTAAATCGGTAGATCATTTAGACAATTCAGTGCAATATAACACTAATTTTGAGTAAGAAGTGAGCTATTTGAGCCTACTTTTGCGATTTTCCCTAAATCTAGGGAAATTTGTATAGATCCTGCAACACCACAACTCATGATTAGATGGTAAATGTGGCCGATAATTAACCAGAAACTTGACAAAAAAGGCAACACCGCTTCTCCAGTAGACGTTCAAATCGATAGATCTCTAGACAGATAATGTCCAATGCAAGGTAAGTTATCTAGTACACTATTTTTGAGTAAAAAGTAAGCCACTTGAGCCTACTTTTCGATTTCCCCCAGATCTGGGGAAATTCATATTCATAGGAAAAATTGAAAAAACAATTCGTATAACTTTTCATTCGCAAGTCCAGGTCCGGATTTAGATTTTTTATTCTATCTTTTTCATTTTTAATTAAAAAAAAAATAAGTTGATAAAAAATGTTTAATTTAAAGACTTCCATAGACAGTTAAAAAAAAGTATCAACTTAGGATTCACCCTAGATATTTTGTTTAATATATAAATCATTAAATGAGTTTTAAATTGATTTAGAGTCGTAACAGCCGTATGCATAGTCGATCGCCAGCGACTCGCCAGAGATTCATTTCGGCGTATCGCCAGCGATTCGCTGGCGATCCGCCGGCGAAAGCCCAAAAATCTGGCGACTCGCCGGATATTGTCACCGGAATGTCATTTCACGTAAGTTTTTATTTTCTTTTATAGGGATTATCACCGGTATCTCTCGCATTTTATTCATGATTCATTTCTTAAAACTCAAAAAATAATGAACGAATATCAAATTTTTCCCTATAAAAGAACATGAAAACTTGCGTGAAATGACATTCCGGTGACAATTTCCAGCGAGTCGCCAGCTTTTTGGGCTTTCGCCGGCGGATCGCCAGCGAATCGCTGGCGATACGCCAAGATGAATCTCTGGCGATCGACTATGCATACGGCTGTTAGAACCTTTTATATAATTTGACAAATTCTTATAAATCAATAAAGCCCTTAAAAGTTGATGTTTTTCGATTGAATGCCCTAATTTGGATGTATATGGTAAGTACGACCGATAATTAATCAAAAAAAGGCAACACCGCTTCCCCAGTAGACCAGATAGATACATCCATTTAGACAGTTAATGTCCAAAGTTATCTAATAACACTATTTTTGAGTAAAAAGTGAGCCACTTGAGCCTACTTTTTCAATTTTCTCTAGATCTGGGGAAATTTGTATACACCCGGCAATACCGCAACTCATAATTCGATGATAAATGGAGCCGATAATTAACCAGAATCTTAACAAAAAGGCAACATTTATCCTTTTGTACAGATAATGTTCAGTGCAAGGTAAGTTATAATACCATTTTTGAGTAGAAAGTGAGCCACTTGAGCCTACTTTTTCGATTTTCCCCAGATCTGGGGAAATTCATAAGAAAAATTGAAAAACAATTCGTATAACTTTTCGTACACAAGTTCAGGTCCGGATTTAGATTTTTTAATTATATCTTTCTTATTTTTAATAAAAAAATTAGTTATGATTTTCTATATTTTTTGTTCTATACATAATTTTCCTAAAATGGTCCGTATTCGAGAAATTTTGCAAAAGGTGCAAAATTCAAGTTTTTAAGAGAATTGTTCAAATAAAAGTTACTTGTTATGTCATTCTCTATAATTTTTGTCCTATACATGATTTCCCCAAAATGGACCGTATTCGAGATATTTGAGGAAAAGTGCAAATTTCGAATTTTGAAGATAACTCAGAAACGGAAAAAGAGAAAAACACCAAACTTTAAACTTATGCTTTAATTCATCCTGCGATGAGCTGATTAGATTTTGCACATAGTCGGAACATCTGGGGGATACTTTATGGGAGGTCTTTTTCTACTTTATGGAATATTTCTGTTATTTATGCTTAGAGAATAAAATTCTTTAAATAAAAGTTGGTTATGATATGATTTTCTATATTTTTTGTTCTATACATAATTTCTCTAAAATGGACTGTATTCAAGATATTTGAAGAAAAGTAAAAAAGAGAAAAACACCAAATTTTAAACTTAAGCTTTAATCCATCCTGCTGTGAGCCGATTATATTTGTGGCATAGTCGTAACTTCTGGGGAGATACTTTATAGGGGGTCCTTTTTCTACTTTATGGAATATTTCTCTTACTTGCGCTTGGAAAAGAAATTTTTTTATTAAAAGTTGTTTGGAATAATACCACAGTACTTTATAATTTTAAAAACCGTGTGTTCAGATTTTCATTCATTTACATTGATCCATAAAAAATAAACAAAATTTTTATTGTTTATGTATTTATTTACTGTAAAGGTCAACTAATATTTTACATGTCTTTGTTTATTTATGCGTTACTAACAACTTATAAAGAAAAAACACTTACAAAATAAATATCTCTTAAAATCTAAAACTTGAAATGATAGAATGTTCAATTTATTATCACTTACGTCGCAATTTATTGTAAACAAAAATAAAAATTGGTGATTTACATTTTCTTGGGAAATTTATTGTATACATACAAGAAAATAATACGTAATTGAAATAATTTATTTACCTAAAAAAATACTTAATCTGCAACTTTCTGGTTATCTTAATTCTAAAAATTAACAATACCGTAAACAAATGTAGAATTTATCACAGAAATATTAATAAAACAACCAAATATTAATTAAACTGGCTCGATAGGAAATTATATTTAAATGTTTATAAAATTTGTAAAAGGGGATTCTTTGAAAGAAATACATCAAAATGACACGTATTATATATAAATAAAAAGTTCACTGGTTTATTCGGAAACACTTTTATATTATTTCAAAATAAACGACGGAAGGTCATTAACCAAATAAGCATATTCAGCAGCTGCCACCGGTATCTTTTTAACACATTGCGTGCCACGCTGTTATCGGGAAAATAGCCCCAGGGGCCAAACTACATTTTTGCAATATTTGTATGTATTTACTCAAAATAAAGGTTTTTTTGATAATTCTGTTTTTTTTTTGTAGATTTTAGATATTTTTTTTTTTACTTTTTCTGTGTCTCTCATATATGAGCAACACATGGTAAATTTATTTTTCCAAATTTGCTCAAACCAAGACCAACATTACTTTCCCCAGAGGCCAAGCTTGGGATTCTCCATTTGAAATAAACGGTAGCGGGTATCACATTTGATATACATCGCCAGAAAGTGAGAGATGCGTGTCTCTCATAAATGAGCGACGAAGCCCCCGGCGAAACGTTTGTATCTCTCATATATAAGAGACGTGGCACGCAATGTGTTAATGACTAAAATGATGATTTTCTCATTGATCCCAACATGAGAACTTGACCAAATTTATATCGGACCACCCCTGAGGTACACTCTTTCCAATAAATAATTATTCACATAGCATCTCAGAACTTTTAACTGCAATAAAATCGGTCTTTTAATAAAAAGATTAATAGTAGTAATGTACTGGGTTGAATTTTTTTATTTTTAAATCGCAGTTTTTTATGTTTTATTATTATTAATAGTCATTATCACATTAAATTTACCCTACTCAGCCAAAACGGGGTAAAATCAGTTCTTGTTTAGATGTTTAGCAGACATGAACTAGTCAGAATTTTGGTTTTTTTACTTTACTAATGTAACTAATCACAGAATTTATGTTGATACATATTATGATTAAAATAACTTAAAAAACAAAATAAAAAATCATATATTGACCAAATTTATATGGTACAACCCTTGAGATACACCCTTTTTGATCAAAAAAAGAATCATAGAAACCGGCAACGTCGTAAAAAATTGTCGCTGAACATAGATAAAAAATGAAATTTTTTTTATTACAATGCCTTCACCGCAAACAAGCATCTTTAAAATTCGTAACGTTCAACGATGTAAAGTAGTCGTCGTGTAAAAATCTAACTATATCTTCTATCTTACATAGATTCACTTTATCGTCTACATTTACAATGTTTTTACAAAAATTAATCTGTCTAGTGATGTCCTTTCCGTTCGAAAGGAGCCTCAAGTAGATACCTTGATTGTTTTCGGAGTCTTCCTGCTCCTGGTAAACTTCGAATACAATACGAGCTGCATATCTCAATAGAAACGGATCGTTTTGTAGTCCGAGTGCGGTACTCAGCTGTTCTAATGTGTGATCGTGACCTGAGTATACCACCAAATAGGGACCGCTGTTAGATACCTAGATTTGAAAATAAATAGTTATTCAAAAAAGTAGAAAGATAATTATTTACCATTTGTAACATCTGTTGGACGATATGCCGTATTAAACCGTAAGATTTTAACAAGCAGTATCTCTTCCATGATGCATTTCTCCACTTCTGATAGTTCACCCAGTCTGTGTAAGCAAATATTCCAACAACATTTTGTCTTCTAAAACAAGACACAAGTACATAGTCTAAGATTACAATTTAAATTGACTTTCCTTCGTTCTATTTCAAAAGGATTGAGGGAAGGTCAATTTAAGTCAACAAAATAGTGGAAATATTAAAGAGTTCTGTTGACAAATGGCAAGAACTTACCGTATACAATTCATGGATGAATCGCAAGGCAGTCCGTTTCGGTGACATACAAACGTTAGCAGAGCGTCTCTAATGAAATGCGGATCTGTACTACTAGTAACTGGTTCTCCGTTAACTGAAAACAGAGAAGTCCCGGTTGATTCAGCCAACGCAGCTACTGCTGGATGCGATTGCAATTGGTGTGATATGCTTTTTTTAACATTTCTAAAAAACAAATAGATATTTATTTTATTTAAGGCCAATATTTTCACCTCCGAGTAAAGTTGACAGTAACTACTTGCTGATTAAACTATTGTTTGTTAATTTGTCAAGTAAACTTACATGTAACTTTACTCAGAGGTGAAAATATCGACCCTGAATACAATTTTCTAGTGTTTTTTAAGCAGAATTAAAATATCAATATCTTCAGAACAATCACTATCGAACTCTATAATGTCTTCATTGGGTCTATTTACAATTTGAAAAGTATTATCTTCCCACGGACTGAACATATTGAAAAATGGTTACAAATATCTCAAAAAAATGGTACATTGGATCGATAAAAGTGCATGACATGGCACTTTATGGCATTCCAGTCCACGTGATTTAAGGAACACCAGTTTGATAGATTATCAAGGTCAGACTGAAGCCAGAGGGCATCATAAATGGTTTTAATAATTAGGAAAACTTTTAAATCATCTGCAAACAATAGTGCTTTGCCATACTGAAAACAATGAATTATGTAATTTATAAATAACAAAATATAATTTCATTTTTTTAATGGACACCCTATATATTTTTGTCATTTTAAGTAGACTTGCATATCCTGATTACAAATATATAATAGTTTAATTATTTAGTGACTTATTGCACTATGAAAGTGTAACACATAGATGCCTATGAAAATGATGGTTCCAAGTGAAACAGTTGTTTGTTTATTAAAAGTGTTTAATTGATTACTAGTAATGGGTTATACTGTAACCAAAAAAGTTGAGGTAAAACAACAAAGCTTTTACTTTAAACTTTTTTGTGTCACAAGAATAATGAAAATAAGTAGTGGTCAAAATATAATGAAAAACCCTGTACACTAAAATGATTTATTTTTAAATTGTTATAAATTACTTAAGACTTTTTCTAACTATGACTATAATAGTTCTAAAAGATAAATAATTTATAACAGATTTCGTCCTACCTTATTTGGTGCTTTCATATGCTTATCAGTTAACATTTTTTTTTTTTTTTTTTTGTTATTTGCTTAATATTTTTTAGAAATTCTATACTCGTTTTGAATAGCATTTAACACATTTCAATTATCACTAACCTGTATAACTTTTCGGTAACGGGACATCCACAATCTTTGAAACAGAAACTCATGCTTTGGCTTTCGTGAATATTAACCTTTTCGAGAATATCCGGAGGAATTAAACCATAGAGGAATGCTAAAACCGACTGAAACGTCCGTCTATAACGAGTACTGTATATTAACACATCGCTGGGTTTCAAATTTCCCAATTTCGTCCAAACGTGCTTGTAATTGTTCTTCAACAGACCGCCTAATTTCAGTAATTGGGAAACGCCTGCAATAACATATTCGTTTGTGATATTTTAAATGTTTTAGAGCTTACAATCAATAATAAATCATTAGTAGAGGAGGTTCATGTATACAGGGTGTTAAAAAAAAAGTGTCACAAAATAAAACGGGGGGTAGTATGGGCCAAAATATGCAGAAAAGTCTTAATAAACATATGTCCGCAAATGAATGGTTTCAGAGATACGGAGTGTTTTGTATCATTTTTTGATTATCTTTTTTCATTCTCAAAAACTTGCTTTTCTTATCGGAGTCTACCGATGTTTTTTCATAGATACTATTTGCAGTTATTATTTTGTTGTGGGTGAATAATTTTATAAATTTTCGTTATGCCTGTTTACACTAATATTGAATTAGCTGACATGCATTTTATGTACGGTCGTGCAAATGACAATGCGAGGGAAGCGCTACGTCAGTATTTGAACATCTCATTTAACTCTATGTTGTTATTGATTGTTTATAAATATCATTGTTTTTTTATAATAAAAAATTGTTATAAACACAAAATGGTCCGTATCTCCGAAACCGTTAATTTGCGGTCATATATTTATTAAGACTTTTCTGCTTATTTTGGGTCATACTATTCACCATTTCATTTTGTGACACTTTTTTTTAACACCCTGTATATGTGCATAAATCTTTAGAATTTATAGAGCTAACAAATATTCTCACCTCCTCAGTGGAGAGAATGTGTGAACTTGCAGCTTGCTATGTAAAAGAATATTACAATAATCTCAATTTATAGGTCTACTTTTTACCATAATTTGAGCCATTTTAAAATAACTATAACTATAAATGCTTGTCTAACTGAAGGAATATTTCCTGATAGCATGAAAATTGCTAAGGTCTGTCCTCTATTTAAAAAAGGAGACCCTTCTCAGCCTTGCAACTTCAGACAAATTCCTGTACTTCCCATATTCTCCAAAATCTTGGAAAAAATTATGTATAATAATCTAATATCATGTTTAAATTCTTCCAACATACTCACGCCATACCAGTATAGTTTTAGAAGGGGGCGATTTACAATAGATGCAGTATTATCTCTAATACAATATATAGAAAATTGTTTTGAAAAAGCTGAAAACTGTTTAGGTGTATTTACAGATCTAAGCTCTGCTTTTGACTGTGTGGATCATTCAATTATATTATCAAAACTGGAGAGGTATGGAGTACGAGGGATTTGTTTACAGCTTTTTGAATCTTATTTAACAGATGTCAAACGGTCATCATCAAAAATTGCAAAAGTTCATTGATGCATATCAGGAGAGGTGTCCCTCAGGGCTCAATTTTAGGTCCATTACTCTTTTTGATATACATTAATGATCTTCCTGACCAAATGCATTTTGAAAACCTTATCACATGTATATTTGCTGATGATACTTCTTTTTGTATTAATACTAAAAGAGGAACAGATCATGATCAAGTTTACTCTGATGTCATGATTCAGGTAAAGGGTAGTTTTCTGTAAACGACCTGTTTTTGAGTGACACAAAAACTATCTCCCAATTATTTACAGTAAATAGTGAACAAGTTAATAACAATTCTGTTAAAACACTTGACATTCAAATTGATCCACATTTCAGATGGACAGATCATATTGAAGCACTTTGTTCCAAATTGTCACAAGCAGTTTTTGCTATTAGGAAAATATGCCAAATATGTGGTCAAGATGCAGCAATTACTGCTTACTATGCTCTATTTCATAGACATTTGACATAGGGGACAATATGTTGGGGCAATGCTGCTGACACACATATCTCAAGAGTTTTTATTTTGCAAAAATCAGCCATAAGAGCCATAACACGTGCTTCTTGGCAAGCCAGTTGTAGACCAGTATTCCTAGAACTTAAAATTATGACACTCTATGCAGTAATAATCTATCAAAACCTTCTATTCGTAAGAAATAATATTAACACATTTTTTTCCCACTCAGATATCCATAACTATAATACAAGGCACAAAGATAACTTAGTCCCTATCCAGTAAAAACTGGAAAGGACAAAGAAATATTATATTGAACTATACAATATACTACCACTTAATTTTGTAAATCAGCCTATAGATAAATTTAAACATGCATTAAAACAAATGTTATCCAATAATTAATTGCCTATATAGCTTAGAGGAATTTAAATCAATACAGATGGAGGATGGAGGCTGTCACTGTGACCTCTGAGTGATTCAGTGAACTATGTTGTAAATGTTTGTAAATTTCAATTTTATATTATTATATTTAGGTAAATTTTATTATATATATATTTAGTTTTAATTGTAATTTGACGAGCCATAAAATGTAATATTTTCTCAGGTAAATAAAGATATTGTATTGTATATTGTGTAAGAATAGCCACAGGCTAAACCTCGCCCATGCTAATTGTACAAAAATGTTATTATTTTGTGCAAATAAAGACCGGTTATTATTATTATTATTATTATTGTTATATAAAATACCGTTGGAAGACTAACTAATTCTTAAGAAAAGCTAAATATAATTTTCGTATAAACATCCCCAGTTTTCTTTCTACAGGGTGATAAAGAGAATTACATAATAAATACATAATTTTCTTACCATTATTAGTTATTAATTTAGTATTGGAAAAACAAATGTCTGGATTAACTCTGTATATTTTTTATTTAGGTTTTTTCCAACTCTGATTGAATGATGTGTTAAATGTAATCATAATGTAATTTTACAACATACCTTGCATAGTTAATTGTCCTAAGTGGCACTGGGTGGGATGAACTGGTATAAATGGAAAATTATGAAAGGGACCAGGCCCAGCCCATATTTTTCCCGGAAGAGACTGATTGTACAAATAAGCCTACAAAAATTTACTGATTATTCCACTTAGTTGCGAGTTCTACCGAATCATCTATAGTAACTATATTATATTAAAAATACCTTATAAGAAGATATCAACTCGTTATTCTCTGTGCCACAATTTATAGTAGATATCTTTTTTATATGTTGTAGCGGTCCTCGGTCTCCATGCCTTATTAACACTATCATACCTTTAAGAAACCATTTTTTGTCAACCACAGCACCTGAAAATTATTCTTTGCTACATATTTGGAAGAAATAAATTAAATAAGTCATCAACCTTCATCTCCTGCAGTAATATCTTCAGGAAAATTGCATATTCGGAATATTCTCTTAGTTTTCGCATCTAATACAAGATTAGTGTACGAACTGGATATAATTTCGGGCTCGGGCGATTTTGGTTTGGTTTCCAAAAATTTGTAAATGCTAACAACAATGAGCAGTATCCATAGGCTCATTAAAAGGTAACAGTGGATTGCTTTACTTTGAGGAATTCGAAAAGAATTAAAAATCATAATGAATTAAGATTAAATATGGCTTTTAAGTAATATTTATTTCATGCAATTAATAATATTCATCGTGGTTTAAATTAAGAAAGTTCTGCTTTCCTATCATGCTCCAAATCATCTTCTTAATAGTTTATAAGATGCGTATTGTAGCGCTTCTTTAAAAATGTTTTTAAAAATAATTTGTTTTTGTTGATAATCGAATGACATTTATGACATTTTGAATTTTGACATTTACCCGAACAAACAAGGTTAGGTTCAAAGACATTCAACACCTAGATGGGATAAATTTATAAAAATTTTAGAACCAACATTTCAGATTCTTTACACCAATACTATTTGACCAGAGGCGTAACATGTTGGAAATAAAACAATGAACTTTTATGTTATTAGTTCTTTATTGATCTTTTTAGGTTTAACGTAAGTTCAAAGCGTAAAAATTAAAATAAATGAGGGATAATAAATAAGACATAAAGAAAAATATATACAATGTGCGCCACGCTCAACGGGACGGACGAAACATTAATAATTCCTTTGGCACAAATATACAACTCAACAGCGAATACATATTAAAATTAGTTTCATATATACAGGGTGTACCAAACTAGAATACCATTTATAAAGTTATATATATATATTTTAGTGGGCCACCATATTATTTTCTTTTAATTTTAAGTTCTAATCTAAAAAATAATCTTGATTTTATAAAGGTTTTCTATTCCCATCTTTGATAATTACCGATATAACAAAGCTATTAAAAAATTTGTCAGTAAATTTAAAATTTTCAATAAATTTTCAAAATGATGTCTATTATTGTCAATACATATTCTGATTTGCTTTTCAAAATTATGTTTTAATCTCTAAATAATAGCAGACGCATCACAAATGCGTGTTTTCATATCTTCGGCGGTGGTGGGCTGAGTTTGAAAAACTGCATTTTTAACATATTCGCAAAAGAAAAAATCTAGAGTGCTTAGTCGGGTGATTAGGGAGGCCTCTTCCCAGACAACACACCAAATCCCAGAGATATCCACAGAATATCTTTTGTGGATATCCAATATATCCACATCAGGATATCAGAAATATTCCGTGGATCTAATATGGATATCCAAATGTCCGTCTATATCCAGATAGAATATAGAAGATATCATATGGATATCCAGCAAAATATCTAATGAGTATCTTCCAGACAATACAAGAAATCCCAGAGATATCCACAGAATATATTCTGTGGATATCCAATAATATACTATTTTAATAATTTGCTAGATAATTACTATTATTTATGGACATTTGCATGTCTATAAATTACAGCTCATGGATATAAAATAGATATCCACCATGGACTAGACATTCAGTGGATATTGGGATGTTCAGTAGATATCCAAAGGATTTGGTGTGCTGTCTGGGTTCTTCCTATCATTTTTTCAGGAAATTTTTGTGTTGAATATATCCTGATAATGCGAATAATGGGCGGGAACACCATCTAACTGCAGCCACATTTTTAGTCTAATATCCAAAAGAAGGTTCCAGGAATATTTTAAAATTAAAATAGCCATAAAAAAATGACACACATAGGGGTCTATTCTGTAACAATTCCTTTATATTTTAACGGCTGTTAAAATATTGCCGGCCTTTAAAAATATTTTCGTATTCGCTAATTTACTTCTGTCATTATAGTCCTCTAATGTATTTTATAGGAATCCGTTTAAATAATGACAAGTAATTTAGTAAATACGAAAATATTTTTAAAGGCCTCCAATATTTTAACGGCCGTTAAAATATAAAGGAATTGTTACAGAATAGACCCCATATTCTTTCAAGATATTTCTTTATTTTTGTTTGCCTCGAGTAACTACACGCCATTGTTCTCAAAGGAAATACTGGTTATTACGTCATTTATTTGTCTACACTTCAAAGTTTTCTAGTCTAGTTATCAATGGTCTTTGTTATATTTCTTCTTTTTATATTTTTCCTCATTATAAGGATAAGATAGCCCATCATTGTGTGTTGGAATATTATAAACATTGTGTATTTTTGGTAAAAATAATTATTTCAATATTCTAGGAAGACTGGATATCTGTAAAATATACTTCGAATTCAATAAAAGTAGCGGAATTTACCTAGAGAAAGGCTAATACAGTGACAAGCCGCAACAAAATAAATAGTTGGCAATGCTGATGCTTTCATAAAAAGAAAACGCATTTGGGTTTGGAGTTTGATCGTTTAATTCAAGGATATTCGCTTATTTTTAAATCCATTTCGTTTACGATCGGTCGGAAATTAATTTTTCGATATCAGTTATTCGTTTGCGCATTAAAAATATCGACATTTTAATTAATACGAAAAATGTAGCGGAGCAGATAACACTAATAATTAATAATTATTATTTTAAAACCAAGTGCGCAATTTATTGATTCTCATTTCACATGTTTTAGTATACCTAGTGTTGAGATCTATTCGCGGAAATTAATATTTTTTCGAGGAAAGTGGTTTTGTTTTGCGAAATTAGGACATCAAAATATACCGGGTAAACAACTACACGTGATCGCAGCATGGTACAAGTTGAAAGAGGGGATACGTCAAATTATGTTTTAAAGGATATTCGTCTTTATCGAGACAATATTCAAGAATGAAGATTCGTATTTACTACGAGGAATTTGTCACGTAGTAGTTTATTATTGAGAAATATTGGACAAACAATTTTCATAAAAAAAATACTTTTTTTGGGATATTCGCGGTTTTATCAAGATGTGTCACGTGTTTAAGATTTTTTTCTCAATGTAAACAGTAGTTTAAAATGTGTGTTTTACAACTGTAAACTTTAGTGAATAAAATAACCCTACTAATGTTATTGTTCCAAAATTTCTGTGATTTTGTGAAATGACTCAAATTCAGCGAGACACGGTTATTCATCTAGTTGCCGGAGGGTAGGTATATGTTTTTTTACTATAATTAAACCTATATTATCGTAATAGTTTATAGTTATTATATAATACGTATAGATTATGAAGTTAATTAGGTAGTGGCACTCGATCTAATTGCACAATTTAGTTCCTTCAACCTGTTACAAATCAAAATACTAAACTTTGATCTAGCTTGCTCTATAAATAAATTGCTATTCTCACACCCTAAAGCATCTGAATAATCAGCTGATTGTTTATTTACTTTTATTAGGTTTCTCCTATAATTTTGTTTTTAATGAATAGATACATCTGTCTGATAAAAAAGTTATTTATAGCAACCATTCTAGTTTTTCCCTTTCAATTTAAGTAAATAATATAAATGAGTTCTGTTTTTTAATCTGGTGAAAATAAATAACCCATCAGAGAGATTGTTTACACCTATGATATTGCAAATTTAAAAATAAAATTCATGAATCAAATGTTGATTTGGAAGTAAACATCTTGCAGGTGTAAATATTTTCGCTAGATTTTGGTTTTTGTACTTAAAATATAGAGATTAGCTTATCTAATTCTAATGGAAATGTATCTATTTTTTTAAATTTTAATTGAATTAATTTTACAAGTAGTAATGCAAATTTAATAGATGTAAAAGATATATAATTTGCTACTTGTTTGATAAAGTATATTTGTAGATTAATAAAAAAAAATTCATTAGAATTTTGAACTGAGTATCATAAATCTATACAGTACACTTTTATTATACCAGTCCATGGGTTTGTTAATTTCTTCTAGTTTTTAATTGTCTTCAACTTACAATATGTTAACCCATGAATACTTTGAAATCAAGATGAGACTCTTAATTATATTTGCAGATAAGTGAAATAAAGATACTCTCGTCAATTGACTGCTTGCTGTTATTGGACAGATAGATACACCCTCTGAAACACCTCTACCACTAGTAGGTTGGTGCACACTGTTCTACCTCTGTCCAATCAATGGCATCGCTCTCAATACCTTTCTTCTGGTGTAATTGTATGAAACTTAACATGTTGTATAGTTTTTTACTTCTATTTACCCTTCTCTTCATTTTATCATCTTTTTCTGCCTCCAAAAGCCAGTATGAATGGAGAGGAGCATAATCACAAAAGAGGTACAGTGGGGTGTTCCCCAAGGGTCAATATTGAGTCCTACTTTGTTTCTGGTTTATAGGTACATATAAATTTAATTTCAAAATTAAATCTTTAAAGCTTCATGCTGAGGTCACTGTTCTCCTGTACCTTAAAGGTGACATGTAGATGTTCTCAGGATGGTTGCAGAGTCATAAAATTGCTGTTAATCTAAACAAATCTTCATTTATGTATATTGCAAAATAAAAACCTAGTGCATCAATGGATCAAATCCAGATAAATAACACTGAAACATGAAGTATTTGGGTCTTTTTGTTGATGAAACTGTCCTGGAAATATCATTTGAATTATCTACAAAATTAGTTTGCCATTGCTGAGGCAATACTCATTCCAAAAATTATTAACACCTGTGTATTTTTCATTTCATTTGCAGTATAAAAAGAAAAACTACAAAATAAAACCATAAAAAAACCTTTATTTATTAAATTATCGATATAGTACAGAGTTGGTATATAGATATTTTGAAATTATGGATATCAAAGAGATTTATAAATAACAGATTTGTGTTTTTGTAGATCTAAATTTTCAAACAGAGCCTAAATATCCCACCGATAAACTCAAAAATGTTTCTGTGTATGTCAAAGGTTTGTCTATAATAGATTTTATAAGAAAAAATATAAAAATCATTTAAATTGTTCGCTCCAATATGACTTACGAAAGAAAAAAAACAGTATATGTTTCCCTTGAGGCACTCTGATTTGTATATTTTCAGGGTTACTCACATTGTCTCTGATCTTTACCTTCTGTTGTCTGTGTGTCAAATAATTTTCAAAAATCTTCAACATGATGCCCCTCACTCCATTCTGTTCAAAAACATTTAAGAGCTTCTGATGTGGCACCGTGTCAAATACACTTGTTACCAGTATTCATTTCATCAGTAACATATGAAATCAATTCATGTATTGCATCTCCTGAGTTAAGACCCTCAGTAAAGCCATATTGGTGCTTTAGTTTTTAAAAAATCTGTCAGTCTATCTTTCACACATTTCTTAAATATTTCTGGATTATTTTCATTGCAAACACTTTCCCAGTTCACAGTTTTGAATTTTTGTTTTAATTTTTCAGTATTGATTTTGGTTATAGTTTTATATCTATTGTAGGAACTTGTGTAGTTTTTAGCAGATTGTGAGATATTTATCATAATAGGATCATGATCAGTCATATCATAGCTGATTACATAAGAGTTCACAGATAGATTTTCAGTCTTTTTTAAGAATATATGATCCAAGCATGTTTTACTTTGTGTTTATGTAAGACATGAAACCATGGGAGTAAAAAGTTGCTTGGTAATCAGTAGTAACTTGATTGGTTACATTTAGGAGATCAATATTAATGTCCCCTATGAATATTTCAATATTTCTATTTAGGTGATTTGGTATGAAAATTTCTAAATCCCTTATAAATGCTTGTGCAGAGGTTTGAGGAGACCTGTATTCACCTGTAATGCCAATGGTCCGATGATTTGACTTTTAGATTTATTTTAGTGACACAAATATCAGAATATTCCAGTTTAAATATATTTAATTCTGCATTTAGATTTGACCTGACCAAAATTACAACACCATCATTTCTGTTAATGTTACCATTGTTATAGTGGGTGGTGAGCCATCTAGGTTAAATTGAGAAAGAGATTCTAATTGGAAACATTATATCACAATAATTAATTTTATAACTTTCTAGAAATACTAACAACTCATCAAAATTCTTTTTAATACTCCTAATATTGAAATGTAAGACATTTAGGAGTTTTTCATTTAATTTTATTTGTTATATTAGCAGCATCAACGACTTCATTAATCGAATCAATTTGAATAAAATTTAATAGATTATTTTCTTGATAGTAAGTAATCAAATTTAGTGATTTTTTCAAGGATTTTATTAAATTTGAGAAACATACCATCTGTCTAAAGTTACTATCTTTTTAAAATATATCTCATTATTGAGATAAGGAAAAAGGTACAAAAACATAGAGTAGAACATAGCAAGACTTCTTTACTATGTTTTGTAATAAAATTTATTTAACTTTTCCCATGGTGAAACATAGCATATCTCTTTATCGTGGAAATGAGTGTTCAGGTGTAATTTATTTTATTTTCATTATGAAGAGGAGAGAAAATTATATAGTTTTGATTTTCTGTTGAGTTCATACATATTTTAAGTAGTTGTGGCAAACACAAAAATATAAAATCATATTTTTCACGAAACAAATTAATTGTGATTTACTTTTACCATTGCACTGCAGACCTGGCCTCTCCTCTTTTGTCTAATGTGAAGATGAAGAGTGAAATAAGCTGATTAAATCTTGGTTTTAAATCAGAACTGTGCGTTTTGGCCTGCAGCCACATCAGAACGTGTAAGGCCACCATTCTCAATGTTAGTTTCAAATCTGCACAGCATATGTCGAGACGCCTATCTTCATTCAACAGACTGTGATTCTTATTTAACACCTAATGTGTCGAGTTTACACATAAGAATCCCTGTGCAGATCAAGTTGTATTTTGACATTACAGTTTGATTTGCATTTTGACCTTCTTTATCAAATATACTAAGTGCTTATTTTACCAATCTGTTCTAATAAATAAGGTTTTCCCAGAGTTTTCCCACTACATTTTGTGAAATGTAAAATACATATTTATTTATCTGTTGACAGATAAATATGTACTGTATTTAAACCCATTAAAAAGTACTAATAATAGTAAAAGGTTTTGGTAGTAGACTTATAATAAATGAAAATTGAGGTGTAGACAAATTATCAACTAAATTATTACACATCTACTTAGGTAATATAACTTTTAGGTAAAATTTCCTATTATACAGGAATTGCAATTAGTTTTCAAATTCATTTTGACATATTTAAAAAGTTGATACTAATTCTACAAGTATTTAAACATGATTCAGTTTATTTAAGCTTTGTTTTGGATTTTTCCAGAATTTTATATATGTATACATACCCATAGGCATGAATAAATTATATACAAAATTTATTTATAAATATTTATCTACAAATTAGGTTAATGTAATGGATACAAATAAGCAATATTTTATTTTTACCTCGTTTGTGAACCAAAACAAAAATTCCTAAGAAAACACATTCAAAAATCTGATGTGTCCAACACATGACTTTCCTATCTAGTTATTATAGACTTTTTTCGGTTATTTTGTACAACCTATTGCAACAACTCTATAAATGTTTAGAAGATATACTAAAAATATACATTTTCCACATACACCTACCTTGAAACATTTTTCTATAGATAATCATTGAAAACGGAAATACTGAAAAATTTAAATTTAGCACTTTTCCTACAATTTTTTCATTACGGTCCATTTTAGAAAAATCATGTATAAACAAAAATTATAGAGATCGATATCGCAAACAACGTCTTAAAAATCAGAATTTTGCACATTTTGTCAAATGTCTCGAATACGGACCATTTCAGGAAAATTTGACATAAAGCAAAAATTATAGATAATAATATTAGAAGTAACTTTTTTTTTTGAACAATTTTCTTCTCCAAACATAAATAACAGATATATTCCATAAAATATAAAAACGGTCTCCCATAAAGTACCCCCCCCAGATGTTCCGACTTTGTCCAAAATCTAATCATTTCACGTCAGGCCGAAATAAAACTTAAGTTTAAAATTTAATGTTTTTTTCTTTACTTATCCGTTTTTGAGTTTTCTTCAAAATTTGAAATTTACACTTTTTCTCAAATATCTCGAATACGGACCATTTTAGGAAAATTTTGTATAGAACAAAAAATATTGATAATAATATTGTAAGTAACTTTTATTTGAAGAATTTTTTTCTCCAAACGTAAATAACATATATATTCCATAAAATATAAAAATGACCCCCTATAAAGTACCCCTTAAATGTTCCGGAATAAAGCTTAAGTTTAAAATTTGGTGTTTTTATTTGTGTCCGTTCATGAGTTGTCGTTTCCATTAAAACGTCGAAAAACGATAAAGAAATTTTCAAAAAGTGACAGTTGACGGGAGACGAAAAATTTCTTCATTCGAGCCGGCTACAATGTCTTGAGCGTCTACCGTTTATACTCACTTCCATAGTGCACCTAATTCCCGGAAAAGGGATTCATAGGATGTTTGGACGATTTCCGTGCGATTTTTCGAGGTTTTTCGCGGTTTCCATGGAAACCGCTTAGAGAATTTTGACGCCGATTTTTTCCAAGAAGTGTCCCGTGGGTATACACCTTCCGTCCGAATTTCATCGAAATCCATCCATCCGTTCGGACGGTACGATTTTTTAAAGTCATCCGGAAAGCCCTCATACGAAATGGGTGCGAAAAAAAATGGCGCCCGACGAAAAATTTGTGTGCGTGAGGTAGAGAGAGGCAAAGGGTGTTTAGGAGAAATATTCAAAAATTTATTCGTTTCCATTAAGACGTCGAAAAACGATAAATAAATTTTCAAAACGTCATAAAAAAGTGACAGTTGACGGTAGACGAAAAATTGCTTCTGATGAGCCGACTACGATGTCTTGAGCGTCTACCGTTTAGGCATACAGTATGCCGCATACTCACTTCCACAGTGCACCCAAATCTCCGAAAAGGGATTCATAGGATCTTTGCGCGACTTTTGTACGATTTTTAGAGGTTTTTCGCGGTTACCATGGAAACCGCTGAGCGAATTTTGACGCAGATTTTTTTTCATAAAATATAAAAACGGCCTCCCATAAAGTACCCCCCAGATGTTCCGAAAATAGTCAAAACGGATTCAAGGGACCTCAAAACGTAAAAATCCGTCGAAAACTCGAAGTCGAAAAAAATCATGATTCCTATACTTTCCTTATCTGTATACAGATAGGAAAGTAAAAAAATATAGTTTCATCTTAATAAGACTTTCTAACAGAAGAGGAGGTTATTAATTCGTCGTATAATATATTTTTTTTTTGAGTATTTTCAATGAAAATTCTTTACTACGTTGTCCGATTTATATAATTTTTTGTCTAAACTGAAGCATTACATTTTCGTAGCCACATTTCGTATAAAAATTCCATATTTGCGACCTCTGAGCGTGACACGTCGCCCGAACACCTGAATTGAGGGCTACACAACTTTTACCGCTTCGTTGTATGTTAGTGAATAGGTCACAGGTAACGGAAAATATATTGAACACCAGGGACCGATTGCCAGAATATAATTGGAACAACAGAAACAAAAGAAAGGATCCGTATGAAAGTAATGAATAGGCGTGGAATATAAGTTTTTTTTTTTTTTTTTTTTTTTTTATAAAAATAGTATTGGTAGATAATATAATAAATTTTCATTGTGTTTTTATAAATTGGTTTTCCCTTGTACAGGGAGTTATAATAATAATAATAATAATAATAATGTTTATTTGTAGAATAAAATTGTACATAAATACAATAATTTTTTTTATAAACGGAGATATTACAAATAAACAGGTTAACCACGAAGTACTAAATACTAAGTTTACTTGTGTGTAGACCTACAGCCCTAACATATAAGCCGCCACTGGGATACCCTATATAAAGAATAGACCATTTTTGCTACATTTTTGTTATTATATGATTGAATAAAAAAATGGGAACATTATTCTAAACAATGTCTATGTTGAAAAAACAAATTAACATTCTTTTCTTAATTGTTGATCAATGTTAAAAATGTTATGCTAGATATTTTACAATCTTTGAAATTTGATACGAATCAAACCGATTATCATCATTTACAGGCATAAAAAAATGGAATTTTCCGTTTATTCCTTTTGTTGTTAAAATGTTATACTTATCTCTTAATATAAAAATAAACACAATTATTATCTCTTTTTGGAATATTTTCATTTATTTATTTTTAAATTTCGTTAAAATTAAGACAGAATGGATTGTAAGGTTTGATGTTGATAAAATTAATTTTATTACGAGAAAAAAAATCCAAATAATTTCAAGGATTTTTATTTAAGTAGCTGGTTTCACATTGAAATTATTTATGGAGTATTTTCAATGTTCACAGTTCAAAAATAGAGTAACTAGAATTTTGCTTTTCAAAACAGAGGTGTTTTGGGAATTCATACTGTTATAATGTACGAGGATATGTCAATATTACAACCTATAGGTCTATAGGTATAAATATAACTATTTTCTATAGCAGCTTGACTAAATATTGATTTTTGATATTTTGGTAGAATATTTTATTTACAGAAATGCGTAGGCCTTGCCATTTAATTATTTTTTTTGTTGATACTGATTGTAGACTTTAAAAAACTGTATTTCTTTTATATGAATACTTAGATTTCAAGATTTTTCAAGATGTTAATACAAAATTAATAGATGAAGGCTGTGAAATCATATTACTACGTATATGATTCACTTACCACTTACCAATTGAATAATTCGAAATCTATAAAATATTTCTCATAATTTCTATAAAATACATTAAGTGGGCTGCATAGATAATTGTATTCGGAATTTGTGTTGCTAAATATTGGTTTTTGTTATTTTGAAACCCGTAAATTTAAAAACCTTAAAAATATATTTAGAGATCTTGATTTTAATGATTTCTATCTGTATTACAATTCTCAATTAATAGCAAAAAGTTCGCCAGTTTAAAGCTAAAGCAACTAAACTGATACAACAACTTAATTAAGAAAACAGGTTCACCAATATATGAGGAAATTTATTGAGAATACCATTTAATGATTAAATAAAACATACATGGTTAAGAATTCTTTCATACTTTCTTATTCAAATGAGTTGTTTACATGCTCTACCACAGAGAGATACAGGGTGTTAAAAATTGTGTGGTTATGACCGAATTTTGTTAAAATGCTATTAAAAATACAGTAGCGTGCAGATTTTAGGGATACGAAAAAATATATTTTTTTTAATGTGATACCCTGTATATTATTTAATTTTTGGAATGATCCTTTCTTTCTGATTTCAAAAATATATATGTTACCCCCACCGTATACTGTTAATAATTTTTATATTTTTACATCTTGAGGGAGGCAAATGGGGCAAAAGTTTGTATGGGAGTATAACTTTTTTTGTTCTCTTTGAAGTTAGAAACATGAAAATTGGAATTGCAGCTAATGAGTACAAATTAATAATAACGTGTTTTAGGGTTTTTGGATTTTCACATTTTAAGGGGGGAAACAGGGGGGTGAAAGTTTATTTGGAAATATCGATTTTTTTTAAAGGTGGGAACTTGAAAATTGGAATTGTAGGTTCTCATCATAAATAAATAATGAATTGTTTTATGGTTTTTGGATTTTCATATTTTAAGGGGGGAAAACCGGTGTGAAAATTAATAAAAATTAATAGAAATTAATAAAAATGAATAAAAATGAATAAAAATGAATAAAAATGAATAAAAATGAATAAAAATGAATAAAAATGAATAAAAATGAACAAAAATGAATAAAAATGAATAAAAATGAATAAAAATGAATAAAAATGAATAAAAATGAATAAAAATGAATAAAAATGAATAAAAATGAATAAAAATGAATAAAAATGAATAAAAATGAATAAAAATGAATAAAAATGAATAAAAATGAATAAAAATGAATAAAAATGAATAAAAATGAATAAAAATGAATAAAAATGAATAAAAATTAATAAAAATTAATAAAAATGAATAAAAATGAATAAAAATGAATAAAAATGAATAAAAATGAATAAACATGAATAAACATGAATAAAAATGAATACACAATGGATACAAATGAATAAAAATTAAAAAAAAAATGAATAAATATAAAAAAATGAAAAATGTATGAAAATCAATAAAACAAATAAGAATTAATAAAAAAGGAAGTCATGTATTTTTTATATTAATAACACGACAATATGCGAGCAAAGTAGCGAGCAAAGCCGCGGGCAATAGCTAGTATAAAATCATAAGATATTAACCCCTGACTTAGAAAAGGAAGATTCTTCAGTCCATAATATTTTCGTAATATAATCGGGATCTATTTGGAATATGAACAATCAGTGATTTATATATTAATTCAATGTCTTCTATTAATAAATTGCACAGCTCTTCACACCGACAGGCTCTATATGTTCCGAAAATAGTAGCAACTTTTATCAAGTATTTTTCATCTGGCGCCTCTGAACTTTTTCAACAAACGTAAAGATTTTAATTTTTTGGGACTATAAAACCTTCATTTTAGCGTACTTAGTATGTGGGTAGATAAGCTCATTAATATCCATGTGGGCGTAGAAAAAATATTTTCATTTTATTTAGTTAATTTTTGTTTTTTTACATAACATGTATATTTCGTTGATATTTATTTCAGGGTTGCTGGAACGACGGGAGCAATCGTCACGTGTCCTTTGGAAGTGGTGAAGACCCGCCAGCAATCGTCGAAGAGCGGCTTCATTGTTGTCCGTGACCTGCCGAACGTACCCGGCGAAAGCGCCCAACCGAAAACCACTTGCAGAACTCTTCCGGACCAGAGGCGTAGGTTATGGACAACATGTCAATACAGCCGCCCTCAAGTTGTGGCTCTTTCAGGTTATACCTACACGCCGGTGCAGTCGCTCAACATTATCCAGTGTCTTAAGTACATTGTGCAACATGAGGGGCCCATGGCGCTTTTTAAAGGTTAGTGCAATATATATTTTTTGAAATTCAATGATTCATATACCAATAACAGAGTTTTACTTTTACATTATGGAATGTTGACGAAATGAGGACAATCTCATACATGGAGGAAGGATTATTAAGAGTTGCCGTTTCTTTGTAGAAATTTGGCAACATGTTTGCTTGAAGCGACCTGTGGGGGGAGGAGTAAAACTAATTTTACTCTGTCGGTAATTTAATTTGAAAATTGGCGGGTTTTTTTAAAGGAGAATTTACTTTTGCAACTATTTTCTAACTAATACGAAATATAGCCATACAAAATTTTGGTAGTATTTTTTTTAATTTTTAGTGAAATAAAAAACATGTACGTGTAGCTAAAATATGTTCCTCTGGAGCCACTTTTTCAAAATTTAATCAAATTTTGATGGCAATAAATCACAAAATTTTGTTTTTATTAAGATTTCAAAAATTGAGAAAATAATTAAATCAAATTTCGGAATAGTGGCTCCAAAAAAACGAACATTTCACTTTTACCTGAAGGTACATATTTTTCATACACTAAAAAGTAAAATTAAACTATAGAAATATTTATGGCTCTATTTCGTATTGTTTAGAAAAAGATAATTGCTTAAGTAAATTTTCCTCTTAATTATAATTAAAATTTTCCTTTTTTATTAGCTGTTTGTAACAACTATGAAATGCCCAATAAAAATGTAAAATTCTTTGACAAATAATTATGAGGGATAAAATAAATCTCATACAAAGTTTTATATAATTATATTTACTAAAAATTCCCAAGAAAAATAAATAAAAAATATATCAAAGAGACGGCAATACAAAAAATTATTTTTCATGCACTTCACCCCCATACAAGCGAGCTTATGCGAAGCAAGAATGTATATTATTATTATTTACTATGGCGCTCCCGGACGTCTTATAAATGATTATTTAAGAAAGTTACTCTAATATCACAAACATTACATTACTATTTCGGTACGTTAACTATCTTTGGCTAACAAAAATCAGAAATTGCACAACAAATAATTAATTTACTTGATATGAAAACTAATGTCTAAGGAAATAAATTTTTAAAATAAACAAAAAACAAAACAACAAATTCTTCTTGAATCTTAGGAAATAAGACAAAAGCAACCATCCATATAAATTGAAAGAGAAAAAAATTAAACGCAGTAACTTCAAATCATTTTGTTTGTCTTTTAGACATTGCAGCAGCCCTCATACTATCATTATACTTTCTTATTATTAATAGTAGACAAGTTTTAACTAAATGAGAAAAGACGTCTGTTTTATGTTCTTTATATGTAAACCAGAGACAGCTCGTGGCCTAGTCTGCGAGGAGGCTGGCTCACCCTATACACTTTATACAAATATATATTTCTATTAGAATACAATGTAATATTTCTGCTTTTTGTATTCTTATAGACATATATTTTTATTAAGTATATAGGGTGTGTCTTTTAAAAGTAGTCTCCTCATAGACTAGGCCACGAGTCGCCTCTGATGTAAACCATTTAAAATCAACATGGTCTGGCAAAAAAAGTTTAATTTTTTTGAATTATGTTGTCAATATGACCCAAAAGTGGTAAAACTATTTCATGAAATTTTGAAAGAAATTCAATAACATTTCAAAACGTCTTTTATCATCATTTTCTTTAAAATAAGTAAAAGTATCGATGGTCTTCTAACATGTCTGTAAATTAACTTTACACTCTTTGCAGTCAAAACTATAAAGTTTATTAATAAACCCTGCAACATAACTAGTGGCCTCACTCAAATTCTGCATCATTTATTAATTTTGTATATATTATTAAAATGAACTTTATCTTCACAAGACTCTGTTTGGAGGTTTGATAACAATATTACTAAGTACTACTATCTTTGGTGTATCTGGTTTTGAGGATGCTAAAGCAAGGCTAAGCAAATCTTTTAGCAGTCTTGAACGATTTGTGTTTGTAAACGATTTTGTATCAAAATATGATTTTCACATAATGTATAATGATTGCTTGTAAGTGGAATGAGTGGAATGTTCAAAATACGACACCATTCCTTTCTTTGATCAATATCAGAAGGACATTTAAAAATGTTTGTTCTTAAAATTTACGTTTGAAATGGGCCTTATAAAATGTACTATACAATTAGAAATTATGCGTTTATAATAAATTCTACCTGGTAAAGACATGTTAAAGCATCAAAATACCTTTACTTGATTTAAAATAATCCTAAATAACTTATATCTAAAAAAATAAATAAAAGTAGTTCTACTGACATGTTTTCGTCGACAACCAAAACCATAACATAACCACACATTTGTTTGATTTTGATGTTATTTGTTGACATCGCGCGCGGGGCCCGCTATAGCGGGCAGCCAGCAGTCATGCATCCACATACTTTGATTTTCTTTTACTATACGGAGAATGGTCGCACTGCGCAGCTTTCTGAGTGCCTTTTAAAATGAGATAGAAAACCTCCGCCATTTTGATCCCTTATTACGTGTTGCCTACATCTTGGCGCAATATTTTTAATAGTCGTTTTAACCCACATACTTTGATTACTATACGAGGCAAGAGAGAGGTCCGACACGCCCAACATAGGGCGCGGCCATTTTGAACCCTGTGACACAGTTTACAGCTAAAGAATCAGATCGCTCACTCTGCGTCGGCACTTTTGATCTCAATGTTTTAGTTTATACACTGTGCAACTCGGATAATACAATATATGGCACCGCCTATAATAAAACAGCAGTCTTCTGCGTATCCTGAATTTGTATCCCTGGAGTGGATGTTATTTTGGAACTTTCAACTGCTCCGAGTGAGCTAACTGATTCTTTAGCAATAAACTGTGACTTCAAAAATAATATTCACTGACACTGACAGCAGCAAGCAAAATATCAGGTGCGTTTTAATCATCCGCTTCTGCTCTCAGAGTAAGTAAGTAGTAAAGAGAGGACAGTAAACAATGTTTGTGTCGCCATGATAATATGGTCGAGAATTCTAATTAGAGAGAAATAGATTAATATCTTTATCTCTTTGTTTGTATTTGTCAGTTTTACAAAGCTTTTCTCAGACAATTATTCCAGTGTTTAATTTAAATTTGTTCGTGTTGTGGTGTTAAAAGTAATTGTTATTAATATTATATTCATAACAAAAAAGTCATATTTTGTTTTCACTTCATTAAAAATGCACCTACCTACCTTTTAAAACATTTTATTTTATATTCTATTTGGTCAACATTTTCGCATTTAAAATGACCTAGCGAAATTGTTTTACGGTACGCTACTGCTGAGAATTCTAAAACGAGTGAGAAAGCCTTCATTAGAAAGAGAGATACTGATTATATGATAGCGAGATTAATATTAGGTATTTTCCTTTGCATCGACAGTGTAGTACTGAACTACGTCACTTCTGAAAATATTGTTCCATCCATACAATTTGTATAAATGGAACGATATTTTCAGAAGTGGTGTAGCTGAGTGCTACACTTTCGATGCAAAGGAAAAGACCTATTGTATAACTTTATGCAGTGGTGGCACATACTTTGATTTTCTTTTACTATACGGAGAATGGTCGCACTGCGCAGCTTTCTGAGTGCCTTTTAAAAGGAGATAGAAAACTCCGCCATTTTGAACCCTTATTACGTGTTGCCTACATCTTGGCGCAATATTTTTAATAGTCACAGTTTATTGCTAAAGAATCAGTTAGCTCACTCGGACCAGTTGAAAGTTCCAAAATAACATCCACTCCAGGGATACAAATTCAGGATACGCAGAAGACTGTTGTTTTATTATAGGCGGTTGTCATATATTGTATTATCTGAGTTGCACAGTGTATAAACTGAAACATTGAGATCAAAAGTGCCGACGCAGAGAGAGAGCGATCTGATTCTTTAGCTGTAAACTGTGTCACAGAGTTCAAAATGGCCGCGCCCTATGTTGGGCGTGTCGGACCTCTCTCTTGCCTCGTATAGTAATCAAAGTATGTGAGTGGTGGCCTATCTGCTATTATATTATCTAAGCTTCTGCTTCCGGAATTGTCGGTTTAGTCGTTTTAACCTGTCAGATTAAAACAAGAAAACCGACAATTCCGAAGCAGAAGCGGATGATTAAAACGCACCTATTAAAAATATTGCCCCAAGATGTAGGCAACACGTAATAAGGGTTCAAAATGGCGGAGTTTTCTATCTCCTTTTAAAAGGCACTCAGAAAGCTGCGCAGTTCGACCATTCTCCGTATAGTAAAAGAAAATCAAAGTATGTGGGCGTGTCGGACCTCTCTCTTGCCCCGTATAGTAATCAAAGTATGTGATGTACATGCAGCGGACAGAAAGCCATCTTCACATAGTACAAATAACTAAGTGAAGGCATGTTTTTTTTTAGTTTGTGTAGTAATGAATTCAAATTTTTGAAACAACACTTTTTGTGTGTTACTGAACGAGATGTTATTAAATTAATCAATGTGCTTTACATTTTAATACAATTTTTCTGTTGTAAAACGGACTTCAGAGCACCCAAGCGCGGAGTTGCATGCGCAGAAACGTGTTTACGTATTGTGCATATGATATAAACCCCCGTGATCTCATACGATTATCTAAAAAAAAGTCTACCCAAAAGCAGTAAATACGGTTTCAGAAAGTGACCAGAATGGCGCTCGGGTACTAGAAGAGCAAGGTCCAATGATATATAGTCATATAGATTGCTCATCCATATATAAATCGGACGAAGAAAAGCTGGTTTATATTTAAGTAACAATAATAATAATTATGAAAACATATTGTAAAAATTGCAATTTTTATAATTAATAAACTTACGGTGATATTTACTTTGAATTATAAGCGTCCTTCTTAAAAAAGAAATGTAATAATAAAAGATACGTGGAAAAGGGACAATAATACCAAACATTTTTGTGAAATTTCGATGTAAAAAGAAGATAAGAAGATAATTTTAATAATTACATTTAATGTGCAAACTTTTTTTATGTTTTTCAAATTTTACTTTTACAAGATATT